CCAGGACGTGGTTGCCGTCAGGTGCCAGCCCCACGATCCGTGTCCACGGCCGCGGGTCAAAGACCACCGCATCCGGGTTGGCGACCTTGTCCTTTTTGACCCATTCCAGGCAGCACGCCACGAGGATTTCCCCGTCCGACTGCACTGGTGCAAATCCAAGGTCATGCAAAATCAACTGGAGCGCGGTTGGCGCCCCTAGGAAGGTCGTCCCAAACGGGGAAGGGAGGCGGGGCCTCCACATCATCATGATCCACTCGAGCCGGGGGCCTAGTCCCTAGGTGCAAACCCCAACCAAACAACAGGGGCCCCCCAAAACCCCGGAAAGTCAACCCCGAAACGGAGGAAACGGGGGAAAAAGGGGGACCCAGGGAGCCGCCCCGAAAAGGGAAAACCAAACAAGAGAGGGGAACCAAGGCGCACCCCGGATCAGCCCAAGCCGCGCCAATTTTCCTCGCCTGGTGCAAGTCTGGGCCTGCGCTGTTCCCTGGGGGGGGATATCAGCGCCTTCGGCAGCTGTCCCCCCCCCGGGGTGCGCTGCGCATCCGTTCCGGATGGCCGCGGTCCTGGATGGTGTGCCGGAAGATGGCGTTGTCCCGCATCATCACGCGGCCCCCTTCGCGATGTCATCGATGCGCTTGAGCGCAGCAGCCTCCGGATTCCGCAGAATCAGCTCCCAGATGGCATTGGAGACGTGGCCTGTCTGGGTGGTCTGGCTGAATCTGAACCTGGGCACCTTCTGGTCCACGATGGAGACGTCCCGCAACGGGGCCGAGGGCTCCACCCGGCGGTAGTACTCCAGCCGCTCCTTCACCCAGCGGTTGTAGAGGCCCTCCGGCGGCTCGTCCAACACCAGCTGCAAGATGGCCTTGCCGGCCCGGATCTGGAGGAGGCGGGTGCCCCCTCCCCCGGCACGCCAGTACCCCTTACAATACTTGCACATGTAGCCCCCCCGGGTCTCCCCTTTTGTCTTCGGGATGAGTTCCCACGGGGTGACGGAGCTCAGGACCAGGCCACACTCCATGTGCGCCCAGAAGACATGCTTCATCTCACCGGATAGTTCTTCTTCCGGTAGTCCTTACCCACCACGCCGTGGACGTTGTCCGCCGTGATGGGGGGGTAAACGATCCCCTCATCGCCCTCGCCTCCCCTGGGGCGGATGTCAGGGCCATCGGCACCTGTCCGGCACCCAGGGGCGGAGGGGTCCAGGCCCATCAGCTTGATCATGTCGTTGGTGTAGCCGAGCTTGCGGTAGATGGAGGGGGCCACTGAGTCGGGGACTGCGCCGACCCACCACTGCTTCGTGTTGCAGCGCCAGTTGACCTTCACCTCCGCCAGGGCCCCCGGGCCTCCAATGCGGTCCATGAGGGCCTTGTACACCTCTGGGAACTGCTGGAGGCTCTCCACCGGGACCGAGATGCGCTCGTCGCATACCGCCCGCAGGATCATCTGCTCCTTGGAGTCCGCCACGTCCTGGACCGGGAGCTGCATCACCTCCGCCGGGGTGTCCGTGAGGAAGGCCCGGGCCGCGAGGACCTTGCCCATGGCCCGGTAGACCAATCGCCACTCCGGTCCTGTCTGCGGAAACGGAAGGCCCTCCTCCTTCAGGAAGCACCGCGCGTCCTCCTTCAGGGTCTCCCAGCCCTCCAGGCGGGTCTGATTCTGGGCCTTGTTTTTCGGGCCCCGCTGCCTAGGGCCCTGCAGCAGTGGCAGAGACTCCCAGACTCCCCAGAGCTGGCGCAGGGTGTAGCTGTGCCCGAACATCCCCAGTAGGCCTGGGAGTGTCCAGGACGAGATCTGGCGCGTCCAGTGGAAGTCCTCATCCGGATCGTGGGGGGCAGCCCAAAAGATGGATCGCAGGTCCCCAGGTAGGGTCGGTCCCCCGCCTTCGCCTGCTGGTGCAACTCATCAACGGAGTACCTGGCCCAGGGGAGTCCACCCACCTGGTGGTTCCTGGGATGCGTACCCTTCTCCAACGCCTCCGGATTCACCTTGGTGAGGTTTTTCGCCCAATCCGGGACGTGTACCGGGCCCGGTCGTCGGACCCAGCGGCCCGCAAAGATACGGACCTCTCCGACCCGTTTGCTCATCATCCAGCGCAGGACCGAGAGCTGCACCTCCGGGTCCTTGGTGTCCAGGCCCACCGGGGTGGCGGACGGCTTGTCAGGCCCCTCGGCACCTGAGCTCGTCACGCCAGAGCCCGAGCCTGGGGGGATGGTGGGCGGCCTGTCAGGGCCCGCCTTTGGCATGGGGATCCCTGTCAGGTCCGGCAGATCTGACAGGAGGGCCGCCGGGAAGGGATTCCTACCCAGCGAGATGACCGCCTTGGCCTCAAGGTAGGAGTCCGTGAGGGATGTGAGGTCGTCCATACTGAAGTCCCTCCATGCCGTTGTCGGCTCGAAGACCCCAGTCTCAATGGCGACCCGGACCTCACTAGGCCACGCACTGAAGGGAGGCGCGATGGGCTCGAGCATTCTGGTTTCGAGGGAGCCCTTCGCCTGTCTGGCTTGGTGTTTCGCTTTCGCCTCCTCCGCAGTGGTCTGGGCCTGGAGGAGCTCCGGTGTGGGTCTCCCCCAGTCCGCACCCAGCTTGTCCAGCAGCTTCTCACGGAAGAGGTCCAAGTCCAGGTTCTTCAGGAGCAGGCCTCCATCACCTCCTCCGTCAATGGCCCCCCTTGAAGTTCGTGGAGGACCGCCGCGGAGCGCTCCACCGCTTCCACCTGGTCCGCCTTCTTGGCCTCCTCCTGGGCGATGGTGGTGGCGTTGAGCCGGGTCTGAATCTTGAAGGCCTTCACCGCAGACGGGTGGAAGGCTCTGCATTCCTGGCCCTCTTCCTTGTCGCCTGGCAATGGGGGCCTCTCCCCCGGTGGGGCCGTCAGAAACTCCTCGTCCAGCTCCATGGGGCAGTTCCTGATCACCGCCCGGACCGAGGAGGGGACGAAGTCCGAGAAGCTGGCCTGGTCCGGGTTCTCGCAGGCCATCGGGTCGGTGGCCAGCTCGCTGACGTCCACCGAGGCACTGAGCTTGAGGTCGCGGGCCCGGTCCGTGTCAGGGCCTTCGGCACCCGCGGACCGGGCCGCCGTCCAGACCGCATTGCCCTGGTCATCCACCGTCAACTGCCAATGCGTGCCCGCCATCTCCAGGGTGGCCGAGTTGGTCGCCGTGTCAATGGGCTCCGTCTTCTTGCCGCACCCCATGCACTTCGTGGCGCCCTTCTTCACCCAGGGCATGGTGCAGCAGGGGCAGATCCAGGATGTGGGCACCTTGCCCAGGGGGCGGTTCTCCAGGCCCCCGTACCCCAAGCCAGCGCGCTTGCCAACCTGCTGTCCCGGGGTGCTGAGCCGGGCCTCATGCTCGTACTTCATCTTGGCGATGTAGAAGGCCTCCACAACGCGCTCCAGGCCCCCCTGCTTGAGTTGGGGGCCCTCAAAGCCTCGCAGGAGCCGCTGGACGTCCTTGGCCTGCAGTCGGCGGAGCCTAGTGGCCGTGGTCGCATCGAAGCAAGGGAAGTCGCCCGCCATCTGGTCGTCGCTGAACTGGTAGAGGCCCTCCGAGACCTTGAGGGCCTTGGTGAACACGCTCCCCCCCGGCGGGGGGGCTGCGGGGTTCTCATCCTCCTCCGAGGACGCCTGCTCCTTGACCTTCGCCATCAGCTCCCGGCGCCTCTGCCACTTGGCGTCTGCCCGGGCATCCAGGCGGGCCTCCTCCGAGCGGGCTGCAGCCGAGGGGGACCTGGGCATCGGCAGCTCCTTCTCGTCCTTCGCCAGGAGCTCCTCCATGGGCACGTCCTCCTCCGGCGGGTTCAGGAGCTCCAGGAACGCCCCTGGGGGGCGTGTCAGGGCCTTCGGCACCTGCGCCACCCCAGGGGCTGCATCTTCCATCGGCTCATCCTCTGCCTTGCGCTTGGCCGGGATAAGGGGGGCCTGCTCCAGCTCATCTGCGCTGGAGAAGAAACGCTCGTCAGGTGCCTGAGGGACCTCAGCAGCCAAAACGGTCCATCCTTCTTCCTCCCTCTTCACGAGGCTCGCCAGGTACTTTGCCATGGAGGCCTTTGCCTTAGCCTTGGCCTCTGTTACCGCGGCACCAGCGTAGGCGGGGGCGTACATGGCTTTGAGAGTAGGGGAAAGAAAGATTTCAAATCACAAGACAAAAGATCAAAAGGTCCACTTGAGCCAAAATGGTGGCCCAAGTGGATACTTATTAAGAGTCAAGACAAGCGACCACCTACGGTTAACGCTTTAGCCCATTAACACCACCAACCCCCCAAAAAGACACATCCATACGGGTGTGTCTCCAAATGAACCCAAAGGGCCACCATGTTGGCAGAAAACCACCCAAGAATTCTCGTGGCGTTCCTTGCACACGCACGCCGAGGGGCCAACTTGCAACCTCCTTTCCGCCATCCGCAGAAAAGGGCTATCCGCCCATGGCGGGAGCTCCGCGTGCAGAACTGGAGCCAAGTTTGCAGCGACGGCGGACGCGAGACCCACTTGTGGCGGGCGTCAAATCCGTGTTTCACGGGATCCCATTTTGGTCGGTGAATTCACCGCCCCTTTTAGAACCTTTTTCGTGGTTGGATTGAATCGGATGTTCACAGGTCGGGGTTTTGACCCGATGTCGCTTTCTGCGTGGAGATTCTGGGCCTGGAGGCAATCATGTGAATTGGTTGCCGATGGGGGATGGGAATATTGGGTGAGCCTAGGGCATTGGGTGGCCGCCCCATGTCCTCCCAAACTAACAGTAGACGACCAATAATGTCGTCAGCCACTCATATGATCACTTGGAATGTTTCTGTGGATTGATGACTGGGGTTTGCTTGCTTTGGAAAGAATCCAGAAAGTCAAACCGGTGCGATAGCTACGGAAGGACCCTCCTGGGTCTTGGGAGTGATCCGGAACGGGACTCCCTTAAAGGAAGCCATAGGGGATGGTTTGACTTGGGGTCATTCCATGTCTCATTCTCTGCTGAGGCCCAGCGGCGGGTTGGCCACTGCAACAGTCCCACCTTCCAGGCGTCGACGGGACGCGAGCACACGCGCAGCACATCCACATCCACGGTGTGAGCCTCCTCACGGGAGCAAGGCTTTTGCGAGCCCCGGCTCAGCACAAGGCCACCCTCTTGGCTGGTGGCCAGGGGTCGAGTTTTCTTGGCCGCATCCCCAGCATCCCTGGGCACTTGGTGTCAGGTCTGCGTGTTGGCCAGAGTTGCTCGGGGTTAATCGACCGCAGCATCACCGGCCTCGCTCGGACCAGGGCTGCCTATTGGCTTTGATTTTGGTTGCAGTTGAGAGTTGCTCGGGGCTGGTTTCGCGTGAGTGTTGGGTTTGCTGAGGTCTTAATGACGGCGGGTCTTGGGTTTGTTTGGGTTCATTTAGCCTCGGAAAGTGCTGATATCCAGGATGCTGTTGGGAGGGTTTAAGGTTGACCTAAATCGAAGCCAATAGGCAGCCCTAGTCCAGCCCGAGCAACTCTGGCCAATACGCAGACCAATTAATCGGGGATGCTGGGGATGCGGACGCCTAGCCAACCAACCAACCAACCAACCAACCAACCAACCAACCAACCAACCAACCAACCAGCCAACCAGGCAACCAGCCAACCAGTCCCCTGGCCGGGGCTAAGCCCCGAGCCGGAGCTGGCTACAAAAAAAAACAACACCGATTCCCGGTAGCGATTCATACCAAAAACGGATAAACAAAAGCGCATGAGTGTGTGTCACAATGGGGGGTCCCAAAGAATGGTGTATTTCGCCTTTGGTTCCATTTAAGACCACCCCAAAACTGGGTGCCCTCAGAAAACGACATGGGTGGTTACAAACATGCGGGACAGCATCGTGGAAGACTTGTTGCAAAACCATTGTGGCCCCCTGTTCTTGAACATAAAGAATCATCCTTCGCATGAAAATCACCACACCCTCACGTCCCACATCCTTCTTCTTTTCGGTGACCCCTTTCGAGTTCAGCTCGGTTCGCTCCATCCCAGACATTTCAGGTATCTCGCCCACTTTCACCCGCCCTTTCGGGCCTCCGGTGGAGGGTGACCGCACTTTTGCTTGAGAGCGCGCCTGAACTTCCAACCCAGGTTCATGGAACCCTTGGCGGGGGGGGGGGGCCTGGATAAGCCCAGGATAAGCCAAGGATAAGCCCTTAAGGTCTTATTGAGGGGTAAACCCCCTCTCCAGTTCGCCCTTCTGGGGATCAGCGGCGAGCAAGGAGCTCGATCGCAAGGAGAATGGAATTCAACGCAGGGTGACTCGTGTCTCTCTCTCTTTCTCTCTCTCTCTCCAAATGAGAACCAACGAGGGGATGTTCCCCTGCAAGTGATCCAGATCCAGCACACCCCTGAATTAAAACAAATCCCGCGAGCCCCTGTATCTTTACTCTTCTCGGGTCTTAAGCTTTCTTCTTTCTTTTTAAGCTTCCCCCCCCCCCCCCATTTTTTATGCTCGAAGTCTTCATTTCTCCCTCCGCCCCCCCCGATCCTTCGCCCACGCGCGCGGCGCCGTGCTCTGCGCCGCACCGAGGAGCGCGGCGCGGGTCACCGCGTCGGGGCGAAGCCGGCGGCGCGACATGGCCGCCAGCAGCGCGCAGCACCTGAGTCATAATCAAAACCCACATGGAATAAATAGACGAGCTTCCCTACGTGGAATAAATCCCATCTAAACCAGCGCCATCTATGTTTAATTAAACTATCCTCAACAAAAAAACCTTGATCACATGAGCCATAATCAAAACCCGTTATTAAACTGGTCGTAACTAATCCCAGAACCATGCTTCAGGAATTCAGAAGCCGGATCTCCGCAGCTATTTCTGGCACGGGGATCGTCCCTTACTAACCTTCATCTACCCGAATCGGTTTTGAGCACGTGACTCACCTGAGGTAGGGGAAACCAGCCAGGGACCCAGGAAACGGCTTGGACTTTTGCGCTCTTTTTAGAGGGGTTGATTCCTTTTCCAGTCTTTTCAACCATGAAAATCCCCAAAAAACGGATCCGTTTTCCCTGGGTTTCCGGAGGTTCTCTGGACAGAATGGTCCCTGGAAAGAATGGGGAAGGTACCCCTAGATTTTGTTGGATTTCACCTAGGCTTCTTCCTGTTGGTTCCTTTTTCGTACCCTTGTAATACTCTGCAGGGGGTGGATCCACAGATTCGCCACACCCGTGTTTTCTAGATCTCGAGAGCGTCTATTGCTCTGTGCCTGCAGTGGATGTACCACCTGTACCATGGTGGCTCGTAGACGAGGAAAAAAGAAAGGGACGGGATCGGATGCCAATAAAACCACGGTCGGGTCAAAAAAAAGGTGTGACACTAAGTTACATTTAGATTGGATCCTCGCCGTTCTTTGAAGCCTAGGATTCTTTGGGTCGTTCAAAATTAGACCCCAAGTCCGTTCTCTTCCGCAAGGGGTCTACGAAAAGCGACCCCTGCATCTGCCTGATACTTTTTTTGCCCCGATGGGTTTGAGTCTGGTCCAATTGTGTGAACCTTATGCAAAATGACCAGCGATTCCAGCTAGAGGATGGGTTGACGCAACCAAGAATCAAAATAAGCTTCGTCTAGGGGGGCTTGGTCCACATGTCAATCTGAAAGCCATCTTTTCTTGGGTATGAACCTTAATTGGGATCCTTTGGTGGATGCCTTTTTGGTTGTGAAAGGATGGGCCTACCACTGCATGCAAAGCAGTTTTTAGCCGGAAGAAAGGAATCTTTACTTGGAACTAAAGAAACTCAATAATCACTTCTCCAGTGTGGTGTGTGGTTTTGCGGGTACCCGTTTAGGTTGGCAAAAGGAGAAATCAACAGGAAAGCCATCATTTTGGAAGCGTCATCTTTTGATGGTACCCGTTTGGGTGTTGGTTGAAAAGGACCGCGGATCCCCCCGTTTAGAGACAAACCCGTTTGAAGTCTTGCCGACCGCTGCCAATTGGCTCCCAAAATTTTGGGGACCCGAAAGATGTATTCCATTCATTTCCATTTTTGAACTATCCCTGGGAAATTTCCCTGATATTTCACCCCCTTAAACACCACCCCTGCAATATTGGGACTCACAAAGGTTGCCTCATTGCAAAGGGTCTAACCTTTTGTAGGTTTACGGGCCAAGACACAGATATTTACAGAAAGATTAAAATCCCTCATAGAAACCAGCAGGACCTACAGCAAATTCCCAACAAAATGCCCACCACACACCCAAAACAACACCTGCACTTCTCGGAGCCTCCAGAAACCACCGAACCTCAGAGCCAAAGCTTTCAGCGGTTGAACGGAAAAACCAGCAGGAACCACAAAACCAGATCCCCCAAAAACCTCCCCTCCCCCCCGGCCCCCCCCCCAAAAAAAAAGAAGAAAGAAGATATACAAGAAGTAAAACAGCTGCATCCTTTCTTCCCCTCTCTAAACCCCTGAAGGTCCCCCCGAACGGAAAAACTGCAAAAAACAAGCTGGGCGCAAGAGATGACTTGGGTATGGGGCAAAATGAAACCATGGACCGCAGGTTTTAGTCCTTGGTTCCACGAACCATGTCTCTCAACAAGTCTCTGAACAAATGCCGTGAGAGACTGTTTCACCCAGGACGAACATGGATTGGGGTCGGGGATCTCGCTTGCGAATGTGTGGAGTCCTTGGTTCCACGAACCAGGGCAAGCCATTCTGGGGTTACCCTATGTTTTGACGCAGAGCCACCTAGTGACAAACTGGGGGTGTATTCATCCGTCACGATTGAGCGATTGAGCCCCGGATCTTGTCGTTACTCCACGCCCTATGTTTGACAACCACCGCCATTTGGCCATGGGTCAAAACCCAAATCATACCCCCAGTGAACATCCCAATCCCCCACTATAAAAAGGTTCTAAAATGGGTGGTGAATTCAATTACCAACCAAAACAGGATCCCGTTTAACGGTTTTGACAACCGCCACAAAAGCTTGAAAGCCAGCTTATACCTTCTGCGCGGATGTTCTTCACCTCACCTACCCCTTCCTTGCCCCAAGATGGTACCGTTGGTTTTGACTTGGTCCTCCAGTAGAGAGCTTAGAACAAGTTGGTACCATTTTTTTTCTGTAGTCTATTCTAGTAGGAAAAAAACCCTCCCAACCAAAAAAGAAACGGTAAAAGTTGGCAGAACTGGGGGACCTGCCTCCAACCCCCTTCAAAATGAATCCCCACTAAAAATCGCTAAACTAGGCTCTAAAACGGGTGGTAAATTCACCTACCACCCAAGATGGGATCCCGTTTAACGGCCTCGCCCGCCGCCATTTCAGGCGGCGGCGCTGCTTCCATGCGGAGCCCCGCGCCGCGGCGGCCAGGGCGGCGTTGCAGCCGGCCAGAGCTCCGCCCTCGGCGAGGCGCCTGGGAGTCGGAGTCGTCGGAGGCGGAGGCTCGGGTCGGAGGCGGAGGGGTCGGAGGGTCGGAGGGGACTGGGCCGCGAACATGGGGTTCTGTATTGCCCCCCTCCCCCCCAAAAAAAAGAAAGGTATAACACCGCAACATTCCCCCCCCCAAAAAAAAGAAAAGAAGAAGAAGGTATAACACCGCAACAAAGCACTTGGCTTCAAGCTTCAATGGTTTACTGTGCAAAATGACTGACAGTTTCGCCAAAACACAAGGGGTCCTCCAAAAGGAGAGTCCTGTACGAATGGTGGGGGGTGGGGGTTTGGGGGTCCCTGCCAAAAAGGAGCATGATCATAACAAAAAGCCCAAAATAAGAAAATCGCCCTAAACCAAAACCCACAAATGCAATATCAACAACTTCAGGACCTCATGGAACCCCCCCTCACAAAAAAAACAAACAAACGATGTTTGAGGGACCCTTTCAGGGCCTTTTGTGTGGGGAACCAAAAGGAAACCATTGCCATGTTGGCCCCCTACTTTTGAGACGAACCAAACATTCACGCTTTCTGTGATACAAATTTGGGACATTCCCACTACTTCAAGTCACTGTGATGAGACCGAAAAAGTCAGCTTCAACATTCAGCAGGAATGCGTTGCAATTCCGCTGGAAGCTGAGGATCGGGTCAAGACTTGCAGGCAAAGGACAATTTCCATATCACAGCAAGAAACAATGTCCATGCCAACCCACTCGAAGAGCAAATTCTACAAATCCGAAACCGGAAGTAAGGAAAATCCCCTAAGGACCTTCATACCAGGGCTACTGAGTCTTCCAGGATCGTGCCCTTTGACCAACTTTTTTGGGGGAGGGTTCCCCTACTAAAATAGGCGTCCTGAAAAAAGTTGGTACCAACTTCTTCGAACCTCTCTACTGGAGGACCTAGTATGTCTTTCGCCTTTGATTCGATCGCGCCCACGCAGTGGGAGTTTTGGATTTTGGATCTGGTAGCAGTCGCTGGCCCTTTGGAACCTGCAAAATGATCCAAATGATGTTTAGAATAGAAGGAGAACAGGGGTGCCTTTGGGACCGAAACCTCGCGCCAACTTACAAGTCGTTTTCTGCCGATGCAAGCTGACAAGAATACAAGGAAACTTGTTCGACTGGGCAGGCTCCTGCAACTTCCCTGTCAACAAGGGGGTGTGCCCCATAGATGGCCAACAAAATGCCAACGTTTGCCTTGGGGTGCCCTTTCAACCCCAAAGGAACTAATCCTATTGAAACTCTTGTATAGTTGCGAGGGACATAGGGACCGTCAGCTAAACAAATCCGACATCAAGTAGCCAGGGCATTTCTGCTAAGCACCTCAGCTTCCCTTTTCCCGTCTATTGATCGGAGAAGGTGGGTGGATGAGAAGAGAGCAAGGGATGGAGGGAGTGTGAGAGTCGTTCATTCTCTATCTCTCCCATACGCTCTCCTATCTATCTCTAAGACTCCACGCCGTAGGATGTCAGCCCCTGACCAGAAAACCAGGCAAGCCGTGTCTTTCCACCAAATTAATATCCCAACCGAGAAAAATGGCAGGAACCCAGAAATATAATAATATACCAACTGCAAATCAAGACATGGCCGGGTAGCTTGAAAAACTGAAACCTCTTCCATCAGGGCTGTGGGGAATGACCACGGGATTCCCAAGAGTATCACAGAAGTGGTTGGAGGAACCCCTTGTGATCCCACAACCCTGTCTATTGTGGATGGACAACATCCTGCACCACCGTTCAGAAACCCTGGTTTCCGAATGATTCCCCAACGTAAATCCCTGGAATGAATGATTCCCCAACGTAAATACCCACAAACCTCATGGCTTCAACCATTTCCAAAGTGGTGCGAAATCTTACCCCTTAAAACTCCAAGCCCTGGGGAAGTTAATCTTTTACAGACATATAGCCCATGTTACCCAAAAAGTTGAAAAGTTGTGTTTTTAAGAGGTAAGAAAAGGATTTCGCAACTCCATCCACAGTAGGCTCAGCCTATCAGTAGCTCAGGGCACAGCGCCAGCTCCCAGGCGAGGCCCTTCTCACAGGCCGAGACCCCGGCGTTGCCTCGTGGCTGGGGGTTGGGAGTGGCTGGTTGGTGGTTGGTGGTTGGGGGGGGTCAAGGGTCCGGAAAGTGGTGCCATGGATACTCGGAGTGTATTTTGCAGACTCCAACCCTAAAAAAAACCCAACGCCTGAAAGAAGGTCGCAAAATAGACCCTGGCGGGGGGGGGGGGGTGTGGTGCCAGGCCCCCAATCGGTGGGATCTTTAAAGGTGGTTTGTCCCTGTTTTTGATGTGATCTATCCCAACGGCTGCGAAGTGGATTTGGAACATCCACAAGGCCCGAAACCGGTCCCTTTCCGCATGGAGGGTGGCGCAGGAGCCTCATGTTGGGCAGCACAAAAACGGGGCTTCCCTCCCTCAAAAATCAACCACAAGAGATCAGGAGAGCAACAAAAAATGGGCGCAAACAACTTGTTTGAGCTCTGACTCACCTTTCTTGGTAACCAGGGCGGGGACCTCCACAACTGGCTCCCCGACCTCTAACTTACCTTTCTCGCAAAGGGGCCCACCACCAAAAAATCCGGGGGACCTACTGAGGACGAAATCCTGCACTACCTAAGAACCCCTGGTTTCTGCTGATTCCCCAAGGGAAATACCAACAAACGTTATGGTTTGTTTTCCCCCCCATGGTTTCGAAGTGGTGCGAAATGGATTTCGCAACCATCCACAGTATGAGCCACCCCGGAATCTCCGGACTCGTTGCACAGGATGGCATCCGCCGGCCCAGAAAAGAGCAGCAGCGCACGCTGCCACTCGCATGCCTTCTCCTGCCCGGGGCCCCGCAAAATCGGGAGAGGAGGGGGGGGCCCAACATATATCTATACATAAATATACACCCTCCAAAAACACGCACCCCTTCACAGAATTCACTGGTGTTTGTGGGGGCGGGTAGCATACATATACTTGCATTACATTACATTACATTACGTTGCATTACATTGCATTGCACATTACATTACACCACATTACACTACATTGCATTGCATTGCATTGCATTGCATTGTATTGCATTCCACTACACTACATAACATTACACTACATTACAATACATTACATTACATGACATATATATATATATATATATTGCTCATGGTGGATTCGCTTCAGACATTGCTGATTGTTCCACGGATGCGAGTAAGGCTGTGCTTTCTGGAGCAGCCTCATGATGGTGGCGCTCCAAAGCGAAAATGGGTATCGGAGTGACTGACAATAGGGGGCCTCTGAAAAATACCACGTTTGGGGGTCCCCTATTTTGACACAGGCCCAAGCATTTTTGCCTCTAGGTTCGATTGTGGCCAAATCCATTCTCGAGGAACATTCCCCATTCGGGCATGCCAACTTTTGCGGATGGCACTCTTCAGCACTTGTAGCGTTCAACGATTTAAAAAAGCATAAGCGCCGTGGATCAACAACTTGCCTTTCGGATGCCCTCCTGCTCCAAGAGCCACAACTCTCAGCTGGGTCCCGGGCAAAGGCGCTGACGGCTGCACTGCGCATCACCAGGTTCACCTCGGATGGAAATCGCGCGCGAGACCCCAGGTTGTTTTGCAAAGGTTCAACATCCAGGTCCTTCGGGGTTGGCCCATGACTAAAATATGCTCCCGAAACCCGGCGGGAAACTTGGCTGTGCGTCCAAGCGGATGTTTTTCACAAAAAAAAAAACAGTCTTCTCGGCAGTCCTCAAAACTGAGCGGTACTTAAAAAAAAAAAGCTCGACACAGAAACAAAAACGTTTCCAGAACTTTTCAGAGGCGGACCTCCGCACGCCCGAAACGGCAAGGGACTTCTCCCTTACTAAGCTTCTCCTTTACCTGTTGGTGCTGATCACACAGTTGGAACCATACCTAGAGGTGTGGTTCTTCCCAGGGTTTCCCACTCTTTTGCTCCAATTTTTGGAAGTCTCCGGTCGATCATGGGCCCAACTCCTCCTCGGACTTCGGATTCTCAAACCCGAACAAATAGGGAAACGTCCCCGCAAATAATTGAACCTCCAAACTGGCGCACCAAAAAAGACACACCGCATCCGCCGCGCGTTCTTTTCCCTCCATTTGCTTAAGCCCCCTGGAAAAATATATATACATATATATATATATATTTCCAGTAGTGATAGATTCCCTTTAAAACCAACAGGGGATTTAAAAAAAAAAAAAACATTTAAGCCAATGGAAGTCTCTTGTGACGCAAACGCCAGAGCCCAACTCAACACCGACCTTGGGAACCGGACCGGGATCTGCCAGCGCCGAGCATCCGCCAGCAAGCACAGCACCTGCTCCCAGCGCCCGCCTGGCGCGGCTGAAACATGCGGAGGGCACGATGCGGAGGGCAGGATGCGGAGGGCACGTCAAATGGATGGATATGGATAGGGATATGGATAGGGATATGGATGTGGATGTGGATGTGGATATGGATGTGGATATGTATGGATGTACGTACGTATGGATGGACGGACGGACGCACAGACGCGTGGATGTGTGTGTGTGTGTGCGCGCGTCAACATGTGCGAGTACCCTTTTTCCCCCCCCCCCCGCGACCTGGCCTGCTCCCTCCAGCGCGCTGATGGCACCACACAGCAGCACCTCGCGATGGCAAAAACTCGGCTCGCGCCTGGGAGCTTGGAGGGGGGTCTCACCAATCAGGATTGTGGGTTCTCTTTTCTCGGTTGCGAACTCTGCGAAGCCCTGCTAAAAGTGAGTATAGCTTTTAGTGTAAAAATAATAATAACGGAAAACCCAATAGTTGGCAAGAATGTTAAAGTCCTAACATCCCTTGGCCAAATGCAACAAGGGAAAAGTGGCGACCCGTTCCTTCGATATGGTCGGCAACCAGTGCCGCAAATCAAGCGATGGGCCGGAGGAAAAGCAGTGCTTTTTAGGCTTGTTGTCCGTTCATCATAACTATTCTTGATGGAAAAATCGCTGTCCTGGTTGACTCACTCGATCCCTGAGTTCCGGAAACGGACTAAGTCACGTTTGGGGCTGGGTTGCCATTTCAATGGCGAACAAAACAGGTTGGCCTTCATTTTGTGCCAATCCATTCAGGAAGAGAGGGAACCATCCCTGAGGTGGAGGCGGGTTGAAGAGAAAAAAGGCGATGGGTGGGCTCTTGCGACTTCATTTTTTTGCCCTCTTGGCTTTCCCTAGAGTTTTCTTTGACCAAAGAGTCATCCCTCTCTGATTGGCGGTTTGGATTGGCGGGAACTGGGGAGTTGAAATCCAATGCCTTTTGAAGTCCCAAACGACGTCCCAACCACCTCTTTTTTGGCGTACTCAGGTCTGCAGGACTCCTTGAGTCGGTTTTGGCGGCCAAGTTGGGATCAGGGTAGCCAAGCATTGCCCTTGAGCGGCTTCTCCGTAGAATGTGCGATGGACTTCCTATTGGCCGAAACCTATCGAAGAGGAAACCCAATAGAGATTGTGGATTTTTGGGAAAACCCTGGCAAGCCCCAGTCGGGAGGGTATCTTTTTGAGGGGGGTCCATTTTTAGTGGGGCATTCCTTTCTTCCAGGGGGACGCCTCCGCCTCTGACTGATAACCGGGGACCGGGGAGGGGGGGTGAATCGGGTCAACGTCAACATCAAGCTTGCCGTACCGGCAGACAGTTGGGTGAAAGTTGGCATTCCATTTCAACCGACCCCCCGCTGTGTCAGGCAGACCCAGTGCAACACATCTGATTTCAGATGGAAGCCTTGCCAACAAAAGGGTGTTTCTCAAAATCGGGAACCCAAAAAAAACACGGCCTGTGTGCTATGGGTCGTCCTTCAAAATCCGCTGTTTTGAGACCCCCCCAAAAAAAAACAACTGTACCAGGTCCACGGTTTTGAACCCCCCGCCAAGAAAAAGAAAGAAATATAAAAATGTACCAACCAACCCTACCCCCTTTTAAAAAAAAGGAGACTAGCAGGTCGTTCACCAAGGAAATGGGAACGCCCCCAACTTGAACCGCTCAGCTAGGGCTATTTTTGTCCGAGCAACATATCGCGCTACCAACCCTGCCCGACACCAAGCAGCAGGTCTCGGTTTCTTTCTGCTCCCTGCTAAAAGTTCTCTTTTAGTCGTTTAATGAAAAACCCATTAGTTGGCAAAAAGTTAAAGTCCTAACATCCCTTGGCAAAATGCAACGAAGATATTATCCGAGTCACATCGCGCTAACCCTGCGAGAGGGAAAGCAGCAGCCCGTTCCAAAAGGAAAACCTCGGCGGGTCGTGGCTCCTCGCCTGGTCCGGGATGTTGCTGTCCGCTAGCAGCTGCAGCGCTCGCTGCCACTGGGCACCCCGCTCCATGCTGGTCATGGCCTAAGGAGGGGAGAAACCGCCTCTAGGGAAACCCCAAAACAGCTGGTCCTGCCAAATAGAACCAAGGACTCAAACCTGCGGTCCGAAATTCCTGGTGACTCAGTTTGACCCATAGGTGTTTTGGGTTTGTGTTTTCCGTGGTCAAATACTTGTGTTCTGATGTGCTGTATTCTCACTTAGGTTGGCAGGATTCCGGGGCGAGCATGAACATGCCGACGCCTTCCTTGGTGACACGGGGAACCCATAACATGGTGGGTCAAATCCTTCAGCTTCCCCTTGAAATTTGTATTTCCGTGAGAAAGAAAAAGACCCCAACAACTAACAAGCACGTCGACTTGCAAAAAAAAAAGAATCCACCCCACGTGAAGCTTCTGCGGTCCGGGGCGATGCTGTAGGTGGCCAGGTTGGGCACCATGCACGCGGCTTTCATGGCGGACAGGATCGCCTCAGAGACCGCGACCCCGAGCAGAAGCCTTTCAGTGATACCAAGTGGATGGTTGCGCAATCCATTTCGCAGCACCCAAGCCATGGGTTTCCAGAACCTTTGTGGGTGTTTTCTCGTTGGGGAAGTGAGTCATTCCAGGCTTTCCGAAAGGTGCGAAATGGATTGCGGCGTCCATCCACACCAAAGTGTCAGCTTGCCACTTGGTGGTTTGGAGCCCGTTTCTCGGTGGCTTGGTGATGAAACGGGGCAGTTCCCCATTTACCCTCGGAAGAAGAAACAAAAACAGAAACGGGTTCCAATCCGAATCCAAACCACCAATTAAGGGGTACCTGAAAGTGGGCCGTCCCTATGACTTTGCAAAGAAAAACAGCTTGGTATCAAAGAAGAACACGTGACCCAGGAAACATAACAAACAAAAACAGCAAGCATGTAATCTGCCAGGGGGGTCGCTTTAAGCCTAGGGTTTGCCATTTACTCCCCCACAAAACATGGAACCCAAAAAGGGGGGTTCCCCAAAAGGAGTTTCCTCTAAGCATGATTGGTGTTTTGGGGTTCCATGTTAATCTGTAGGAGGGCAAGACCCCCTTCTTGGGGAAATGATGGAGCCCCGGAAGCGTGCAGAAGCGCCATTTCGCTTGAGTTCCCCAATACGGGTGGCAAAGGCAAAACGTCACGCAAGCCTCCAGAGGAGCAAAATACAGCAAGAAAAGGACACCTACTTCCCAAAAACCTTTCGCAGGAACCGACCAAAAGTTCAGTCCATTCGCATTCTGGCCACCGCGAAGAGAGACCCCCTAAAACTAAGGGCTGGGTCGACTCACCACGTGCCGTGTGCCGTAAACGCCTGATTCCATGGCTTGAAAAGCCTACCGCCCCTCCTTCCGTGAGCCCAATTCAAACCGGGCCTTCCAAGACCAAATCAGAGGCCCAGCAAGTTCACACCAACGGGCACGAACGGGCACGAATCAAATGGTCCGCGCCCTCAACCTTTGCTCCATCCGGCTTCGCAGAGAACGAGACCTGAAAAAATGCAACTGATCTCTTCCTCCCCAGGGTGAGAGACCGGGGGTGCTGGAACTGCGACCTGGGCTGACCCCCAAACACCTCCAAACCAAGGGGAACCTGCTTCAGAGGAACCCGGATAAAGGGACTGCCAGAACGTGCGGAGGTAGATTCGCTTTGGGGCAAGTGAGAAACTCCAAACCCAGGTGGGAAAAAACACACACACAGACTCCGGACAAGCCGCGAAGCCACCAAATACCTTGGACCCCCCCAAACCCCGCAACCCCCCAGATTCTCGGGATCCCCGGGAAGGAAAATTCCCGCGCGAGGCGCCAAGGACTGGCGCCAAACCGCCTTGGAGGCGCAGGCCTGCAGCGCCGCGCCGCAGCAGGGCTGGCTATGCAGCCGCCGCCTGGATGGGAAGTCCGTGCCTAAGCCGTGAGGATCCACACGCATAAAAGGAGGTCTTGTGGGTAGTTGCAGGGAGGTAATGTACCACTTATTTTAAGGGAGAAAACGCTGGCTTTCAAGCTTATACTGGTGGTAGACTGGTGGCACATGGGTCTGTCGTTTCCAGACCCCTGCCTTTTTCGGGGTTGGCTTGAAGGGAGAACCAAGACAAAACCACCCTGTGGTACTTTGGAGGCTCCCCAATGTTGAGACAAAACCATATGGGCCAATTCTTGGAGTTGGTACCCCTGGTTTGCCTAGTATACTTTAAACGGAAACCAAAGAGAGCACCACCATTTTGGGTTTGAATCTGAACTGGGGATTCTCTGGGCGGACGTGCTCTGAATCAAAATTCGTAGCCAAGAGAGTTTACTATATGATCATTTGCCGGAACCAATCCAACATTTGAAGTCTTGAGCCCCCAAAATGGGTGGTGTCCTGTTGGTTCCCAATAAAGCCAAGCCCAAAAATGGGGAGGGTCCCTCAACAAACCACACACCTATATGGTTCAGTGTATTGACTTGGTGGCATATGTAAATATTTATGACCTAATTCAACTGGACTGCTCAAAACAGTGTTGGCCAATCCTAATCATGACCCTTATTGGAAAGACCGCCACCAATGGGGACCACCCAAGGTAAGCATTCAGGATTGCTTTTGAACAGCAGCTAAGGAATTTTGAGACACCCGAAGCCTCCTCCCATCACTTTAGGAAACCGCCTGACACCAGACACGCAAAAAGTCCCATCACTTCTTGGTTGCTGTTGACCCCCCTGCAAAAAGCTCATTTCGTGGAAAACCGCTTGATTTCCCACAAAGTTAAAGTCTAAAGATCCAACCCAACAGCAGTCAAGACTTCACCCGAAGCCTCGGTGCAACCCTCGCGCCTCTCGGCCGCTGCCAGCAGCTGCAGGGCCTGCGAAGACCAAATGGACGAGAAAACCACGGCGTTTTCGGAGAAGGACATGGCGTCCACTCTTTGGTCCTGTCTTTCGGATCGCTCCGCACCACCTCACCTGCGGCTTGGTGTGCGACACCCAGAAGTTGATGAACCTCCATTAATCTACGAAGTGGATGAATCTGGGGGTTTGCAGTGGATCCAAGAGATCACAGAAAGCATGGGGCAAAAAACGCCACGGCTTTGCAAAAAAACCTCGGAGACTGAAGAGGGCGTTCAGGCAGTTCCACTCCAGTTGCTCAAGACTGTGTTCTCCAGTCATACACCCCACACGTTATCTTTCTGTTGTGGTAAGGACAGCGTATAATGACTGGTGTTCTCCAGTCATACACCCCACCAGGTGTCGAAACCACACAAGCACCGCAACCAACAGCGCCCACGTGTTTTTGGGTACCCAAGGGTTCCGTCAAGCGAACCAAGAGCCACGGTCGCCGTCAAGTGACCCGACTTCCGCCCAACCCAAAAGCGGCCGCTCCTTCGCCCCTTCCTGGCAGAATCTGGAACCCATTGGCATGGATCGTCACAGCTCAATAGGGCCACTCAGCACCTCTCAGATGAGTGGCTTCTCTACGAATTCCGGGAAGGGGTCCATGAATAGAGCGGGATCCGCTCAAGGGTTTCAAGCCTGGATCAAGATTCCTTTGACTTGACCCGGCTCGGGTCGCACATGTCTGCGTCAAACCTTACAAGCATGGCGACTGAACCGTCCCAGCCAAAAGCCCAAGTGACAATCTATGCACAAGGCAAAAACCTTGGGTTTCAGCATGACAGAATGAAGAATCCATCTTTGGGTGAAATCTGTGCCGTGTCTCAGTTATATCCACTTGCATACAACAAAACTACTCCAAGCGAAAGGCTTCCCAAGAAGCCTTTCGCCCACTTTGCATATCCAGCTGCTCCGATTTGGATGTGGTGTTTGGTGTGACCGAATCGACCTTTTGGCGCAACAAAACGGCCGTCTGGTATGACATGTACAAAAGTTGGTAGACCTAGAGAAAGCCAAATGGGCACCTTGGAGCTTTGGGTTCCGGACAAAGCCTCTGCCCTAAGAAGGCACACGTGGCTGACAAAGAATCACTGCTTGAGAAGCACAACGGAAAATGAGGATGCTCATACTTGGCATCAAGTTGCCAAACATGATTCGAACAAGCGGAGCCAGTGATGGTGGCCCTTTACCAAGCATCGCTATTCCCTCTCCCTTCTGATGTGTCCTAAGCGTTATGGACATTGGCTTGCTCCATTTGCTGCAGCTCAATGAGACTACCTCACCTCGGTTGCTTTCTGCTCCCTGCTTAAAGTGACTAACTTTTAGTGGTTTAATGGAAATCCCATTGGTTGGCGAAAACTTAAAGTCCTAACATCCAAGCAAAATGCACCAAAGTTACAATAGCTGAGCTTTGCTTGAGACGATGAACGCGCCATGTATGAGGTCCGTGACTTTGGGGGGGGGGGTCTCTTCAAATCGACCTGAAAATGTTAACTCACCCATGTGAGCGCCCTTTTCACCCACTGACTCTTGGCACTAAGATGGTAAAGGTTGAGGTCGTCTCATGTTGCAGATTCCCTCTCCGCATCCCTTTACATCCCACCTTCACTTGCTAGTGCTCAGTAGGGCATGAGGGAATGAACCCAGAGGCCCCCGTAAAGGAAACCACAAGAAGATTGTTCTTCGGGGTCATATTGTCATTTGGCCATGGGCCTAAATCCCGTACTTCCAGTGAACATCCCAATCCCCATTAAAATAGGCTCTAAAATGGGTGGTGAATTCACCTACCCCAAAATGGGATCCCATTGGTTTTGACAACCACTGCCATGCCCATGGCACCAGCAAGCGTCAACGAGGTTTACCCCGCGCCTGTTGCCATCGGACGGCGCTGATGGTCACCCCAAAGGCTGCGGCATCCGCAAGGCCTCGGGCGTCCACCTGCCGGGCTTCCGACTTGCTGCGGTAGGCAGGAGGCCATCCTGGGAACATACTGTGGATGGTTGCGAAATCCTTTTCGGAGGACATGAAAACCATTGTGTGTTGGTATTTACAAGGTAATCATCAGAAACCAGGGATTCTCAGGTGGTGCCTAAGAGGATTTTATCCATCCACAGTATCAAATGCAAAAGTGGAGGCCATGGCACTTAGTCAGAAGAGGCTTCAAACTGTGCTTTTTGGGGTTCAGGGCAATGAGATTTGGAATGAACCCAGGCATCCCCTTCAAGGAAACCACCAGTTGGAGGATTTATAAGGGTCATTCCATTTCTCATTCCCTGCTGAGCACAAGCAAGATAAGCTTCTATTTGCTTGTTCAGCCAAATTCGTATACCATGGCCAGCCACGGTTTTCGACCAAATTTCATATACCAACTGGAGAAAGAAAGAAAACCAAGGTATTTGGAATTGGGTGCCTTATATACATAGGTTATGACCATAGTCTTCCATTCGCTTTTTTGCCCCCCAGAAAACGAGAAAAGCGAAAGTGAAACTGATTCCCATCAAAACCAACAAGAGTAAAAAAAAAAGAAACTAAGCAAATGGAAGTAGATGTCAAAATCCCTAGCCGCTTAATCACCATGTCGACGGCGTCACCCGGCTTCCTGTTCAGTGATCCCTGAGGTCCTGAGGTCCTTTCTTGGACATTTTTTGGGCACTAGTCAACATGACAACGCTGTCGGCCCTTTTCAAAACAGAACTTGGGGTCCGTCACTCCAACTTCAAAGATCCCCTGGTTCACCCCAAGAAAACGGCGCCCGGTCAGTTGCCAGTTGCGCTGCTTCACATCCGTGGCTCGCATCAAACCAAAAAAAGTGCCACAAAAAAACCAAACGCATTTTCAGGGACACCCCTATAAATGGGGGTGTGTATTCTCAGTCCAATTCCTGGTGATTCATTTTGACCATCCCCAACTTGGTCTTCCAGTAGAGAGCTTAGAATAAGTTGGTACCCTTTTTTCGGTAGTCTATTCTAGTAGGGGAACCCTCCCCCAAAAAAGGGTAAACGGGCAGAACTGGGGGACCTAGTCAACACAATTTTTGGGTGACCCGTACGGGTTCTAACCACTGGGCTCCTTCTCTTTCGGGGGGCAAGACACAGAAAGCGTATTGCTTGCTATGGGATGCCAAGGGCCATTGGCTGGGGATTTTTGGCATTTTTCGCTCCAATTCGTGGCATCGATGTTGAGCAGCAATTGAGAGAAGTGCCCCCCCCCCCAAAAAAAAAAAAAAAAAAAAAAAACTTTGTTTATTCCCTCTGGCCCAAGTCGCTTTGTCTCCATTTGTGTTCTAATCAACATGGTGGATGATCAGCACAAGAGTGATGCGGATCGTTTTTAAGATGCAATCCGCACCTGTCAAGATCGACAAGGGGCGAATAGATTTACATCCTAGCGTCTCATTTCCCTAAGAGGTTAGACTACGCTAGGATCACCCACTATGACCCATGGAACCATTCCCATGAGTTTTTGGCCGGCGAGTTCCCAAAATGACTCCCAAAACTAAAAGAAACCTGCGTGGCTCCCATGGACGTTCCCAAAGTGCCTGGAACAAGTCCCATTCCCTCTTGTTCCTTATGGCAATTCGGGCAATTCAATCTGGGGTACCAAAAAATTAGACTTGAGCGGATCATTTGCAGGCTACAGGAACCGCTGGGTACTTTCCTACAGGCGAACTGAGCAACGGTGTCTACACGGCAAGACCGAGGAGACCTCGGGAGCCAAAAGTGTCCTTGCAGCTCAGAATACAGGCAAAAGACCCTAGGCGAACACAAAGCAACAAAGAAGCAAAGAGTTCTTTCAGAAAACATCAGAACGCTCTGTTAGCATAGGCCTTGTGCTCGCCCCTCGGGCGAACCCGCTTGAGTCTCTCTCGCCTTTGTAGCGAAACGGCGAAGGCTGCTTTGGCCGGATAGAACGTCGGCAAAAATGGGAAACCTACAGCCCGAAAAAGGCGCACAAATGAAAATTGTGTTGCGTGCGAGCGGAAGATATGAAGTGCCGCAAAGCATTCTGCTTTGCACCTCGCTGTGCTGCCCGAACTTCAGCGTGACAAGTGGCGTTGCGCAGGCCACAATGCTCACATTGCATCAGTGGCTACCCTCTTTTGAACAATCATGGAAGCGGGTGTGTCTCAAAATTGGGGGACAGCCAAAGCGCAAAGCGGTATGTGTCCTTTGGATTTCCTTTTAGGACCAAAACAGGTGGCCTCAAACAAAGACACACCCAAGTGGACGAGCTGCGAAGTCCTTCAAAACCGTCCCGTCCGCTTCTGTGATTGTTGGAGGGAGGGAATTTCACGTGCCAAACTGCAAACGCACTGGCAAGAACTACGAATAGGAAGTCAGCTTAGCTGGCACGGTTGCCATCCACAATCAATGCCCACTTCGCACTGGTGAGCAAGGCGGGGTGCCAAGAATGACCCATCTAAGTTATATCATATAAGAATCTTAATTGGGGAGCAGACCTCCGAAATACATTGTGGGAGCGACGTCTCTTGGCTGTTCAATGAATGGCAACTGACAAGCCATGGGTTCCCCGCACACTGAGGAACGCGGGAAAAGGAGATGGGCCTTTCGAACGCCAACGAACGGCAAGGCCATGGACAATGCTTCCATTGGCTTTTTTGCCCCTTGGAAAAAATGAGAATATATTGTCCAGTAATTAGTGAAATCGATTCCTTTTTTATATCAGGGGAAAAGAGTTAAAAAAAAAAATGCAAATGGAAGGAAACCCCTTTGATCTCAGGGGAAAAGAGTAAAACATACTTCGGCCAATGGAAAGACACCCAAAGTCCGGTTTCGGCGATGGGGATAGGTGTGGCGGCAAAAAATCAGGTGTCCAGGGACTCCATTTCGCTCACATCCATTTCGCCCACCGAAATGAGGCTGTGGGTCGAAAGATCCAACAAGGCTCCTTAAAAGAAATTCATTTTGCATCCATTTGAAACATGTTGCTTTTTCAACACCAAAACAAAGTTGGACACCACCATTTACAAGTTGCAATGTTCAGGTTGTTCTAGGCTGTGGGTCGAAAGTACCCCAAATGGGTTGCCTTCTGATAAATGGAAACCTGGACTGAACCTGCGGCCTTCTGGTGGTTTAATATTGACCCATGCCCATGTGGGTATGTCTGTCTGGCTGGTTGCCCTGGTAAATGGAACCTGGGTCGATCCAGTTGCGATCGCCTTTCTTTTTCTTCCATCTACACCCCAAAAACCAGCAACAGTGACTGAACAAAACAGCAACTTGGCTATCTAAGCAAGGACTGAACCTGCGGTTTTATCTGGTGGTTTATGTTTCACCCACAGCCATTTTCGGTGTGCTTCGGCCCCAGATCTGGCCAGGTTTGCCCCAAGTTCTTCTTTAATTGGACCACTCTGCACGTGCAATCAGCGCACAGAAGCACAAAGACAAGGCAACTGAAGAGGCATTAACCGGCCTCCTTGAAGCCACCACTGCTTTCAGTGGCCTGCCAGAAAATACTGAAAGCCGAGTCAACCACGGCACAAAAGAAAAGTCATCAGAACATGTCACTCTACTAATTCTCAAAACCTGAAAAATGCCATGTAAATACATGTACAGTCAGCGTCCTTGGCAGGCCCTGAAATTCACAGATTCGTTGGCATTACATTGCGTTTTATCTCATGGGTCTCGTCCAAAGCGTGCTTGCCACTCTTCGGCGTTGTATGCCCAAACACGCTGGACGGCGAATGCGCGGCCCTCGTGCCACGGCGGAACCTTGCTTCGGCTCTCGGCAAATCCGGACGCATCGCAGTGCGTGGGCCCTGACCCGTCCAGTTCCATCGACACCCGAACACTGGCAGCACAACCCATCGAGCGGAAGCAACTTTTCCCGGCTCCTGGGATTCTTGAGCCACAAAAACCTGCAACATGTGAGTCACAATCAAAACCCGGTAGTAAAGTGATCTACCCAAAACCGTGCAAAGAATCAAAAGAGCGGATATCCGCACCCATTTCTGGCAAGGGGATCGTCCCTTACTAACCTTCATCTACCCGAATCGGTTTTGAGCACGTGGCTCATGTCCAGCTGGAAGTACGCACCTTTGACCTTTGTCTCTAACTTAATTTGGCTCTGAAGTACCCAGCCCATGGGGAAAAACAAACATGCCCAGATGCCCTGATATTTCGCTGAAACAAGCAGCTCCAAACGAAACATACACGGCTTCGAAAACAAAAAAAGCGTGTGGTTCACAACAAGACCCCTTTAGCAGCGAGGCCTGCCGAGTCGGGGTCTGGGGTCCATTTAGTGGCCAAAAGTCCAAATCCAAAACCTGCTGAAACCTCCCCTATTCACCTGTTGGCCCAAGAATGGTTGGGAGTAAAACAAAAGCTGTCCCAGAAAAGCTTTCCCCAACTTGACACTAACCCTTTTGCGCCATCCCCCCTGGCCTACCTGAGTCTCTGAACATGGCCAGCAAAACCAGTAGATTGGGTGAGTCATCCAGAAAAGCCGGGAAAATCTGGACATCAAGCACACGCGTGGGTCAAATTGCTTGATACCATTGGGAAATCTATCTTTCCGCAAACCACGGGCGGACGGAATGGGTGAATGCGGGGCTGCAGAAAACATGAAGGGTATGTTCTGCGATCTTGTTCGGCGCTTTCCCCATAGCCATCCCAAAAAGTTCATCTGGCTCACGTGGGCTCAAACTGGAGATCCCTTTTGGATGGAACCCCCAAAGGACCCAAGCCATCTGGGCGAGTCACTATTGACACACCTGAGAATTCAGGAATCATCAAAGTTGGTCAACCTGAAAACCCACAATAAGTCCCTCCATTTGCTGCAGTCTGCTGGAAAAAAAGTAAGAAGTATATCCAGTAGTGATAGATTGCCTCTAACACAAGGGCAAAGTTGAACATATTCTTAAGCAAATGGACGTTGCTGGACTTACTGGGGGAGGACCCCCCCAAAAAAAAAGGAGGCAGAACCACCAGTGAGCCGCCTGGCCCTCGCTTGCGGGTTGAATCGGCAGCTAGAAAGGGGCCAATTTTCTAGGGGTAGCTTCCTGTTCCATTCTGAGCCCAGGGCTCCGAATCTTTCGAGCAAACCGCCCAGAGGCCCCGGGGAAACGGATCTTGAAAAGAAGGAGGGCTGAAGAGAATGGGAGAAAGGAAAATCAACCCCGGGAAACTTAGAAACTCCACCGCCCACAGCCTGCGGTTACGTTGACACAACCAGGTGGTACAAATTTCTGGCGGTTACGCTGAGATGTGTTCATGGTGGTAACTGAAACTCTCGGTTGTGAACCAAAAAAACTGGGGCGTTGCCACTTTCTTTCATACCCAGCAATCGTCAACGTGATACCATGGACTTTGCTACCCACAGCCTTCCTGCCGTTGGCTTAAGTCCCCTCAAAAAAAAACATGCCCAGCTGTATGTTCCCTTTAAACCCAGGGGAAGTCATAGAACAATCTTAAGCAAGGGGAAGTAGCAGCTCCTTTGTCTGGAAAGTCCCCAACCAAGTTGGGTGTCTTGTTTGGAGGGTACCATTTCACTTGTGGTTTTACAGGGACACCAACAAAATGGAAGACCCTTGCGCCGTTTTGGGGGGGGTCCGACCACAAAAGAAAACGAAGGTCGTACCAAGTTGTTCCACTTGTACACTTCCCGCTAGGAGGGTTTCCCACTCTTTTACTCCAATTTTCGGAAGCCTCCTGTCGAATCATGGGTGAGAACTCCCATGAGCCCATCATCTGCCCGGGTTTTGATTGTGGCTTATTTCCACGAGAGAGATGCCCCCTGACGCCGGACGCGAGAACTCGATCCAATCGCCTCCGCCAGCAGCCCCACTGCTGCGCGCCAGGCGGAACTGCGCGAGGCGGACTTGGCGCAGATGGAGAAGCAGGCAGCGTCCAGCCAAACCCGGCCTGGCGAGAGAGAGAGGACACCAACCACAAGGAAACCACCTGCCAAGAAGCGGGTGGGTCGCGGTGCTGTACCGCAGGGTGACCAAGCTTCCAGCAATAACCAACTACCAAGCAAAGCAACCAAACCAAAGTACCCGCCAACCAACCCAAGCAAAGCCGCCAACCAAGCCAGGCAAAGCAACCGACCACCAAGCAAAGCAACCGACCACCAAGCAAAGCAACCAAACCAAGCAAAGCAACCAAACCACCAAACTGCCCACCAACCATGTCATGAACCATTTCCTGAACCATGAGTCTTGTCGAGTTTTGAACCACTTCATGAAGCATTACCATTTCATGAACCATGTCATGAACCAACCAAGCAAAGCAACCAACCAACTACCCACCAACCAAGCCAGATGGCTGGCGAGAGAGAAAAAAGACACCGAATGGCTGTGGGTGAAAAGTCGGAACCCAAAATGGGTTGCACTGGTGAATGGAAGCGGTCCAATTTCTGGTGGTTTAATTTTGACGCATACCCAAATAACCAACCAACCAAACAACATCGTGCGCACCTACACCCTGACGCCGGGGAGACGCTACTCCTTCGGCTGCCGGTACCGGCTGGGCACCAAGCAAGCAACCAAAGTAAAGCAATGCAACGTAAAGCAAAGCTAAGCTAAGCGAAGCAAAGCAATGCAAAACCAAACCAACCAACCAAGCCCTTTCCACCTGTCCTAATTCGATCTTGGTGCCTTGCGATATATATATATATACATATATATGCACATATACATATACATATTATACGTATACAGGAGTGCAAGTTCATTTGCAATGCCTGTAAAGAGAGCCAAACAAAAAGATCCCCTTGATCCCCCGCCTTGATCTAGGCGGGACAGGAGCTCAAGGCCGTCGCGCCAGGTGCACACGCCCAGCAGCCGCCCCGCCTAACCGGGGCGAAGCCGGCAGAGCCAGGGGCCACCACTCCAACCATCGATCGATGGTTTCTACCGCTAGAGGTTTGACGTGTTTTGTGTTTTTGTTCATTTTCCAGTGTATTTGTTTTCTTATATATATATACATACATACATATGTATATATATATATATGTATGACTTTCAAAAATGCCACCATGTGAAGGTCTATGCTCGTTTTCTTTCCGGTGGTGGCTTGGGGGTACTGGAACCCATCCTAGACACACTGGTTTTTTGGCCCGTCCGATGCGGTCCTTAAATGAGTAGGGGGACCAGGGTTCACCCATTCTATCTGGGTTGGAGGGGTGATTTGAGGATTTGAAGCCCTCAAAAACAACCATCGAGAACCGATCCAATTGGTTCAACCCCCCATGGAACATCCCGGCAAGCCACCAACGGCTCCCTCCCTTTCCGGTTCGGCTGGCTCAATGACCCGCACCCAATAAACCGAACAAGAGGATTGGGATGCCGGTGCTTTCCCTTGGAAACACACAAGGGAACCCTCGAAAAAAATCGAGCCGCGCACTTCGAGAACGGGTCATGTTCAATAGCCCCAGCGCCTGTCTGGCAGACAATCCCATACATGGCCATGGCGATTGGGCGCTTGCCTGGATCAGGCCACGAAAGAGCAAGCATCCCAAAAACTGTCAAAGGTGGCCAAAGCATGAAAGAAAAAACAACATCCACATCCGCCAAGGGACACCTCGCAGTACAACTCACACTGTGCCGTCCCCGAGCCAAATGGCTCATTCATCCGAAATCTGTGCTCACTGATCACCCTCTTGTGCATCCCGCCATGTTCCCCAATTGCCAATGAGAGAAATCTGAAAAAAATCAACACATGGAAAGGCCATCCGCTGTTGGCTTCTCTCAGGAGGAGTAAAGAGCATGTTGAGCCCGTGTCCCAAAGCTGCGGTCAGCGCCAGCCATTTGTTCATCGCCGCTTTGCTCAGCGAGTCGCTCAGCTTCTGTAGAGCCGCCTGAGCTCCGACGCTGCAAGTCCCGAAGCATGCGTGAGGGTGTTTCGCTCCCGCAAACTGGCAAATAGAAAAGGTCTGACCTGTCGGCTGTCGGCTTCCTCAAAGCAATTAAGCCAACTCCCGTGCTCTCACCTTGTCCGAATTGGAAGTGGCTCAAAATTCAAGAGCCAGGGCAAACCGTGGGTTTTTTCCGTCTTTGGTTCCATGTACCTCTTGGTGCCAGTTGGGGGTCCATGTTTTCGAGCCACGGCCGACTGGAAGTGGACTTCCAAGCCAGCGACTCAGACGCCGCCCGCCTCCGAGGCGAAGGGCCGCTCGGTCCAGACCAGCCAGAGCCGCTGGCGATCCTCGAACACTTCAGGCAGCTGGGTGGGTCGGTGGCTCCCATTTTCTTGGGGGGGCGATCCTCGGCTTTTCCTTTGCCTTTCCTTTTTCCCTTTTGGCATCCCCCCCAAAAAAAGATCACACGAAGAAGGGTATCGTGTCCTTTTCTGAGGGGGGGGGGGGCGGCTTTTGCCCTTGTGGCATCCCAATTATGATACAGGAACACACAAAAAAGAAAAGGGGTACCGTCGAAAAAAAGACGCCCTATAACCATGCATCTAAGGGGAAAAGAACTGGGGGTGGTCCCCCAACCATTGGTTATAAGTTGTATCCTTCCCTGACGTGGTTCACACACGAGGTGGACAACCCAAAACAAAAGCCACGGCTGAAACTCCTAAGTCATGGAAATGGTTCCTGGACTTGACCTTCCCTAGCCCCAAGTGAGTCAGAATCAAAACCCCGTACAAACATGGTGAACCTAGAACCATGCAAAGGATTAAGAAGACGGCTGCAGCTATTAATGGTTGGGATCGTCTCTTACTAACCTTCATGTACCCGGGTTTTGATTGTGACTCAACTGAGCACCTAAAACCCCATGGGCTGAAACATTCTGCAAGCCTCTCTATAACCCTCAAGCCAGGTATAGAACCACCTACACTGACCATCACAAAATGGTGTTGAGCGCTTCTGAAACGCGCTAATGGAGTACAAGGGAAAGGGTACACTTGGGTCTCTTTCTGTTGTTTTCATGTTTACCAAACAACCAACGCCCATCTTGAGGAAGGACAAAACAAAGAAGCCCATGTTGAGGAGGGTAACAAAAAAAAAAACATTTTGGGGAGGGTCCATCTCTCCGAGCACACGCGCGCGTGCTCCTCTGACTGCAGCTCCGGGAGGCAAGCCAGCAAAGACTGGCGCCTCAGGAGCACCTTTTTCGCGGGTTTCCACCTTCGTGGGGTCCCTTTGGTATTGGTCTTTTCTTTTCTTTTTGGTGGACGTTTTTCTGGGGGCCAAAAAGATAGAAAGCAAACCACTAAACCACAATAAGCAAACAAAATGTTTCCCAACAACATCCGCGTCTACCCGCGAAGCTCCGAACACCGGCTTTGTTCAGGGTATGTTTTGACACACGCACACATGCCGGGGGGGGGGGGGTGTTCCAAAATTATCCAACAAACCTCAGCAGCGCTCAACACTACCTCGCTTCAAGAAACCGGCATAGCTTTTTTGTTTCGACTGAACCTTTGGGCGGATTTGAGTATTGCTCTCTTCGAGAAGCCCGCAGAAAGCAGTTTTATGGCCCTGCAAGCTTTCATGGTCGGAACGCCCACGAACAGTCAGTGGACATCAATCCAACCATGTGTTGTGAATGTTGTCCATCGAACGGGCAATAAAACAAACGACGTGCTCACATCAAGGCTAACTTTGGCCTTGAGCCCGCACCACTCACAGTAGGAGTCCACAGCACGTGGCCGCCCAAAACCCTGTATTTTCCCAAAAAAAAGGCGGAGGACAAAGAAGAGCTATGTATAAACCCTCTCAACAAAGGAGGCGAATAGAATGTAATACACCATATTCCCACTCAACCCCCCCACCCCCCAACAGCAAACAAAAACGAAAAAACACAAACAACTGCAAACAAATACACCATGTTCCCACCGCCCCCCCAAAACCCCCTCCAAAAAAGAAAAGAAAAAAACGGTTCCCGGAAGGCCTCGACGTCTCCTCCCGGGGCCCGCACAGGCGGTGCTCTGAGCCTGCAAGGAGTGCAAGCCTTTCGGGCGCTAACCGGGGGAAACACGCTCGACTCGGGGGTCTGTTTGGTGGGGAACCAAACCAAACCCATCCCTCTGGTGTTTGTGGTTCTTGTTTGGTGCCCCTTGTGATTTTACTGTCTTGTGTTAAGCAAACCAAACCAAACCCATCCCTCTGTTTTTGGTTGGTATTTGGGTAGGTCTTGATGTGTGTATATTAAACAAAGAGGAAAAAACAAATAACGACAGTATTATTTTTGTTTGGGGAGTGCATCAGGTGCTGTATTCTCTCCTTTTTGGGAGGGGTGGGTTAGGCTATGCTTTTGAATACAAGCCAAAGCGTATCTCAACAAAAACCCAACGCAAGCCCCAAAACGGTTCTTTTTATCAACTGGAGGGTGAATCGAGGTCAAGACCCCTCAGCTCGCGGCGCAGGAGCTGCGACACCTCGCAAGCCTGCGCCTGCGCGTCCCCAGCTTCCCCAAACCCAAAAAAGTTGGGCGCGCGCCCAAGAAGCTTCGGCACAGCATGGGGCGCTCCAACCAAAAACTTCGCAGGCGCATGGGGAGCTCCCAACGTCGCTCTTCCAAAAGACTTCGTCGGAAAATGGGGGCGCCCCAAGACAACATCGGAAGAGAATGGCGCGCTCCCAAAACACTTCAACAGGAAACGGGGGTCGTAAGAACATGGCGATTCCCAAAAGTTCAACTCCTCACTGACAAGGTCTCGCAAGGCATCACAACTGCTTCTTCAGACGGCGGGGTGAAAGGACGATCCGTCAAATCTCCGCTGGCCAAGGAACACCAGGAAGGAAAAAAAAAAGAGGAAACAACAAAAACGAATCTGCCTGCCTGCCAGGCCCGCGCATCAGCTACTTGCAGCACCTCGCGCTCGCGCGAGCGCAAGCGCGTGCGAGAAAACTGGCACGTGCCACAGGGTCAACTGATTCGTTGATTCGTTTCGGCACAAAAGCGGAAATGGAAGGAGGTCCCACGTTGCCGGGTGGAAAAGGTCTGGACATGTGCCAATGTGACATCCACATTGCAATGCGGGAGTGGCTTCTCTTCAGGGGTGCTCACCTCCAAGGGACCCATGGCACAGGTCATGGGAAAAAGCTAAGGGGAAGCGATTGGGTGCCGCAGGTCACGGAGTAATCCCGATCTTGTCTTATGTTTCGGCGGGGAAGGCTGCACATTCTTAGCGCTGTTACCCTTTTTCAGCATTGTTACCCCGTATTTGGCATGGTTACCTCACCATCTGTGATTGGTTGGGCCCCGTATGGGTTACGAATGGGCTCCAAATGGACACACGTTGCCTTTGGAACCCGTCAACCTGACTCCGAACCTCATGGCTAGATGGCAGGTGGCACATCCCCGAGCAAGCCACCCAGGATCGAAAAGGAGCAAGGGACTCACCTTGTGTTTGGACCAAACAATGGTAACCAAGAAGGGTCACTGTGGCAGCGGAACTCAAACATGTAGCCTCTTAAATCCGTAACGTCAATGTGTTGCAACTGCAACGGGCATTTCAACTTGGTACAGAAAGCGAGCCTTGGACCCTGCGAATCGATGCCAATCCTCTTTGGGCTTCCCTTCAATACCTTTGGATCCGCCATGAAGAAACCTGTACGAGATATTCCACACGATTCTTGTGGCAAACGTAACCAAAAGAAAGCCCAAATGCCCTGACCTTGCCCACCAAACTTCCGACAACGCTTTGCATAGGAACTTGCACTTGCTGAAAAATCCGGAACCAGTCATCAATTCCCAAGACCAGGTGGGAGAGGTAAGGAACACCATCCACCTGGAAGCCTGGGGGTAGCGATTTGACCGCTTCCCGGTTGTTGAGCGCCGCTGGCAGAAAAGGGTGCTCTCTCGATTCACAATTCTCGAACCTACAATACAACGGACATATTTTCCGCAGGTGGCCTTTTGGAAAAATAGATGGCTTTCCCTGGTAAACCTGTAATAAAGCCATCCTTTTTAACCCAAAGTCACCAATCAAAAGGACACCCTTGGACCTATGGGCACCGAGGAATTCGAATTCCAGTGATCTCGGGGCAAGCGCACTGCAAGCGCTGTTGATCTCCTCCGACAGCTGCTCCATGTCAACCTGTACTCAGTTGTTCAGCTGGAGAGAAAAAGGAACCCTTTTTGGGGAAGACCATTTTTAGTGGGGCAGCCACCCAAAAAAGGGGGGAAAAAGGTGCCACTGAACAACTGAGTGAAATTTCAGACCCTCGCATACCTCACCGACAGGCCACCAAAGAGCCTGGCGGCTTGTCAACGTGGATGTTGTGTCAGTCTAGCATCCTGCTTACATACCCCAAATGGACTTACACCAAAATCAGTGGTGGTACAATACATAGATTATGGAGTCCTATGTTGGTTTCTATTCTTCACCTCTTGACTGCGTGGAATCGGGAGGGATGAGTCTTCTTTCAATGGTGCAGTGGAGGAATAGGATTGGGCGAACACTGGAGCTGGTCGTTTCCAACCGGAGTATTCATTTTTGCAGTTTTGTAACCTAGTGAATTGCAACGGCCCCCCTGCATCAACTCTCCGACTGAAGGGGAACAGCGGCTGTTTAAGCTGCGTCTTTTTGACTTGTTTGTTTTGGAGAAAGAAGAACATGAATTGCGGTGGCGTGGGCTGGAAGCCACCTATGCTCGGATCGTCAACTCTGCTTTGGTATAGGCCGCCCTTTTCTTCTGCCTGGCTGAAAGGCAAAACAGGGGGAACCCATCTGGCCATGGGTCAAAATCCAAATCGTACCCCCACTGAACATCCGATTCAATCCAACCACTAAAATAGGAAGCCTCAAAATTTTGGTGGTGAATTCCTTCGCCCCTCCCCACCAAAAAACGGGATCCCGCCCAAAACGGTTTGGACCAGGGCCGATGGACCGGGCCGGCGGCCTGCAGCTGGTCGAGCCTCTGCTGCGACAAGGACCTGCTCCTGCATCCATCGCTATGAAGGAACCTCTCGAAAAGAGGTTGATTAGCGTCTCGGAAAGACATGTGTCCAAAATGTTTGGTTGAAAATAGTTGGGGGAAACCCTGGTTGATTGAACCAGGTAAACCAGGAATCGCCCTCTATGTTTCAACCAAATCAACCAAAAAGGACACCTATTCTATGGTCTCGGACCTTTTGAAACGCCACCGAGTGACTATGAGTTACTCGTGGCTCTCTCTCCCTCTCTCTCTCTCTCTCTCCATTTTTGCGGCCGATAGCTCCCAGGGCTCTTTCTGCGGGAGCTAAAAGGTCAGAGGCAGCTTTCCTCGATGTCTCTAGCTGTATGGTCAATGCGCCATGCAAATCTAGAGATTTGACAAATCTCCTATTGGGTCCCTTCGTGTTTGCCCGGCAAAATATGGTCACCAGTGGCCCATTTCTGCCTTTGGCTCTATGACCTTCCTCGGGTTGATCATCCCATGGATCTGTCTCCAAATCCTCCCACTAGACGTCCCAAATGTGTGGTGCTCTTGCAGCTCCCCCTTTTAAGATCCCAAGAAGGGACCAGTTGGGTGTGGGTCAAGAATAGGGTACCCCAGAATGGGTTGCCCTGGTAAATGGCAACAAAGACACAGACGGCTTGAGCGTTCCCGGTGGTTCCGGATTTGAACCCGCCCAACTTGGGTGGTGCGACCAGGTCATATACTGTCCGAGCAGCTAATCGTTACTCCATACCATTGCCTACCCATACCCAGATCAAAACGTAGAAAGCTGCGGGGATCCAACTCCGGGAGTCTCTAAAGAGAGACCCTTAAACTTTCTGAGACTCACCTGACGCTGCAGCGATTCCAGCTTGTTGAGGATTTCTCGGTTGCGAACTCTGCGAAGCCCAGCAAAGCCTTCGATCAGGAAGCCTAGGACACCTCTGGTTTGCCACTTTGCCCAGTGGTCCACACGAAAACCAGAAGGACGCAGTCTACAAAAATGAAAGACCTCCTTCTTGGTGGTATCAAAAAAGGAAACGAAAAGGAAACCAAAAATGAAACCAAGAGCCACCAATTTCCGTCGCCAGCCATCCATCAGCCATCCATCAGCCATCCGTCAGGGCGCTCCTCAAATTGCCATACCGAAGACTTGTCCAAGCCGGCCGTTTCACTTGGCACGTGGTTCCCATTGTCCGGTTCCTTTAGTGTTAGTTCCTTTTTTCCTTTTGTTTTTTAAGTTGGTTTAGTTGGGGGTGTCCCTTTAACCCACTGGAAGCGAAACTTTTGGATCTGGGAACCGCCCGGCTTGGGTTTCCCTGTGGCCCATAGTGAGTCGAGGGTGCACGGCAGGCCTTGCCAGGGACGACCGCGCGAGGTCAACAGCCTCACACCACACCAAGCTCGGAAGGGGGGGCCAGGGTTATGTCAGTGGCTACTGATCGCTATGTGTTTTTGTTGAAGAAGATGTCAAGGAAAAAGATGGACTCATGGGTTCTGGGTGTTGGGGTTTGGTGAGATTTGATACGGGATTCTTAAAATTACCAGTGCTAGCTTTCTGAAAGGACGCCAGGGCAACAAACTGGGAACCTGGGAGGCAATTCAACAGGGCTCAGGTTACAAAGAATTCCCTAAACGAATCACCCCACCCCACCCCACCCCACCCCACCCCACCCCACCCCACCCCACCCCACCCCACCCCACCCCACCCCACCCCACCCCACCCCACCCCACCCACCCACCCCACCCCACCCTCCCCACCCCCGCTCCTTCTAGTTTTGGGGGCCGCACCCCGCCTCCTCCATTGGAGGTTGGCACTGTTTCGGGGGAGTTGCAAAAGGGAAACCAAAAGGAACCCACCCATCTTGAAGACAACCCCATACGACCAAAGAGAGAGACCTCCAGAACCATAGTTTTTACCGGTCCAAAGTCGCAGGATTGTGAAGGTGTGGTTTTGGGGGGGGGGGGGGGTGCAAACCGAAACTAGACTTTCCTCTGCCAAATATGCTCAAACCGGTACCCTTGAGCGTTTGGAAGGTGCTCAGGGGTCCAACAGGATATGGAACCCCAGCTTCAATTCTCCTGTTGTCTTTGACTGGTCCTTTGTCCCCCAAAAAGAGTAGCCTTGTTTTGAATTGTCGCAAAGGGTAACTAAATGGAAACTTGCCGAAAAAAGTGAAACCACTCCAACCTCTTCAAGCCGGCGTCATTCAAGGACCGCGCAGGGCTCATCCCAGCAATGCCCAGCCTCGGTCTCAATGGCGCGACAAAAGGATGCGGGCTCTCCCCCAAGCAGAAACACGCTTGTTGAGTGTTACATCGCAAGGGAACTTCTGAAGGAAGCTTTGAGGGTATCTCCAGGGGCAAGTGAGCTTTTTTCGGAGGAAGGATGGACATTCCCCCTATATACATATCTACCGTGTCCCCTCCCGTGTCTTGCCACGAGCCTAGCGGCAAGCCGACATGCTCCTCCGACAGGTAGTCCAAGCGCCTCAGCCCATCGGTCACCCCTGGCGTTATGAACTGCGTACCTTTTGCAAGCTTGGTTGACCTGTAGCAACAAATGATGATGTCGCAGTAAAACCCTTTCGCAGCGATCCATGCCGTGCAGAAAAAATACACCGAGGACTCCGAGGAAAAGGCGTCGCGCCGTCCAGAACCAGGCGCAGTGCTTCGGCGGAAAGCTTGTTTGCCGCCTGGCGAAGAGCAAACGAAACCGAAAACAAGCCTCAAGCCAGTCTCACATGGGTATGAATTTTGACTAAGGGACCTTCTTGGTGGACAGCATTTAGGTGGGGGTGTATATCCACCAATCACTTTTGAGGTGGTGCCCTATTAAAATGCAGGGCCACATGATGCGCAGACACCCCGATGGAACGTGACGCCTTCCTTCTGGAGAGGACAACAGGCCATGAGGGAGGGTTAGTAAAATAGCGGTAAGATTCCTTCCGCTGAGCAAAAGTGGGCACCATTGTTGTGGGTGAACATCGAGGTAGTTCAAAGGAAAACCAACCTGACAAATGCTTGCTCTCATGCTATGCTGTTTACCTGTTTTAAAGAATAACAAACCCCCAAAGAGCCCCACATTACCCTCCCACCTACTAACATGGAACTGGATCCTAGAAGACTCCTTTAAAAGGGAACGAGTCTTTGGTGGTTCCATGTGGGCAGGAGGGTCTTTAACCACATTCCCATTTGAGGGTTGATCAAAAGCTCCTTTGCATGGGATGAATCTTGGGGAAAAGGACCCAACAAAATGCGATATTTCAACCACCAAATGGAAAACCACCCCACATGGGTCATCATTTGGGGGCCCTAAACGGAAAAAAAATGATCAACCCCTTTTTTACCATGCCATGAACTTGACCCTCCGATCTCCTCCCACTGGCGCAGTAGCCGGGACAAGCTGGCAGCGGCGCGCCTGAGCTCGAGACCGGGATTTTGCAAAAAGCCTTGAGATAGCGGGGGATAGGCTGGAAACTACATGTGGCTCAAAAAAGCGGCACCACAATGGCACCTTGGTATGTGGAACCAAAGACTAAAACCCGCGTAACCCCAGCTCTTTACAAAACTTTAACCACCAGGATATGGACCGCAGGCTTTGGTCCTTGTTTCCATTTACCAGGGCAACCCATTTTGGATATCCATTTTTCTCAAAGCAGGCGCCTCCAAAAGTGGGTTTGCCTGCTCTCTGGCTCAGCCTTAAGCCAAGAGGCAAGAACCCCACGCATCTGGCAACTCATTATTTTACCATCAACCCCCTAAATGCTAGGTTAAAGGGAAACAACCGCATCCATACGTAGTCTGACTTTGATCACCCCCAGACACCGTCAAAATAATGACCCCTGATCTAGAACAGGAAGCTTGCCGGGCTACGTGCCTCAGGGAATGCATGGTGCTACATCCGGAAAGTTGCCGCCACAGCGCGTGAACACCAGGGTTTGGCCTCATAAGAGAAGATGGCGCCAACCCTAAAACAGTTGAACTGGTAAACTTGCCAGAGGCTCCAGCTAGGGCGCGATCCCGTGGGATCCCGTCTAGCCCTGCCGAAACCCTCGAGGCCCAGGAAACGCCCTCACAAGGAGCCAAAAGGAATATCCCCCCCTACCCCCCCAAACCCCCCAAACCCCTGTTTCGGGTGGAAAGGGAAGCAAGCAGCCTGGGCGTGTGCTTCAAAACATTGGACTCGTCCTAAAATGGGGCGAGACACCGCATAAAACCGATGGGAGCCCTTTTGGTGTCCCGGTTTAAACACCGTCTGAGACGGGTCCCCTTTGCAATTCGTGAGGTGCCTGCTTCCCTTTGAAACCATCCACACAAATGCACCAAAGCGGACCCGCAGGAACGTGCCCATCAATCATCCTCTCGGACGCATCAAAAACCTTGCACTTGGGAGTTTTGCACATTGAATAGCTTTTAGCCTTGCGCTGTAGTCGTGCGAAAGCAGAATTTTAGCTTAGTCATCCGATTCCGCGTGCCCACAAAAGGGAACTGAATTCTGCCATCTACTTTCTGGCGTCATTTTTCTACGTGTGAAAATAGGGGATCCAAAAATGCCTCGGTTTCGCAGTTGGCTTGCAGCCAACGGCTCTGAGAGCCCTGGCTCCTCCATCTCGGATGGGGCTTTATCCCAGCTCCATGAACGACAGGGAATTTCGCATCCGAGCCTCCCATGGAAGGCAAAAGGTGTTGCTTTTGGAATGCATGAATTGTGGTAGATGAAAGGCCTCAACCAAAGTGAAGTGCCAGGCGCAAGAAAAAATCATCGTGCCAACAAAACACAAAGTTGCCCTAAAGGAAAATATGGTGAACTTCAAAATGTCAATTCCTGGGACCTGGAACCCTATGATGTGCAGTTTACCAGGGTTTGTGACCCCACCCAACTTTTGCAAGGGAACGAGGGCACCCTCTAATTTACTACAAATACCAGGGATTTCCAGTTGGATGTAGCTGTTTCACTCTGTCACTTGCATTCCCCTCTTCCGTGGTCACTTCCGGAGTACTGTACTGATAAGCGGTGGTTCCAATTGCTGTAAGGAGATCATTTACTTTTGCGGGCTGACTAGTAGGGTTCGGATTAATCCGAAGCCCTGTTGAGTCAGACACTCTCTTTAAATGATTGGAGAGTACCTTCCGGGATAGCTTCTTTCTTACATGTGTTCTAGGGGTACCTGCCCCATTCTTTCCAAGCATCCTTCTTTCTAAAAAACCACCACAAACCCTGGCGAAACAGCTGGTTTTCGCAAACGGAGTCAACCCTAGATGTGTAGCAAGGTCATTTTGTGTGGCTCGACGGACAACTTCTTGAGCCGCGTTCCTCCGGGCTGGCTGTGGCACCGTATCAAGAGATCAATCCTATGAAGGTAACTCATCCATCCGGAAGGTGGCTCATGCTGATTTCCTTCGGCTCAGTTTGGCACAAACCAAAATGGAGTGCTGAAATGGGGGACGGCGCCAAAGCGAACCGCTGTTCAGGCCGGCAATGGAAGTCGGGTGAAGGGAGGCCTCACGCTTTTCAACTTCGCCTCTTCGACTTCCGCCTGACTTCTGTGGCTTTGGTCATAGCGGTCATTAACAAGCTGAGGAAGAAGGCACCTCAACGCCGCCTCTGAAGCCAACGTGCAAGCACCTCTGAATTAGTCATGAGTGTAGGAACAAGCCATTAGGAATGGTTTGCCCTCGTATCCAGTCCAGCAGCTGCTCGCTGCCAAGTCTGCCCGCTACGCTCACATCTCCGAAATCAGCTGGAAGTCTTCCTCGCTGACCTCGTAAAGCTTTGCATCGTTGAATTTCAGGCTTCAGTTATCGAGTCAACGTACTTCAGCTTCCTTCCAATTGGTGGTTTGGTGGCTAGGGGTGATTTCCCATTTGCCCTTTGCAAGAACCAGAGGTTCAATCCAAATCACCAATCAAGGGTTGTCTGAGTACTCTCTGGCTCTAATGATCACTGCCGATTGGTTCGAAAGGGAATTTGTGCGGACGCCAATCTTCGGTTGCCTGTTGCTTTCAGCCTGCAAAGCGCACGTACCGCAACAAGGCAAACAACCAAGACGCCGACAACAGACGGCGTGTTGGACAGAAGAAATGCTCCTTACTTCTGTACCTGTTACCCCTCCCCTGACCCCTCCCCAACGGCGGAGGGCCCATCGGGGTGCTCGGGTCCGTTGGCTGCATCCTTAGCACCCCCAGCACAACATCGCCAGCATCGCCAGCATTGCCAGCATTGCCAGCATCATCATCATCATCATCATCATCATCATCATCATCATCATCATCATCATCATCATCATCATCATCATCATCATCATCATCATCATCATCATCATCATCATATTCATCATCATCATCATCATATTCATATTCATCTTCAGTGTCCGCCAAGCATGCGGATAATGCAGGTGATGCTGGGGATGTTGCCCGTAGATCTGGAAATGAAAAAGATCTTACCAGGGGGCAAAAGATCTTAGGGGGGGAAAAGGGGGCAAAGAGCTTGGGGAGGGAAAGGGGACAAAGAGCTTAAGGGGGAAAGGGGGGCAAAGAGCTTAGGGGGGAAAGGGGGGAAAGATCTTCGGGGGGAAAAGGTCTTAGGGGGGGAAGGGGGGAACACATCTTGGGTGGGGAAAGGGGGGAAAAGATCTTACGATGATTTTTGTTATTGGGAGAAGTCCAATGGCGATGGGAAAAAAAAACACAGGAACACTTCCAATGGGACAATTTCAAAGGGACACACATAAGAAAGCAGGCCTGTGATGTCGGCGGCCTGTACTGGAGGCGTTAAATAACAAGCAAGAAAAAACACATCATTACATATCTACATACCAGAAAACATATTGCCATATAAGTCATAGTCAACCCCAGACCATGTAAAGAATCCAGAAGGGCGGCCGCCCCAAAATGGTTGGGAGTGTCCCTTACTAAGTTTCACTTGCCCGCGCTTTCACACAGTGTGCGTGTCTCAATATCACCTCCTTTAAGCTTCTCTTTACAATCAAAAGGAGGTGCCCGAAAAATAGAGGCTCGCATTCAGCACCCGACTTAGTGCGCAACGTGAGGTCTTGCTTTTCCCTTTAAAGCCCAGCGCACCCATTCAGGTGGACAGGGTTCTCCTATTTCAAGACACGCCCATTTGGACCCTTGCGCAAACACACGCCTCTCAATTGAAAAACGAGCAACAGTCAATATGAAAGCACGGGATATTGGCTGCTCACCCAAACCCGACGTCAATGGGGGGAACAATAAATATTGCTAAAACATTGAGCGTGGCTCAGGTGGAAAAATTGTCAAAATGGACCCTTCCCCCTTTTGTTGCTATGTGACGCATTCCAGGCTGGAATTAGGACCCCAGCAAAAAAATAGCTTTTTTGCCTGGTCAGTGGAAAACAAAGGGACCCAAAAAAAGCAAAAAAAAGGAGCTAATTCTGGGGAAGCATTGAGGGGACCCCGTTCACAAAGAACCTTGAACACCCGAAGCCCGTCTTGGAACCCCGAGGCCCCCAGGCGAGCGGCTTTCCCTTCTCCCCTTCGATACCAAACACGGGAAGAGTACCAAGTCCCTTTAAACACGGCCACAAAAGGGGCAAGTCAAAAAAATCGCCGGGCCCTACCGGCTTCCCTTTAAAAACACCATGGCTGCATTTCCCTTTTGGTTTCCCTTTGAAGCCACCAAGAAAGCGGGGCATCAAGTCCAAAATCGCTGGGTCCCACCGGCCCTTGAAAAACACCAAAAAAGGGGGTACCAACCAAAAATCGTTGGGCTTCCCTTTTGGTTTCCCTTGCAAACCACCAAGAAAGCGGGTACCAACTCACCAACCGTTGGGCTGACTCCCCCACTCGGGGCTCAGTCGGATGACCTAAGCTCCCAAAGCGGCCTCGAAGCCACTCAGCATCCGCTCGGCCGTGGGTGAGGCGGTCACTTCCAGCAGGTACCCGTCGCTGGTGTGCTCCTACCAAAAATTGAACGTCGCCCCAAGGAGAAAAACCAAAACCGGAAGGGACCTGGGACTCATGTCGCCGCTCCCAAAGCATGAAATTCTGAAACACGAATTGGATCCATTCACCATTCATATGTACCGCAACCCATTGGGTGGGAAGGACAAAGATCCGAAGCCATGTCCGTTTCGAGAGATGTCGCGGAGATTCCGAAGTTGGAGTCCGTGTGGCAACTTGTTTGGAGGGAAGAAACAATCCCAAGCCCACTGTATCACACTCAAAATGGCAACGGAACCCCGAAACCAGGTAAGCCTTTCTTGACGCGCGGATCCAGATTCGATTTGGGGGGTCCCCTCGAAAATTCGAAAGTGACTGGTGGACAGTTTTCGCCCTGAAGTGCGATGTCCGTGTCAGAAGCCCAATGAAAATTCATAAAGAGTTGGGACGCGAGGCTGGTTCATGAGTGCTTTCGAGCACCTTCTGTACTTTGAATACTCCAGCAATTCAACAAAAATGCGGTCATCGGCCAAAAGGTTCATGGTTCATTTGCGTCAGCACTCTCGTTTTGCCGTCCACCTTGACCCTCTCAAAAAAATAAATAAAATAAACATAAAAATAAAAACGGATGGTGTCCTTCCGGCTTCCCCTTTGAAACCAACCTAAAAGTTGTCCACGTCCAGTTAATCAAACCCGCTATTAAAATGGTCTACCCAGGACCATGCTTCAAGAATTAGAAGGCGCATACCCGCAGCTATTTCTGGTTGGGAGCATCCCTTGCGAACCTTCATCTACCCGAATCCGTCTTGAGCACGTGGCTCAGCTGTCCTTCTTGCTCGCTCCGGCCAATTCCCAAGTCCCAAACTAAATCATCCCTTCTCAGAACCTGACATAAGGTGGTTGGGGGGCTATTCCCTCACATAAACCACCATTTGGGGTGAGGTCGTGTGAGGTCGTTATGATTCACCCAGATCCAACTCGGAATCTCCCAGGACCTCGGGCCACACGCCCCAAGCTCCGCCTCGGAGTTGATCTTCACTTGCGACGCCCCCGCCTTCCTTGGACTCGAGGCAAATGCGAAATGCTCAAAATGGAGACACCGAGTCTGCATCGCTGCAACGGAAGCCACGACCATCGTGTGTATATAGTATAACAAATATATATATATATATATATACATATACGCCCAAGACGGATGGTTTGCCGTCGGCTCCAATCTTACTACATTTACCACGCATCCCAAGCCATCTTTTCACGCGTTCAACCAAGGCAAATGCTCTGCAACGTAACTTTCACGACGGGGAAGCTTCACTTTCCCTTGTGAAAGAGCCAGGCGGTAGGCTTTGCAAGCCAGTGCCACGGTATTAAAGTCCCGGCATTCTGTGTAGAGCAGCGGACGCAAGCACTTGACAACGCTTCTTCTTCGAAGAACCGTTCCAGCGCCCCAACAAGCCCAAATCTTCGCTCCCAAACGAGCCTCGGCCTTATTATCTCCGGCCGTTAGTTGGAAGGATGTGCGACTTTCAGTCGCCATCTCTTTCTGGGCTATTTTCTTCAGTGTGCGGTGAGCGAAGGCTCCTAATTGGGTTTCTTCTAAAATATATATATATATATAAAGTTGTCACGGGAGTGAATATTTTACGTAGGTGAGACACCCCTGCGAAAGATAATACCTGCCAGCTCCCGAGTTGAAAAAACACTTGTGATCCGAATTCATACCGAAACAGGGCCACACAGGACTACATGTGTTCATTTATGCAAAAACAGGCCTGGTGAAATTCGTCAAGTTCCTGCAGTGGGCAAAGGAAAAAACTGGCAACAGAGCGTAGAGCTGGAGGGACATGCTGCAAGACGCAGCAAAATGGTGATTGCCGAGGCCCCTTTACGACATGTGCAGAGGGGTTAGAAGCAAAGCCCATAATGACTGCAGAGCACGTGTTGCAAAACGTGCGAAACGTGGCAAAGCAAGGCTCAAAGCTCGCAGTCGACAAAGCACGACATTACCCCCCCCCCCTGCCGCCCCCCCTCCCCCCTCCCGTTGAGGCGCCGCAGTATCTACCGCAGTCAGTGACGGTCAGCCAGCCGTGCTGCGGCTACATATATATATATATATATGTAATATACACATGCATATGCACATCATAGTCATGTGTATGCATGTGTGTATATACATATATGTATATACATACATATACACACATACGTACGTGTGTATATATATATATATAGTGTGTGTGTGTAGAGAGAGACAGAGAACGAAGTGATGTTGAACAAACCAGCTTGAAAAATCACTGCATCAGGAAATCGATGCGAAACATCACTGCATCAGGAAATTGATACGATTTGTTGACCCAAAGGTGTCCAAGCAGAAAACAGCAGGAACCTGGAAAAGATGGGAAACCTAGGCAAAGTACAGCGCAGGGAGTTGTCCTATGGTTCCTTTGCTTGGCTGAGGCTGGTGCGAAGGTGGCGTCTTATCAACTATGGGAGCTGGAGAACTGTTACCCGTTGCAGGCAACCAACACTTGTTGATTCAGCCATGGCGGCGCTGGTTTCTGAACCAGGTGATGGTAGTCAAAAAGGTTGGAAAGAGGGCAGAAACTGGAGAACTCCTGGAGGCCAACTTCCATAGCCAGAGGCGTTTGGGCGGTCCAGTGCAGCAGTGGCGCAGCTCAGCATAGACGGAGGAGTCCGTGTAGGGGATCTGAGTCGAAGTTCTGCGTCTCTTGGGTGAGTCGAAAGGAGGACCATACTTATCAGGGTTGTCCCCGGTCAGTGAGAAGCAATGTCGGTTTGGGGGCCCTCATTGCTTGGTGTATCAGACACAAACGTCGAGACTCATATTTTTCTGAGTGTATCAAGAATTCAGTGACTCCATCTCTGCATGGTTCCAAGAAGAGAGTCCAAAAGCAGACCAACCATCTGAGATCTCTTCTTGAAAGTGAACACCCCCAAGTCAGTATGATTGCGTATGTGCGGCGGCCCGTCCAGCGTCCAGCCAAGATACCAGGAGCTTCATGCTGGCCGCGCCAAAGTCCGTGTGGCTAACCAAGGTGTCTTCGATCGCCTGGCACTGGAGAAGTGCCAAACCTCTCCCACTTATTCTCGCGGGTCCCTTTGTAGCGCTGGGGCGTTACAGGCTGACAAAGGCCTAGGCGAGGCCAAGTTGGCCCATACACGGTCTGTGTGGGCAAGTCAGCCGCATGGAGGTGCCTTTTTACCCAAAGATGACTTGCTTATCTTTTACCCACCGCAAGATAAATCTGACCCCTAGGTTTGTTCTTCTGAGGTAAGGCCCAAAAAGAAGAAAAAATATGGCGCCGCTTCTCCGACTGACCACACCTTCCTCTTTCCAACGCAGGGAAGTGGACAGCAGGCTGTTTGAAGCTGGCTTCCCTTTAGAACAAAACTGGAAGTGGACAGCAGGATGTTTGAAGCTGGATTCCTTACTCAGAGGGCCCAAGTGCCTTCTCAGGACATACTTAGACCCCTTTTGACCCCTCAAAAGCCATCCTCAGAAGGTACTTGGACCCTCTGGGTTGTAGAACTTCAACCAAAAACCAGGGGGCATCCATTGTTCCACCAAAACAACCCAAAAGGACACCTAAACCAAAACACGGCGCCTCGCCGAAAAAGACAAAAAACGGCGCTAGGCCGAAGCCCTTCCGCCTTGGACAAGGCGGTGAAGCCGATGCCCTTCAAGGCCGACACCTGAAAAAGCGGAAAAAAAGATCCGAGGAGGTGGGCTGAGGTCGTTTTCTCCAACAGGCGTTTTTGCAACTTATATGGCCGTGGGCAAAAAACATCGGCACCAAAAATGAAACCTTGGTAAATGGAAACATGGGCTAAAACCTGCGGTCCCCTGGCTTCGCCGTTTTCCGGTTGGTTTCCAACTCTCGTTTCCTTTTTCAGGCCACTACAGCTTGGGCTGGCCGGTGGTGTCACTGGCCCTGTGCACTGCCATGTTTGTCGCGCGTCGCGTTTTGTTTGCTGGCGCTTCTTGTCTCTTGCAGCAGCATCCAGGGCTTCGCTAGCACCTGCCTCTGGCAGAGATGCCTCGGGCCGGCCATTCTCTGGCAGGCGCTCCGAGGCTCTCCAAATCGGCCCGCGCCAAAAACAGAAGATGAGGCCCGCTGGATCCCGCTCCGTTGGTCGGCGGCTTTCCCCCGGCTCCCTGGCAAGCAAAGCACGCCACGCCTCCCGGCAGCCTCAGGCTTCGGACTGTCGCAGCTGTCGCTGTCTGTCACAGGCTCTGTCAGCGGGCGGGCTGGTTGTGATGAAGTGGCGGTCAAATAGGGCGAATCGCATGAAACCTGATAGTTTTCAGAGGTGCTGAATAGGGCACGAGTTCTGAATTCTGAATTGAACGTGATTTCACGGCGTGTAAGCCATGTCAGAATGGGAAGAGTAAGCCTCGTCTGGAACTAGGGGGTATTCGCTTACGGGGAAAAAGGAAAGAGGGAGCGTTTTTTATGAGTGCTCAGCTGAGAAGCAACAGGAACGAACAAATGCACTTGCCCCGAGCCTTCCCCCATTTCCCCCCGCCCCCCAAAACGAATCGCCAGCTTGAGAAACGCTCGGCACCTGCACGTGGCCCACGATGCCAGGATCCGGATAGCTGAGGCCTCAGGTGCGTTCCAATAAGCGGTACTCATATCTGTGTTGGACCCGCGAAGCATTCAGGCCGCGTATATCTTGAAGGCACGAAGCAACTGCAGGCACCATCCTCATACATATGCCATGGTCAAAACCCCTCATTTGGCCTATGGTCACGGTTCCCTTAATAGGAAAAGGTGCTTAAACAATACGCCATGGGCGTTTGAACCATTTCTCTGGGGAAAACCTGGTTTTGTCGTTGATTGAGGGTCCCCTTTTGGGTTGGTAAGGGCATCCAAAGAAAACAAACAGCTTGGGAGTCAGACCAACAGATCTGAAAAAAATCGATACACGGGTTGCCCTAGAATGGAACCGCAACCAAGAAGGCACCTCTCTGGACGTACGCCCCCCATTCCTTTGCCTGCAGTTGAGGTTGCCTCCACCTTGGCAAATGGGGCCACCGACTCCTCTCCAGCTCCGCTGCCTTGTCACCTGACAGATTTCTCCAAATGGGTGTGCTCTGGTTCGAAGGAGAACCGAAAGGAAAAACAGCAGGCGAAAAGCCCCCGATTTTGGAAACATACCCACATGGCAGATCACTTCATGCTTTTGAGGGTGCCCTGTGCCTTCATAGTTTCCCTTGCCCTTGGCCGGATTCTTTGCTTTCGACGTTTTGGGTGACCCCAAAACGCAGAAAATCCTTGGCTCCCCGAGATCCATATTTTTTCCGGGCCGGGCGGCGGGCAGCGCCGTATGACTTCTAGGAGCCCAGCAACGCGTTGCATATTGCCGGAAATGGCGGGCAAAATAAATGCCGTCTCTTTTTTGGCTCCATTTAGCCAAACCCAAACAAAGTAACACCCCCCCCCCGACTCCCCAGGGCTCCCTCTTCTCAACAGGTACACTTTCAAGCCTGAAAGAGGGTGATGTACTCTAGGTGCTTAGGTGTATGGTTCAAATATACACCCCATTCAAACGCAAGGCCTGCGCGACATACCCATGGACTTGCGTCGACACCTTCCAGCTTGTCCACCTTGTTGTACACCATGATCTGTGGCGTCTTCCTGGCAAGTAACGAGCTTTCTTGTCCCCAAGCCTCCATCTAAGGAACATCTGTGAACGAATCCTCAAATGAAGAGATCCTGGGTTCTAGTATGCTTCGCTTTTTTGGCAACCTGGTATGGAAGGGTGCAGCCGTTTGCAGCTTAAACTCACAGGCGAAGTTGGGGAATCCACTTTCTGCGAGCCAGGTGGCGGGGCAGATTCTTATATTGAGCTAGAAGCCAGAGAACCAGGGCGTATCAGCAAGGGATCTGCACAACCACTCTTACACATTTGTTTTTTTAAAGTAAAGCCCCATGACAATGCGTCTCTTAGCCCACTGACACGCTGCCAACTGTGGACTCATGAGGCGCCCCTATAGCATTTGGATAGCGGAAGTGATGTGACATCTGGACAGGCTCGTAAACCCTCGAGTATCACCTTCCAATCCACCAACCAATCAACCAAGCAACCAAGAAACCGACCAACCGACCGACCGACCGACCGACCAACCAACCAACCAACCAACCAACCAACCAACCAACCTGCCTGCCAGCAGCCAGCCAGCCAATCAAGCAACCAGCTTGCTTGGCGGGTTCTCCCTATGCGGGAGTCCTGAAACTGGAAAAGCACCCCCTTTGGATGGCATCCAAAAGAAGCACGTGAAGCAGCTACCCTAGTGTCCACCAACGTGGAACGCACCAGAGGGCCCTGCAGGAAGATCGTCTTGGACCTTGTACAGGTGGTCCCAACCCCTTCTGAAAGACGCATCCAGCCTTACCCCTTGACCATGGTTGGAACTGTTTCTCATGATGGACTTCACCTGTTGCGAATCCTCCGATCCCAAACTCCTTGGACTCCAATAAAAGGAACCAAAACCTTCGGGATTCTTCAACTTCTACCGCGACTGCCGGTTGGCTGGCCAGAGAAAGAGTCAAAACTCGTTCCCCCGAAACAGGGACAAGGGTTAACGGTTAGCACATCTTCATTGCAGTATGCCCAGACCCCAACTCATGGATTCTGATAGATGGTCACCCTCAGCTAGAATCTAGCTTTGGCCAATTGGGAAAGAAAAGAAACCGGATGGCCCCGCGGGTGTTGTCAGCGTTTTGCCATGGCCACGGCAGCTTGGGACTCATCGACTCCAATACCCCCCCCCCCGCCCTTTTGCCCAGATCCTCACAGAAGCGGATGTGATGCCGAAAGCAAACTCATGGCTTCAGGGGTGCTGCTCAAACAAACCCAAAAGAAAAATGGGTGGCTCGTCTTTTCTTGCGGCACCCGTTTCGGTTGGTGGTAAAGGGAAACTTCAAGGGACAACTGGACCACCATTTGGGGGGCTTGAGGGGGGGTGGGGGGGGAAACCTTGAACAAGGCAAGCCCACCCTGAGCCCAGTATTCAGCGAGTCAGCGAGCCGGGAGGGCGGGCTGAACTTGGGCAGGCGCTTCAGGGTCTTCAACACACTCGCGATCTGCGCGAAATCCACGGAAGTCTTGGGCGATTTGGCCAGTGAGTTGGGTGCTTGTTGAACCTGGGGAGAGACAACGCTCGGAGTTGACAGTGTTTCGAAGCAGGGTGTGTTTTTTCATTGGTGTCTGGGTGCTGTTGGTGTCGTAAAACTTCTTTGTTGAAAGCACTCGTTTCAAAAAAGAAATCTTTGAGAAAAAAAAAAGGAGGAAAAAAAAAAAAACGGGTACGGAGCGAGCTGAACAAAAAAGACATCGTTGTTGAACATCTTTGCAAAGTCTTCGTTGAAAGCTTTCTGAAAGCTCGCCCCGTGCCCCGTTTTTCAGAGAGCCCCGAGGTGGGGCTGGTGCATGTCCCCCCGGTGAGCTTCCCCTTTCGGGGTCCGGATCCAAAGCCGAGACGAAGAGACGAAGGAATGAAAAGACGGAGCCTGCAATGCTGCAATGTGGGTCTGGCCCCGTTTGTTGGTGTCCAAAAAAAAAGAGAGGCCGTCCCCGGCCCGCAGATCTCGCGCCAATTTGTCACATCCACCTGACTCCATACTTGGAGCTAGTTTGCCCAAATCAGGGCTGATAGAAATGGTCCCTTGAAAACGACGTCAAAAGGACCAAATACCTATGCTCTCCCTTGAGACCCGTCTCAAAAGAGAGTAACCCGTTTTATGAAATAATTGCGCACATTGCGCACTGCAGACGCGGGGCATTTCAACGCTTCCACGCCTGCTGGGCAGCGGTAGGAGAGGATACATCCACTACGTGCAGGATCATGGTGGTCTGGCCGCCAAGCCGCTTGGAAGGATTGTTAAAAATGAGAAATTGAGTTGCTTTCCTTCATGGAAGTTTCAATCAAAATCATCTCTTTCTGGATGGTTTTGAAGCCACAAGGAAACCACCAAACCACCCTTTGGGGCCACATGGTATGACTTTGATTTGGGTAAGAAAACAGAAGCCGCGAATCCGAACCGCTTGTGCAAACTCTGTGCCACGCTTTGCCCTAAGATCACAGCGGAGCACACTCGCTGCGCAAGTTACTACATACAGGCGCTTGGACTTTCTCAAGATGTGTTTGTTTCGCTGGGAAAAGCTCTGCCACGCTTTGGGATTCCTTTTGCATTAGTTTGGCAATCGTTGCCCTGTAGTGGGGGTGTCATTTTTAGTGTGGGGACCACCCCCCGCCCAAAACAAAGAATTGATACGAAAATGGTGTCCGTTTGGTGTCCCTTTTAAAACCACTCTAAAAGGGGCACCCTCAACAAAAGACACACCCTAATGAACATGACAAAGATTCAGCTCCCTTCTCAATTTGTCAATCTTGTAGTCCTTGAGCTTGTTCATAAACCACAATAATCCCTAAAATCCACGGACGTTCTGTTCAATGAAAGCAAGAATATACACCGAAACGGCCATGGGTCAAAATCCCGTACCGCCAGTGAACATCCCAATCCCCACTAAAATAGGTTTTCTAAGATGGGCGGTGAATTCACCCAATCCAACCAAAATGGTTGATCCAAACCGGTTTTGACCACCACAGCCAAATGGGTGTGACTGCTTGGACCCGTTTCTTCAGCTCAAATGCCCACCCGAAAGCTAGAAGAGCCGTTCAGCCCCCGTTTTCGCGGGGTGCTGAACTGGGCTGCGCCAAGAAGCCGGGCGTGTTCGCCTGGTGCCCCTGATTTTTTTGAGAGCTCGGCACCCGTTGACCTGTACCAAAAATAATGTATAAAAAAAAACAAAAACTTTGTTTGCTTTTGGTCTTTGGTTTGGGGGTGTTCCCATTTTCAGAACCAAAGGAAAACTTGGTTTCTTTTTTGGTGGGGGGAGGTGTTCCCATTTTCGGCACCAAAGGGAAACCCCAATTCTTGGGGGTGCCCCTTTTTTTGACACACCCGCTGAACCGAACTTCTTCTTCTTTCGCTGGCGGTTCCTCGACCACCTCCTCCAAGGTCGCCCGGAATCCTGCCACCAACTGCTCCGGGAGCCTCTGAATGAAGCCCACCTGACCAGCTCGCCGAAGCGAATCCGAAGACTTCAACGACATCTGCAATGGTTACAGGTTGAAAACAAAAAAAACACCCAACTTCTGGTTTCTGGCATATGGATCCCCAGGTGCCAGAAATCCTAATAGGGAACCCCCCCCCCCAAAGCGGTCACCAAGATGGTGTTTCTTGGTGGTGTCCACCAAAGGGCTCCTTATTAAAATTCAGACCCGTGTGCACTATGACTTCCAAAAGCTGAATTAGGAATTGGATCCCCAAGGATCATGGCTTTCGCTTGTTATACCCCCAGATCAGCTCGCCATCAAATAGGCAGAAGTGACCTGCATTTTTGACCAAATGGGGAAAAAACAATGCTGGTTTGCGTGGTGGCTTCCCGTTGAAACCACCTCAACAAGGGTACCCTCAAAGCCGAAAGCGCATACAAACGCATATTGCAGTTCAATAGTTAGAAAGCATGATGGCCTGTTGAAATCCATTAACCCCGAAGGGTCAATGGATTTTCGCCGGGAAGGGCCCCAATCCACCTGCGTGGTCTGCGCCGAGAAAACCGTCGCAGATCGAAGCGTGTGTGCGGAACCCCGTGGCAAATCCGAGATGGGGCGCACCGTGTCAGCGAGCATGACGTTGCGGCCTCCTGCCGGGCGGCCGAGTGAGTGACGGCCAGGAACCGCAAAAACCATAAGCCCAGCGTGCGGCGCGCTTTTGCGACCACCCTGCGAAACCTGTCCTCCGACTCGCAAAACCCCGAACCTTCCCAACCCTCACGGAACCCTGCGGGCACCCTCGCGGAACCTGACCTCAGAGCGCCCCGGACCACCCAGACTGCGCTGAGAAAAGGCTTTCTGATTAGTATCGTTTCGGGCATCTCGCAATGTCGCTTTTTATGGCTCTTGACACATTCTTGCCCATGGGCCACATCTTCGTGGGGCTTCGCCCAAGGTTCAACATGCTGCAGCTTTACAAGCTGCAACGCTGTTCCTAGATCTCAAGGTCAGAAAATTCACCTCGGGGGGGTGTGCTCATTTTTGGGTATCCAGGATGCCCACCACGATGCCCACCCGACAACAAGTCAAAGCCAGACTGCCAGACTTACTGCCAGCCATCACATGCGTGCCAAGCAGCACGGCTTAAGACGTCAGGTGGATCCTTCACATTGTCAGGGCATCGCGTTTGGCAGTTTGCTGCGTCGCTTTTCATGGTGTTCGTTTGTCTGGATCAGGTCCTCCGCAAACAAGCCTACATCAACTCATTTGCCGGTCTCTCGCCATCGCCCCCATCGTGGCAGGTCACGTTGAAAAGACAGTGTACATGGAAACCTCCGCATGACCCCACTACCTCCGTTTGAACCTGACACCCCAGAACCTCCGGAACCTTGCTTCCAGGAAAACCTTACACCTGTGCACCAGACCACCCAATAACTGCCTTTTGGCCACCGCATGCTTGAGGACCCAAGATGCGACAGGTTGCTTGGGTAAGGCTCAAGGAAGGTTCTGGAGGTTTCCAGCCGTTTCTCGGAGGGCTCCCGAAGATTCGGCCTGACCATGCGCGCGGATTAGAGCCCCGACTGTGAATATTCCAAAGAATCCAGAGCACACATTCTGGCACAGACAGCCATCTGATCGCGATTGCGCGGAAATGCTTCACGTGATGTCTCACGTGTCACAAGGTAAATCTCAAAGTAAGATCTCCGCGCAGCTCTCCGCGCAGCTCTCTGCGTGTTATCACGCTGCTCTGCGGGTTGCCTCTCCTTGCACCAAACAGGCGATCTCGCCGGCAAAGCCCTTCGCAATCCCTTTGGCTTGTGGTCTACGTCCAGGTGTCCAGAATGGTTTGCCTCATCTCTTCTACAAATGGCCATGGTTCAAAACCAATGGTACCATTTTGGGCTAGGTGAATTCACCACCCATTTTAGAACCTATTTTAGTGGTTGGATTTAATCGGATCTTCACTGGGGGCGAAAACCCGACTTGGGTTTTGACCCATCCCCAAAAACCCGCAGAAGACGGGGCCATCCGGCGGTCCTGGCAGCGTCACCGAGCGCCGCGTGGGATCCAGGGTCTCGAAGAGGCGATCCTCTCGGAAGAACTCGCCCAGAGAATTCCCAGCCAGCCCCCTGCAAAGAATAGCCAGAAAAACGCCGTTCTCGGGACAAACCTCACACACCCTAAATTTCCAACCCCCCCTTCAAAGAATAGCAAGGGCCCAATTTGGATGAGTGAAGCGGGACATGCTTCATCTTCGGTGAACAAGTGCCCCCCTTTGCACGAAGCGCGAAATTGGACCCAATTTCATCCTTATAGGTGAGCAAGGGCGGTCAAACGAACCCAACCCTTGCTTGAATGGTGGCAACTGAACACCATGGCCCCGAACCAGAACTCCGATCCGTAGCCGGAGCTTTTTCTTGAAAGGCCAGTTCGGAGATCCCCCAGCTCAGTAGTGGACGAATTTTCTGCACCACCTAAGGCCCTGTCAATGCCAAGCATGGCTGAGGTTTCAACCATGGCTTCAAAGTGGTGCGAAGGGATTCCGCCCAAAATGTATCACCAGCTGGCTCAAAATGGTCCAAACCCAAAAAGTAAAGGAAAATTGATCTTCCCAAAAAGTATAAAGTCCAGGAACCCAGGAAGCGAGAAAGGTTGCGATCCTCTCATGTCCAGGTCCTGTCAACGTTCAAACCTACTGCCCAATTGCCCCTGCCCCGGGCACACGCCTTGACTTTCACCTGCGCAGGCACAAAAACTGCTTCCAGTTCTTGTTCGTTCTCCCCTCCAAAAAGTGAGAAAATATGTCCAGTAATGATGGATTCCCTCTAAAACCAACAAGGGACATACAACATATTCATTTCAGCACATGGGAGACTGGGCGTGCCCGTTTCAATTTTCGGGCAACCAAGGGTTCCAATTTCCGTGGAGACAAACCCAACTGTCCCTCCAAACAGTCACTGTTTCGGATTTCCGTAAAACGAGCCATAGCGGAAAATCGGCCCCAACTTCAAAGGAGAAGATGGTGCCAACGCCATTGTTCCAGTCTGTACAAAAGGGAAATGGAAGTATAGATGACATTCCGGCGTCACACTCCCCGTATAGATTTATCTTTGCAGCCTTTGAGGGTTCTCTTCAAGGAAAGAAATCACCCACGTTCTCTTGTTTCAAACTTCCCGCATCGCCCAGCCTCAACTGTTTGCGCCAGCGCGTTCATGAGTGTGGACCTGGTCAAGCCGGGTCTCGCACAGAACGCTTTGAAACCAATCAACAAGGGGGTCGCCCACAAAAGAACCCCAAGTACGAACCCTTGGTTCTTCGCATTCATTCCTAGACATTTGCACATTTTTGCGATAAATCCAGAACCTGAAGTAAGAATTGAACTTTCTGGAAGGGACCACTACTAGGTCCTCCAGTAGAGAGGTTAGAATAAGGGTACCAACTTTTTCTGTAGTCTACTTTAGTAGGGGAACCCAAAACCCCCCCAAAAAGAAAGTTGGCAGAAGTTGGCACCTAGCTGGGGGACCTAGACTCTCACCGGCATTGGGGCGCAGACTTCCCCGCGTTGGTGTAGCCCACCTCGGACAGGTCCAGAGGTCCCCGGCCGCCCCTTTGGCGATGAATTTTTATTGGAAATCTCTGGGGGAGGAGTCGTCCAGAAGTGCCTTCACAGGAATAGTCCAGTTCTGGTTGGGGGCATGGTGTTCAGTTGCCACCACTAAAACAAGGGTTGGGTTCGTTTAACCGCCCTTGTTTACCTAAGGATCGTCATCCAAATTTCTAGCGGTACCTTCCACTTCCATTCTTTCCAGGGATCCGAATCTTTCCAGAAATTTCCGCCCAGAAACCCGGGGAAAGCAGCGATCGGTGTCTGAAAAGCACGATGGTTGGAAATGGTTGGAATCAAGCCCTAGAAATAGGGGGGCTCCGATTGAAGATGTTCTTGTGGAACATGCACCTCCGGTTGGAGGAACGGGGTCGTGTAAACGAAATCCTAAGAGGCACGATACGGCCATGGGTCCCCCACTAAATTAGGTTCTAAAACGGGTGGTGCACCTACCCCCCCAAAATGTTTTGACCCACAGCCGTGCATTGATGGTCTCAGGAGGCTACAACCCCTTCCCTTTCTTGGCCAAGGGGCCAGTGACACCACCGGCAAGCCCAAGCTGTAGTGGCCTGAATCAGAGCTGACAGCAGCCGTCCGAGCTGATCCAAGGTGCCCGAAACGCCGGTTCCGAGGCGCATTCGCAAGGAAACAAACCCAACCTGGACTCGGTTGCTTTCTGCTCCCCTGCGAAAAGTGAACAACTTTTCGTGGTTTCATGGACAACCCATTAGTTGGCAAAAAGTGTTTGTCCTAACATCCAAGCCAAATGCACCAAAGTGGACATTGGATCTACCCACATGTACCGGGGTAGATCCAACATCCGCAGTCTAAGTGCGGTCGGGATTGTCTGTCCTCTACTGCAGGTTCCATGCTTGAACCTGAATTTTGGATCGTTTTCTGACTAAACCGAGGGTCTCAAAAGTTCCGGAATGATCCATCTGCTTCAGCTCTCGGGCTATGGTGCCAAATCCAAAACGGGACCCGCTTTTCTCTTGGCTTCCCACTGAACCAACCCGAAGAGGGGTTCCCCCCAAAACACATCGGAAAAGTGGATTGCCCAATCAACTTGCTCGGCTCGCAAGGGAATGACCTTCCGGGTTTTGGGAATGCACCTAGGGGAATCCCCAAAAAAGAGAGGAAATTCTAGGGGATGGTTTTTTGCAGGGTCGCACCAGCAAAGAATCAAGACTTGATCCTTCAGTTTTGTCAAGCCTTCGGGTCGGCACCCCTCCTCCCCAAACAGCACAGCTTTCAGCTCCCCGCGATCACGCTGCTGCTTCCGCAACTTCCGCACCTGACATCTTCCCGCAGAACGCGGGAACGCGGGAAGGGCCGCGGAAATGCTACGTGTGGCTGTGCTTGTTTGCTTTCTTGTTCGGTGTGTTTCTTTTTGTGCGGTTGTGCCTTTGTGTGTGTGTGTGTGCTTTGGTGTGCAAGTCTAAGAAGCAAGCAAAAGCGGAAATCCGCGAGTTATTTTGGAACAGGTGCCTAACTTCCAGAGTTCTCCGTCCAGCTCTAAAGCAGAGCTCTCACCAAACATCCTTGGCCACGCCTCCTCCAGTTGCTTGGTGACCGCCGAAATCTTCCGCTTCATCAGCGACCTGGATCCGTACGCGGAATCGGATTCCGGGTGTGGATTCCACGTGGAAGGAGGGAAAAGAACCCGGAAAACAAGGGCACCCCTCCTTTTTCCAACCCAAAACCTGTTGTTTGACCTTCATTTTTCGTGAAATGTTTGGGGTTATGGGCCCAGAAAGCAGGTTGGTCGAAAAACAGCGTGTCCTGTTTGCAATGAGGATATAATACAAGAAATCTTTCGTAAGAAAGCTGGGGTCCCTTCGGTTTCCCTTTAAATGCAGCACTCCCAAGCAACATTTGGTGGCTATCTTCACAACTGGGGGCCTCTGGCGACTTTCCAAAACAAAAGACTCGGCAGAAACCGAAGCGGGCCTGTCCATTGACAGCTGCGTCTCGCCCTTTCCTGGAAGGCAAGGAACGGCTCATCATGGTCGACCTGTATGGGTCCTAGCAAACGGGCTCCGAATTTGGATACACATGATTGTCCTGTGCAAGCGAGCGGAACCCAGGAGCCCGTTGAATGTCCGCGGATTTTGCGGAAGCAGTCTTGCTTTTAACGAGGTAGTCAAAACATGACAACGACAAAGCACGGCTTCGTCTTTCAAACTTTGGCGACCCGCAAAACGGCTGGTGTCCTTTTCGTTCTTGGCAAACCTGGCTTTTGCTTGTTGGTCACCCCTCATTTTTGTGTACTTCCAGGCTGGAACCATTCCAGCTCAACTTCTCGGGATCCTTTCCAGAAAGCTGCACGCGAGAATGTGAAGGATGGGTGAAAAGAAGGCTCGACCTTGAAGACTCCCTTCCTTCCGAGCGTTGAAACGATGAGGGGATGCTGAAGCTGGGACAGCCCCAAGAGGTATGGTCCTTGAACCATTCCTTTGGGGTTGAACCCTGGGGGCCCAATCGGCTTTTCAGAGAAAGAAAGACCAAACACGGCGAAGCACGCGAAGCATCCAGCCTTTGAGGTAAGCGCCACCGCCCGATGTCTTGGCGCGGGATTTGTCAAACCCTCCCTTCCCCGTGTCGGAACCTCAAGTGGCGACTGCTTCAATGGAAACCATCACGAGCTTGAGCAACTTCTGATTTGGGGAAATCCGGCGACCTCTGTTTGTCTCTTCAACCACGAGATAGAACCACGTTCAGTTTACTGGGTGGCTCCAAGCCCAAACAAGCAAAAGGTCAATCATCTTTTCCAAGTATGATCCATTTGGTCTTGCCGGAGTAAAACAAAGAGTACGCGCAGAAAAATAAAAATAAAATCCGAATCGGCATGGTTGCAGCAAAGGGTCCCATGATCCCAGGGTGGGATTCCCCTCAGCGGTAACGTCAAGAATACTCAGCTGTACCTGTGGGGAGCAAGGGACACCAAGTGGACTTTGCATGGCCCCTGCCCAGGTCAAAGAGTGTCGACAGAGAATCGGGACGCCTTTGGTCATCCGGTCAAAGGAAAAAGATTGTGCTGGAGGAGGGGATTCGCGACTTTCTACCGACGAACAGCACCTCAGGCCCAGGAAGCCCGAAGCCCCGAAGGCTGCTTCGGAACAGGACACCGCTGTGAGGCAATCGGCTGATCCCGCCCCCAAAGACAAAGGAAACCCAGCCGTCCAACGGCCCGGATCACAGGAAAGCCTTGTCCGGCCACACTTTTCCATTCCTCGCGTATCCTTTTTTTGCAATTTCCTGATAAGGCGATGACAAGAGGGCCCAACAGGGAGGGGCGTCACGGGGGGGTTCTCAATCATCACGGCTACCCCAGTCGATTCCATGGGCACAACTTCTTGCTTGGTTCAGCTTCCCTCCACTTGCTGGTTTGGATTGGTGGTTTGGTGGCTTGGATTGGGCGGGGGTTCCAGAGCCAAGGGTTCAAATCCAAACCCAAACCACCAAACCACCAAACCACCCATCCGAACCACCAACTAAAGGTGACCTGCTTAACCCATACCCCTATATCATGTGCATGTGTATATACTATATATATATATATATATGGTCCCGTGTTCCGTGTTGCTACCCCCCCCCCCCCTCCCAAAATGGTATGGTCCCCAGGACTCCCCCCCCCCCCCCCGGCCCGAGACCGCGAGCCCCCGGATCCTGGCACCTACGGTCCCACCCCCACCCCAACCCCCTGAACTCGTACCCCGACACCCCGGCACCCCCACCCCCACAACAAGCCAACCCGGAACCAACCATAAGCCAACCCTAAACTAACCCTAAACCAACCCTAAATACACCCTAAACCAAACCCTAAACCGTAGACCTCTAAACCTGGACCAACCCTAGATCAACATAAACCAACCCTAAACTAACCCTAAACCAACCCTAAACTAACCCCAAATACACCCTAAACCAATCCCTAAACAATTAAACCAACCGTAAATACACCCTAAACCAAACCCTAAACCAAACCCTAAACCAAACCCTAATCCGTACACCTCTAAACCTAAACCAACCCTAAACCAACCCTAAACTAATTGTAAATTAACATAAATCAACCTAAATCAACCCTGAACCAACCCTAAACTAACCCTAAACACACCCTAAATATACCCTAAACCAATTCTAAACCAACCCTAAACCACCACAACCCAACCACAGGACCACAACCACAGGGGGAGGGGGGTACTTGTCTGACCCATGACCATTGGGGGGGGAGGGGGGGGGGGGGCTGGCAACGCTGTACCATATATATCCATGGGTATAACTCCTTGCTTTCCCCATTTGAACCGCCCAAACACAAAGACGCTCAGGCTGCCGGGCTCCTCCGGCGCCCACGGAGCCGCCTTGGGCCTCCATGCCAGCGCCCTGGCGTCGCTTTGCTTCGATGAGGGATGGGCTGGGGTGGAATTTTGGGTTGGAGCCCCAAAATCGGTCCCCGGACCGCTCCAAGAATATTAAAATGGTTCAGGATCCTTAGCTGGACTCTTGACCATGGTACACATTAAGAAGAATATGAAATATATATATATATATATACACCCCAAGGTCATGACCCCTCCGATGCACACCCCTATGGGCCCTGCAATGGAGAAACCCCCAGACCAGTTTTGAGGGTCGAATTTTGGATTGGTGCCGTGGTGGTTCGGTGGTTGCCCGTTTACACTCGAGAAGCAGGGCTTCAAATCCCTAGTTCCGCCAATCCAGACATATCCCAACCACCAACATTGTTCAGGGAAGGGACAACAAGCCATTTTGTTTGGGGGAGTTGCCTATTTTCAGGAAGACCCAATTGGTGGTTTGGATTGGTTTGGGGTGCGGTTGCCCATTTAACTCAACTATGTCAAACATACCCCAAATGACCGGTATTTGGAGCAACAGTGTATCATCGGAGCCATTGCTGGGGTCGCAAAACCAAGCAAGGAATGATAGATACAAGAGTGAGCACGGGAAGATGGCGACAAAAAAAACACTTCCACCCCTGTACGGCTCGTGTATTTCAAAGTCCTGCCTTTTGGGCGGGAAACCTCTCGCAGGCCCTCGTGATTTGCCAGTGTGTGTATGGGAACTGCTCTACACATCCTGACCGCAACCCATTTCAGCTGCGGAACACCCTCTGGGCCCTCCAGTGGTCACCTGCAGTTGGATGTGTCTTGCAATAGAGAACTCCCAAAGCCAAAAGCAATCCGTAGCCAGCCATCGAAGAACAAACACCTCCCGCGAAGGACGGCACCGCTACTTCGGGCCAGGAGTTGCTCCACATTTTACCAACAAAAAAAAAGCGCGCCGGCACTGGATGGGAGAAGCATTTACAAACAAAACCACCGGGACTGGAAGCCCTCCCTTTTCGGCTCTTCGAAAAGCGACACGCGACACGCAACACGCGACGCAAAGGAACCCAACTCCCCTCCCATGGGCCGTGGTCAGATAGTACCGCAGGCGGGGCAGCATGTAGCGCTGGCTCGCCAGCCTTGGCCCCGCCGCGGCAAAAAAGACGGCCGGAGACCCCCAGCCGCTTCCAGAAAGCAAGAAACCTGCCACGCCCTGGTTGAGAAGAGGAGCTTTCCAGAAAATGATTCCAGAAAGCAAGAAATCTGCCACACCCTGCTTGAGGTGAGCTTTCCTAAAAAAAAAAAAAAACAAAAAAAAACTAGAAAGCAAGAAATCCGCCACACCCTGGTTGAGGTGAGCTTTCCGAATAAATATTCTAGAAAGCAAGAAATCTGCCACACCCTGGTTGAGGTGAGCTTTCCGGAAAATTCTTCTAGAAAGCAAGACATCTGCCACACCCTGGTTGAGGTGAGGAGCTTTCCGGAAAATTATTCTAGAAAACAAGAAATCTGGCACCCCCTGGTTGAGGTGAGCTTTCCGGAAAACTATTCTAGAAAGCAAGAAATCTGGCACACCCTGGTTGAGGTGAGCTTTCCGGAAAACTATTCTAGAAAGCAAGAAATCTGCCACACCCTGGTTGAGGTGACCTTTCCGAAAAAAATATTCTAGAAAGCAAGACATCTGCCACACCCTGGTTGAGGTGAGGAGCTTTCCGGAAAATTATTCTAGAAAGCAAGAAATCTGGCACCCCCTGGTTGAGGTGAGCTTTCCGGAACACTATTCTAGAAAGCAAGAAATCTGCCACACCCTGGTTGAGGTGAGCTTTCCGAAAAAAATATTCTAGAAAGCAAGAAATCTGCCACCCCCTGGTTGAGGTGAGCTTTCCGGACAATTATTCTAGAAAGCAGGAAATCTGCCACACCCTGGTTGAGCTGAGGAGCTTTCCAAAAAATTATAGACCCGAACAGTTGGTGGTTTCGAGGGAGATGAACAAATCCCCCACTTAGGTCACGGGACATCGGCTTCAGCCCCTCAAGCATTTGGAGCTCGGGGCGCGTCAGCACATGTCACTGGTTTGAAGGAAGACTCCTTAAGAAATTGAAGGCTCAGCTTTCGAAAGCTGGCAATGTACGCAGGAGTGAACCCCTTCCCTTGACTAGCAGGCCGGTCTATCCAAAGTGATGAACTCCCACTACAAGGGAGCACCCTAGCAATCGACCAGGAGGTATACATCCGGGAGTCCTTTTTCTCTTTGGGGGGGGGGGGGGCAGTAGCTGCGCGACTTTCTTAGAACGAGCGGCTTCACCTGCAGCTTGGCCTCCTTGGTACGCGCCCGTTGCGCAAAGATCCTCTCGCGCTTTGCCGATCGGTCCGCCGCTCCGGTCGTGGTAACTCATTCCCGAGGTTGCTCGGCCCAATGCCTGGAGGTGTCCGTTTAACATGTGGCTCCAAAACATGTACCAAAATGGCAGCCTTGGCAAATGGAGGCAGAGACCATGCCCTTTGGGGACAGAGCCTTCTGCATGCAGCCCAGCTCAGCCCAAACACCCGCCGGCAAGCGGCATACAAAGAGATGGCTGGGGCCGACAACCAGTCAGTGTCAATGAGCAGAATGGTCGCACAACAACAAACTGGAGACACAGAGTCACACTGGAGACACAGAGGCGCACAACGGTAAAAGCAAACAAACAAACAAACAAACAAACAAACAAACAAACAAACAAACAAACAAACAGACAAACAGACAGACAGACAGACAGACAGACAGACAGACCGACAAGCAAACCAACAAACAAGCAAACAAACAAAAAAGCAAGCAAGCAAAAGCAAGCAAGCAAACAAAACCGCTGCAAGCCGCCAAACCAACACCAGCACTGGAGCAGTCATCAAGCATTTAGGCACATTGATGGGACCCTGACATGAGGCAACCATTCGCAGATTTCACACAAGCATATATATAGAGAGAGAGAGAGAGAGAGAGAGAGAGAGAGAGAGAGATGTAACATATACAAAATGTTGATAAAGCACTGTAATTTACTGTGTTTTATTGCATTCCACATTCTAGGTGTGGATATTGGGGGGTGACCATATCTATATAGATATATATATATATATACACAAATATACCCCTTTTCCTTCCCGTCGACTGTCGCTCCTCAGGATTAGAGATGTCCTGTCGAGGATCACACCTGGCCGAGTCTCGCATGGAACAGCCGGTTTTCTCCTTTACTGGTCCTCAGCAGAATATTAGGTCCTCCAGTAGAGAGGTTAGAATAAGGGTACCAACTTTTTTCTGTAGTCTATTTTAGGGGAACCCTCACCAAAACAGAAACGGTAAAAGTTGGCACCTAGCTGGGAGACTTAGTTGGGGGTCGACCAGGGACGGTTCATAGAGGTCGTTCCTCATGCGGAGAGCCGGCAAGCTCGCCGAGGTCACACTCCCCTCCCGGCCTCAGCTATCGAAGCGAATGGGGAAAAACCAGGCCGCTTGGCCGTGGGTCAAAATCCCAGTTATCCCCCGGTGAACATCCCAATCCAACCATTAAAATAGGTTCTAACCTGGGTGGTGAATTCACCTACCCCAAAATGGGATCCCATTGGTTTTGACAACCACAGCCACTTGGGGCCCATGGGTCATTTCACCTCCCAAAAAACGCCTTGCACTAGTTGGGGGAAGCATGTAAATCTGGGTTTGATATTTCATATTGAACCAACCTGAAATAAGGTGGTGGGGGGGGACATTCCCCACATAAACCACCATTTGGGGTGCGGCCGTGTGAGGTCGTTATAATTCACCCAGACTTAAATGGCCATAAAACCGCAATGCTTGATCCTGGGAAATATACCAGCACCCCGAACTCCGCTGTGGAAGACAGCCCCGCGTATATGCCCCAGTGCCCTCCGCCGAGCCTTTGAATGGCCCGTCGAAATACCCATCCTTTTGTCCGGGTAAGGATGTCAACCCTCAACCAGAGGCGCAATTTGCCAAGGAACGCCAAGCTGTTGCCAAAGTCTACCCTCCGAAAGTGGGTATTCGGAGTAGAGGGCAAGGCGGCAAGGCACGCAGGGAAAAGGACAGAGCAAGGCCCCTCTTCAGAGAGCTTAAATGTTCTATCTTTCTAGAAATAGAGCCAGATGGACCCAAGAAAAGGCAGGTAATACAAAACAAATGTCTTCTTAAAAGGTTAAGGAGAAAAAAAACAAATCCTCTCTGCTCCCTTCGTTTCGTGAGAAAACTTTGCCCCAACGCGTCCGTACCGCTCGCTGCCCACCAAACCCAACGCACCTGCTCGTTTGGGTCAAGCCCTCAATTACCCCGATTGGCGTGCTTTCAAGGGAGGCCAACTGGAAACCAGTCTATTTTAACAAAATTGTCTTCACCAGAAGAAAAAAGAAAAAATGGCCCCCAGTGCAGAAAACGGCCGGACGGTTTCTCACCGATCTAGGGAATTCAGGGTGCGGAGCCGGGAGGCGAAACTCCCTGTCCTTCCGATGTGATGTACCCCGAAGCTTTGCACCTTGAGCGGCCCTTGTGGCAACATGAGCCACTGCAACACTTGTTCCCTGGGCTCCATTTTTCGACCAGGTAGACCCAAAAAAAAACCGGGCTCCAAGCCCGCAAAGGAAGCTATAAGCAACTCAGGGCTCCATTTTTTGACACAGGTAGACCCAAAAACCCAGATGTTGTCCTGTTTGGGGCAAGAAAGTGACCAGTCTCTGGGCTGAAGTGTCCCAAAAATGGAAACCAGCAGCTCAACGCCTCAAACCTTCAGGTCCCTGGCGCGATTCGTCCCTTCAGCGTCATGAGCATTCGGTAGGACATGTCCTGCAAGGCGCGAGCTCGGGCGAAACGGACATTGGGCGCACTTGGGTTCTACCAGGTTGGATCATGACAGGGACCTAAGACAGTTCGCTTAGAATAGCGCAAAGACATTGGGGGTCTCAGTTCATGCCCAACACTTGAATTTTAGTTGTCCAACGGTGGATTCAGACCGTGTCAAGAATTGTGAAGCCATGTTGGGGACGGCTTGGAGGGAACGAGCATGGCAACCGCTTGTGCCAAGAGGGCCTGTTTTAGTCGCATGCTTGAGGCGCCACCATTTTTCTGCATGCGGAAGATTGCTCAAACGTAAATGTGGGTGTCCTGTCTTAAAAACAAAAAAACAATGCATTTGGGATGGTGTGTGAAGGGTACATGTCAAATGCAACTCAATGCATGATGTTTAGAAAACGCATCAGGGAATGTGCCGTCCACTTCAGTTGGAGCGCTCGACGGCGGCTTGAAAAAAATTATGTTCCCGGACCCGCAGGTTCCACCTCCATGGTCCAATTCGGGTTGCCAAGGACCAATACCAATCAAAAAGGGGAGCTACCCCCAAAGCGAGAAGGCACGAAAGGCCCGAAAGGCGGCTTTTGCCAATGCAACACGCTCAGGAAACTCCTTGCCCTTAGATGGCGTGGGCCATGGGTTCGCTCGTAAGTGCGCTCGCCGCTCGCAGGAAGAGGGGCCCCCAACTAACATGGCAGTGGGAATTCTGTGATACCAAAGTAAGCCATCCCTGTGACTTTGTCAATGTTCATCTCTTAGTCATTCTGTCATTCTCCCCGAAAAAGAAAGGCCCCGAACACATGCTTCACGACTATGCCATGTCAAGTCACTCTGGGCCTGGTCAAACACCACGACGCCGAGCTCAGGGTCATACTTGACCTGTCCAGGCTTCGGGGAAATGCGGATTCGGCAAGCGCAAAGCACTGGAAACATGGCTTGATTGCGACTCACACCAAAACACACCCAGGACACCCTACAAAAGGATTGCAGTGGGGAGACTCGGTCCATTTTGGAACCAACCTCGATTCCAGTGCCTGACCTGCTGATGGCCGTTTCAGGCGAGTCTCTCTCTCAAAACAGGAACCATGTGGCCATGGGTCAAAAGCCCGTACCCTCAGTGAACATCCCAATCCCCACTAAAATATGTTCTAAAATGGGTGGTGCACCTACCCCCAAAATGGGATCCCATTGGTTTTGACACCCACAGCCATGTGGGAAATGTGGGAAGGGATCTCTTCCCCCTTCGGACGAACATTTTTTGCGAAGAGGTCGTGCAGAAGACCCCCCGGTACGAATTACAGCTACTTTTGCCACGCTGGTAAAAGCGTCGCCAATGATCATTTCTTCAAGCAAAGGAGAAACAGACAGTTCCCCAAAAGTATCACAAGAGTAGGGTTTCCAGCACCAGCGGAAAGACGAACATGCTGTCCGGAATTGCAGGACTTGTGCTTAATTTGCTCCAGCCCAATCTGAAATTTGCATGTGCGAGGTTCGTTGTTTTCGCTCCTTACCAATGTGGGGCTGTCCCAAATGGAGGACCGGCTTATGGCTGCGGATGCAAATCCTATTTTGGGAAGACAGCCTAGACATGAGCATCAAAAAGCCCCCTGTATTTTCCTCTGGGGTGGCACGTTTTATAAATGTCCACCCCTTCCCCTTCACCGAAGCCACTGCTTCAGGAGTTATCCTTATTAGCTGGTTCCATGTTCTTTGGTTTGTTTTTTTGTTCTTTTATATTGCGAATGATCAACTGTATATACTACGCCTGACTGACGTATCTCGGTTGCTTTCTGCTCCCCTGCTAAAAGCGAATAACTTTTGGTGGTTTAATGGAACACTAACATTTGTTGGCAAATTTCAAGGCTTCTTTTTCTACCATAAAGGGGACCACAAAATGTGTTTTTTACAAACCAAGATGAACGCGGTACATTCAAACGGTCCTCTAGCTGACGTCTCCCGGGCGCTTTCGCGCTCGCGCGCGATCGCGAGCGCCTGCTGCCGCAGCTCTTCCGCCTTGCCGCTGCCAATGGGCAGCCGCCCGCTGTAGGGGCGCCACCTGACGCGGCCGAAGATGGGCGCGGGTCCCAAACGTAGCAAACCGCCAGAGAAAAAGAACGACCGGCTTCTCGGGTTTTTTCTTGGTGTCCTCATCATCGATATCATCGTCAATATACCAAAGTCTCTCATTTTTTGTGTTTTGCAAAACGCCCTTTAAACCAACCCCAAAACTAGACACACACGCACACACAAATGCTTGGAGTCCTTTTTGGTTGCCCTTTGCAGCCAAATGTCGCACCCGCAGAGACCCCGAAGAGTAAAAGCTCAAGCGGACTGCAATGTGAACAACAGCATGGCGACACAGGCTGCACCATGGTAACGCGGCACTATGATAATGTGGGCAGAAATATCATGATGGTCAGCAGCAGCAAGAAACATTCAAGCAGGATCGCAATAAAGACTGCTGTATGAATACGCAGGCAGCATCGACGAGCAGCGTGATACTGTGACGGCAGGTGACGCAGAGAACCATGCCAATGCTCTCGGAATCGGACAACGCAGGCAACATCATGTTGACACGAGCAACACCACGGTTGATAGCCCTTGCAGCATCATGATACTGCTGACTGTGTCACGATGACGCAGCTCCTTTCGGAATGTGCCCAAAATCGGCTTGCTGGGCCCCAATGCAACTGCCATCAGGAGGCCTGTTACTGCGTGGACAGCAAAACATGACCATCCCTACCAGCCGAGCTTAAGGGTGCTTTGACGATATACATTTACGCTCGACTTAGACACCGAGCGAAGTAAACCCCGAAACGAACTTGAATCGGGTCCCCGCCTTTGCAGTACCCGCTCTTTCACCTGCCAAGCCCAGACTCCCCCTCAGTTCCGGCTACGACTGCTTTTTCATGTGCCAAGACTCAAGTGCTGTCCGAAAAGCAGTTGTTGGGTGGGGTGGTGCGGGTGGGGGGGGGGGCTGGTTCGAGTAGCACTAATTTTGAAAGGCAAAAACTATTCAGCCATCCAGATCAAATCCAACTTCAACTTCATCGACACTCATGTCTCTGTCAAGGGCAACAAGATCTAAAAAGGCCCAAGTCGCCTCATTGCGTGGGTAGCGGTGTGTCTGACTTTGGCGGAGGCTGAACCTCTCCCAAAACGACTTCTGTAAGTGCCTCCTGTGTGTCCCCCCCCGTGTCTGGACCCCCCGAAAATGGTGGTGTTCCTTTTGGCTTCCCTTTATAGCACCAGGGCCACCGAGCCTCAAAAAGGGACAGCCCCCCCCTAGGCCGGAGATTCTTTGGCGCATCGAACACCTCTGACTCAGACTCAGCGCCTCAATTCCCAAGGTGCTGCACAAACCTTCCAGCTCCTCCATCGACTCCTGGCGCGAGCTTACTTGGTCTCCAGTCAGAAACCGTTTTCCCTCCTCAGGGTGCCGATGGATTTTGGGGCAAAATGAGCAGGGACTTTCGGCGCGAGCTTACCGGATGATTTTGGGGCCTCAAAATGTGGGATTTGTCCGAGGCGGGTCAAAGTTCTCCATTGGAGGCTCCGAATTTTCTGCAGTCATAACCCTTAGGGCTCCTCTATAAAGGGGACCTCCAATGTGTCTGGGAGGTCACTATCTACCAGTCATGCTGTGGATGGACAAATCCGCGCGTTTCGGCAGTGGGTGGTTACTTGCCACCGGCAAAAAAAATGTGTCGCATGCAAGCCAAAGCGCCCTCGGTTAGAGAAACACAAGACGCTCCGCAAACAATGCACGACTCACCAACAAATGCATCATCTCGAATCACAAGCACAAGCAGCCATGTTCCGTCTAAGCTTCATCAAATCACCAACGAAGCGATGGCAATTCCCGTCGCCACAAGAGTGGCGCAGTGTCGGTAAGATTCGCGAGTCCCAAAGTGGGAGTGTGCAATGGACAGTCAGACCCTCGTTAAGTCGAAAGGCCTTTTGGCTTCCTTCGCTGGGTGCGATGCTCACTCCAACCGCATGGCTCTGACCTGTCGAGCCTCGTTTCTTGAGCCCATTTGGGCTTGCCTCATAGCAGAACCCCCAAAAACAGTTTCCCATTACTCACTTTCTGAGTGGTGTTTTTTCCTTTTTTACTAGGGGCTGGTTTTTCGTAGGGCTGGCTTTCCGCAGGGGCAGCATCCCCAGCATCACCAGCATCACTTGGACCTGGGGTTGCCTATTGGCTCTGATTTCATGAGGCAGGTCTTGGGATGGTTTGTTGTTTATTTAGAAGCGAATGGCTGATCCAGCCTGCTGTTAGGGGGTTTAGGGTTGACTTTGAGTGGGCTTGGGTTAGCTTGGAGCTGATTCGGTGTGCTGCCGGTTTAGCAGCTTTAACGTTGCTTTAGGTGTGGTTAAGTGAGTTGTGGCGTTTTGGTGGTTTGGGGCAACGCTCCAAAACCGATCCTAAACTTGCCCACAATTCTTAACCACACCCCAAAGCAACCCTAAAGCCCTTCACTTCTCCTGAATCAACCCCAAACCATCCCAAGACCCGAAGATCTAAGCCAGCCAACAGCCCCCCTTAACTTACCCAACTGCCATGCCAAGTGAGGCTGGTGATGCCGGGGATGCGGCCAGCCAACCAACCAACCAACCAACCAACCAACCAACCAACCAACCAACCAACCAACCAACCAACCAACCAACCAACCAACCAACCAGGGCACCAGCCCCGGCAATTATTTAGAAAAAAGAGATCCCACTCAAGTGATCTGCAAAACAAAAAGTCTCAAGTCCAGAACTCGGGAAGTGAGAAGTGGTCTCTGGCCGCTTAAAAAACCCTTGAGACAATATCGGGTCGCTTCCTTTTGGGCTCAACAAGAAGCGATTCGACCGTAGGGCTCCCTTGGTGTTTTTGGTCACCTGCCCGAAGGAGGAGCTGCGTCCTTGGGTTTTCGGGTAGATTCCCAAACCAAGGGGACACCCCTCCCATGTTCGAGGCGTCCAGCACTGTGTCAATTTGTAAACACCTCCATGGTCAGTCAGGGGCTAACATCACACCCAGCAAAAAATAGGCTGTTGGCAAAAAGGGGGAAGAGACAAACCCATCTGACTCAAAACTCATTGACTGCTGATTCTATCAAGATGGTGTAGAGGTTTTTGTACAGGCCTTGCCAAAAAACTACCGCAAAACCAGGAACTACCTACCTACTACATGACCGAATTTTCGGTTGCTGGCGATGCCTTCTCAAGGAAAACAACAGGGTGTTGAATGAACCTGGATATTTTCCTAGGAAACTGCGCTTCTCAAAGGGACCGATTCCTCCGGAATGGTTTCTTCTTCCCTTCCGCCGGCTTTGCTTTCAAAAAAACCACAGGCTCGGATTCCCTTTTTGAGTATGTGGTTTTAAAGGGAAACCAAAAGGGAAATTCCGAAGCCTTTTTTTTTGGGGGGGGGTCCAAATCCAAAATCACACACTCTGGTGCCCTGAACAATCGATCACCGCCTAAAGGCGCGCACGAAAGTGCACAGGCAGTCATAATCCAAAACAAATCGACCCCCCCCCTTAACACCTACAAAAAAAAAAACATGTGTCACACCCACCCCGGAAAAATAAAACACCGCAAAAAAAGACAGAGAACAAAATACGCGAAGGCCAACCCACAAAAAAAAAGCCCCCGGCGGCTCGCCTCCGGCGTGAAGGCCGGGCCTTCCGAAGTCGCGGCCGCCTGCTTGGGCCCCGGGTCCCAGCCTCGAGACGTAACTGCGGGCCGAAGCCTCGAGGGTGTCGTTGGATTTCGTCCATTTAGAGTAGGGTGCCAAACAAAACCAGGAACTTGATGCTTGCTGGCGAGAGATGCAGGGATGGAAAAATGGAGAAAAAACCCAAGACAAAGCCATCCCCTTGGTTTCCTTTCAGGGAATTTGCAGGTTCATTCCCTCATTCCCTTACTGAGCACCAGCAAGAAAGGTTGCCCTCGAAAAATCTCAGATGGGCGTGGTGGTCAAAAATACTTGGCAACCCCACATTGGCTTGCCCGAAATGGAAAGGGCCAAAACCTGCGGGTTCCCTGGCGGTTTAGGTTTGAACCATACCCAGATCGAAGTTAAAGTCAGACACCAGGCTTTTTTCAATCAAACTCCGATCCAAGTTGGCAAAGGAACGCCCACGGACTCACTTGGACAGATTTCCCCGGTGAACAAACTGAAACCAGACTCCATCTGTACATCTGCTCTGAGACCTGAAAGCACTTGGCCAAACTATTCAAGTCGGACACTCAATATGACTCTAGTAGCTCAGAAGGCTTCCCTAGAGCCGATGTTGAGTCATCAAAAAGAAGTGTTTGTTGTGTGCATCTTTTTGGATCGGTCGGATATGTGTCCAGGCTACTCTTTGAGTATTGCAAAAAACACCAAAAAATGGGAGGATGCCAAAACCCAGGCACCATTCCAGGGGAGCCGGCCGCAACGCGAAGCCGTGTAGATGATGCTTCTCTCGGACGCCTTTGGCTTCCCTACAAGGCCACTGAGATAGCCTTCGGCTCCCACTCTCCAGGACTCTTTGGATCCCAAGGTCGCAGGTCCAGGAAGCCATGTTCCAAGTGCAGAACTAGACGTTGGCAACGGGAAGGCACCAACACACAAAAAAACAAGAAAACAAAAAGAAACTCCGTGCCATGCTTCCCCTTCGTGCTCTGTCCTAATCAAGCCATTCTTCCAGGCTTTGCTACAAGCCAGAAAATTCAAGCCAGTTCGGGCTTGCTAAAACTACGAACCAGGGCGCGTTTCGGGGTGGTTTTACTGGGGAGCCAGAAGGAAAACCAGCATTCTTGGTTGCTTGTTTTTTTGTCTTTGTTTGCTTTTTGGGGGTACCCCTATTTGGCCACATGCGAATCGGCACTGGATCCGAGAACGAGTGTCCGGCCAACGACCACGGCCTGGCAAGAAACCAGCCGGCTCCGAGAGCTTCGTGATGCGCCGTCCGAGAGCTTGGGGGTCTCTGTGCAAAAAGGAGACGTTGCCATGGGGTTCCGATTCCTTTGAAACAAACCCATAAGGTCCGTTTGGAAGACGGCCAAGAAATCTTCAAACCTTCTGAGGACCATTCTAAGCAATGTCTCTGAGCTACCCCTTCCACTTTTGAGGACCGTAAAAGCTCACAGCCCTTTCTACCATCCAAACGGCAGAAGCATACTGCGCATAGTACGACTCTGGAATTCTTAAAGCTGGTGGGGGACCTGGTTCCCCAAAAGAAGATCCCTGTTGTTTCTTTCTTTTCTCCTCTCTTGCAGTGCAGTCCCGGCCGCCCAAGCCTTGGGCTGCAAGCAATTCTCTCGTCACCGCCGCTCCAACGTCTCTTTAAAAAAACTGGGGCGGCCGTGTTTGGTGGCTTTCCTCATTCCCAAAAAAATGCCCAAACACCGCGAAATAGCCTCAAAAAAAGGAGACCCAAACATGGGTGTGAATTTTGATTGGGGACCCTTTGGTGAACATCTTTTTACATGAGGATGTATGTCGGCCCACCATGTTCCAACCAGAATCAAAAGCTAGACGGCTGCTTCTCCAAATGGATTTCGGTCTATCGCAACTTGTGCAACCTTTGCTTTCCAACGTCCATCTTAAAACTAGAGAGAATTCCAGACTCAGGTGTGTCGTTTGCTTCTTTCTCGGGGACCCCTAAAACATGAAGAAACCAAAACACACCTTTCCTTGTGGCTTCCCCTTCAAAAAAAACGGAAAGACATTCAAAAGGGAGAAGGAAAAAAAAACGGGACAACAGAAGCAGACCCTTCCCTTCAAAAAACAGAAAAAAACACAAAAAGAGGGGGTGGCAAACCCACTCCGAAAAGAACAAGAAGGAAAAAACACCGACCCGGACCCGAGCCCTTCCAACGAGCTTTTCTCGCCTTGCCGGTCAGCTCCTTGCCCAAGGCATCGAACTCCTCGCCAAAAGCCGCGGGACTCGACGGCGGACCGCTTCGACCCCCGAGCATCGATCCGCTGCCCTCCCCGGTGCGCCGGAGGTTCGGTGCTCGGTGGCTTTTTCTGCTCTGCGAACAGTGGAAAGAACTTTGCCCGGACGCTCCCGATGGACTTTGGGCCCTCAAACATCCATTTTGAGACCCCAAAACCCCGCTGAGGTGTGCAATGGAGGGTCTGGGTCTTCCATTGGAAGCCCCCACGGCGTCTGGGTGAGTGAGTTGAATTCGGAAGACTAACATTGGTTGGCGAAAAGTGGAAGTCCGAGCATCCAAGCAAAATGCAACAAAGGTTCAGTGGTCTTTGGAGAGGCTTTTCCCATCTACCCTCTAGCAAATCCGAATCCAAACCAATCCAAATCACAAATTCAGGGATAGTCACCTGTCTTTTAAAGGAAGGGTATGTCTGTTGTACGGCTGGACCCTCCCCCAGAAAGAAATGGCTAAACGGGTTTCCTCGTGGTGTCGCTTGAAAACCAAGAAGGAAGGGTTACCCTCACAAAGACATACCAATGTTGGCCTGTGATCTCATGGGTAGTACAACCACCAAACACGGCCAATGGGGGTTTGAGCGCCGCTCACATGGACTCGATGTTCAACGCCATGTGAGTAGGTAAACATGGCTGTGAGTGCGGCAACTGGGGTTAACTCCCAATAACCATGCTTAGAATGTCTAAGCAGGTTGAACATCCAAGTAGCCCAACTTCGGCTGTGTCAACCCCGGACCAAAAGGGGGAAAACAATTCCTTGGAGGAGGGCGGGGAAGAGGATGGTAGTTCGGAGTGGTCTTTGGAAGTCAATCCGCCCGTTGATGGTAGATGCTTGCAACGTTCTTCAACATGAAATCTCCGCAATCCCAATCAGCGACCAGCCATCTGGCAGGACTGAGGATGGATATTCAGCGGCCCTTTTTGGACAGAGGGAAACACACTTTGAAGCCTTCAACAAGGTCTTGTTGAGAGACACCCATCAGGATGTGTGATCCAGCTGCGTTGCCTCGCCTCACGCGGGTTGGGAGAAAAATATCACCTGAAGTTTGAGATTAAAACATGGCAAACCCTCCTGCTTTGCTCAGCCTGTGCTGTTACAAAAAATGGATACAACACAGTTGTATGTATACATATGTATACATATATATATATATGTATATATGCTGATATATACAGATATACATATATATATATAGCGGGGGGTATGCGTCCAATGACTTGGATCGTGTCCTCGAGGTACTCTTGCTGCTGCGCGGCCCGCAGCGAAGTCCGGCGCCGCCGGAGGACAAAAGCCAAGACGGTTGCAGCGCCTGGTTGGTGGCAAAGATGTCAAGTCCCAGCCATGATGCCATGCCAGATCCATACAATCTGTGTATATATATATATAGATAGAGAGAGAGAGAGAGAGACATATGCATATATATATATATGGTATGTCTCTCTCTATATATATATATATATATATATATATATTTGTGGTATGTCTCCATATACATATGAATGAATATATATATATATATATGTGTATATATATATATGTAGCATACACATGTTGAGTATGTGTATATGTATATTATATATATACATGTACGCACAAATGTATAGACAAAACAAAGCTAGTGGTTCCTTTCTCAGTTTGTTCGAGCATCGTTCTTATGTAAAAGTACTTGCCGATTCCCGTAGCATATTAGTCTTTTCTTGGAGAAGCATCTCGGGAAAGAATGGGAACCACCTGGGCGACTAGAAGGCCATCCGCGCAGGGTTCCACTTTTTGACTACCCTCAAATAGACTTAAAATCAGGGGTGGGTCATGTACCCCAAAACGGAACCCCTGGATTTAAGTCATAAAAGTAGAACCCTGGATCCGCGAAATATTAACTGAGCGGGTATACCCTGGTGATGTTGACCTCCGATAAATCGACGCGGATTGATCCTGGGGAGGCGTCTCCCCACAAAAAGTGAAGGAGGCCCCGGATTGGAGTCAGACATCCCTGGTCCATCAACCAAAGGCTTCCTGTTTCCTTCCCATTAACCCATTGGAATCATGGGAAAAGGCTTTTCCACATTTGAGCCAAAGAAGCAAGCCAGCACTTTTGGGGTCCGGGAGACCAACTCTGAAAAAGAGGTCACCCATGTGGCTATGGGTCAAAACCCCGTACTCCCCAGGTGAACATCCCAATCCAACCACGAAAACAGTGAATTCAGCAATCCGCCAAAATGGGATCCCAAAACGGTGTTGACCCACGGCCATATTGCCGTGGGTCAAAAATGGGTATTCATTTTGGAATTTTAGTAAATAGATTTAAGGACTAAAACCCTGCGGCCATGCTGTCAAGCCCGCCAAGCCGGGCGAAGCTTCCGCCAGGCGATGGCCTTCGATACCGCTCCTCGCTCACGGGGTTCCGAAACCCAGGTGGACTCGTGACACTGTGCCTCACCCCCCATTCCAGTTGACTCAGCTAGATTTCTTTGCGGATAAGCCAAGATCATGTGTTCTAGGTTAATTGGATTTGTTGGGCAAGCATGCCAAAAGCACAAGACAGACGGCGAAACTTGAACCTGAGGCTTCCCCCTTTGAGGGAAATCAACCAGCGGTTGGTTTTTTCACGCTTCGCGGCGTTGGCAACACCGAAGCAGCAAAGCCTCCGCACACACCGCGCGGCGACTGGTCGGATAGAAGGAAAGGCGCAGTGGGCCTTCGGCTCACCTCAGCGTCTCACAAGCCCTGCTAAAACTTTGGCTTTTCGTGTGTTAAAATGGAAACCCAACGGCTAAAACCAACTAAAAAGCTAAAAGCTAAAAGCTAAAAGCCTAAAAAGCTACAAAGCTAAAAAGCTAAAATGCTAAAAAGCTAAAATGCTAAAAAGCTAAAAAGCTAAGGAACCGGATGGCTGGGAACCACCAAGACAAGTGAACATCGGTGGCCCTTGGGAGAGAAAGGTGGCTTGGGGACACCCAAAAGGGCCATGGTCACCCCAAAATCGGCTTGAGGGCGTGACTCACTTCAACATCTGAGGCCCCTTGCGGACCTGGGGCTCGGAGCGAGCCTCGAGCGGAGCGGGGCCTGGCCGTGCGTTTCACGGCATGCGTCATCGGTTCGAGTCCCCGAGTCCCCAAGTGGCCCGGGTTCTCTGCTGGAGGGCCCGGGTTCTCTGGGGCCATGACCCTTTTCCAAGGCTTCATCTTGAAGAAACCCAGCGACAGGTCCTCCTGAACGCGTGCAAACTGTTTCTCAGAAGATGCTGCCAGACCACCCCCTCGTTGCGCTCCGTGCAACGGAAGAGAAATCGATCCGACCCACTCTCGGCCTCCGTGAAAGCCAATGCCATGGCCATGGCAATCGAGAGATACACTGGGAAGACCTCGAATCATTTCTGGAGGCTCAAGACTCCTTTTACTCAAATGCTGATTCAAGGAATGGTAGTTGGATCCTCTGCAAATCTCTGGGACGTCAGCTTGCTTGGCACATGCCTATGAGGGTGATCAAAGTGTCAACGCACCAGTTGAACCAGTTCACATTCTAAGATTTTGCTGTTGAGCCACCTCTCGAGAAAATTGTCCGTGAGCTCCGCAATTGTCGCCCACATGAACCATAGACCAGTTCGATCGATAAGCTGTTGAACCAAAGGATGGCCAACTCCGAACAGGAACACGCAGCACGTGCTCCAAAGATTCGTGCTCAGCGCATGGACCAGCCAAAGGGCCATGCCTCATAGGACCTGAGTGGACTGGCCCGACAAAGATGAAACTTTCTGGGCAACCCAAAGATCAAGCGCACCAAGTAACCAGCACCAAAAACTTGAGATGAACCAGCAACAGGGCCTGGCTGCACAGTAAGGAACCTCCAATCTCTTAAATGATCCATGGTTTTAGTTGGTTCATGTGCTGATTGCCACCTGGTTGTGGCTCAAAATTAAAAAGGAGGGGTTACGCAGATTTTCGTCCATGTTTCCACTTGCCAGGGTTCCATTTCGGGTAACGGTTCTTCGAGCCACAGCCACCTCTTTCTCCAAAAGCCAAAAGGTTGGTTTGGCTCGCCAACTCCATGGGGCCCCCCCCAAACGCTGCGCCGTTTGAACCCTCGCGCGGCGGCGTTCGGAACGCCAAATGCGAGCCTCACACAGGGAAGGCCCACTGAATTCTTCTGTACAGGCGTGAAAGGGGGCACGACAAAAGACGGAAGGCAAGTGCCTTCCGGTTGCCTTCCAGCCGTTGTCTCGGAGAACGCCAAGCAAAAAAAGTCGTTGGCAACTCCCTTGTGAACCTTGTCCAACGGTAAAAGTTCAGTTGAGCCACCACAATATTTTCAGCTCACGAGTTCACGGCTGAAGAGTTTGTGGCCCCGAAGACGCTGCGACATTAGCGGGAGCTCGGCGGAGCTTGCGGGTGCACGAAAGACCGGTCGATCCGGATGGGGGGGACAAATTACAGGAGGCCAACGAGAAAAGAAGGAGGCCAACACCCCTGAGAAACAAGTCCAGAAGTCCAGGAATTCGCAACTCGCAAACTTTGGACGCACGAACAAACCCGTGGGCTTCAAACCACAAGCAAAACCATGCCGGGTTCATATTTATCTAAAGAGTTTCATCATCCAAATTGGGTCAACCATTCTTTTCATGGGGGTTGAACCCTGGGAAAACCAGTTCTAGGTGTCACAAATTCGGAGCCACCAGCCGCGAGGGGGCCCCCAGGGTCTACGAATTCGTTGCACTTAGGCTGCGATGTAGCGTGGCCGTGTAGTCGTTGATGGCCTACATCGGCTTGCCTCAAGAAACCTCTGTCAAACCAAAGATGTTTTGATTCCGGGCCATACGGTGGATGGACAAAATCCTCTTAGACACCACCTGAGAAACCCTGGAATGAGTTGCTTCCCTTGTAAATACCAACAAACAATGGCTTCAATGGCTTCCATGGCTTCTTTGGTGGTGCAGGATTTCGTCCATCCACAGAATGGGGGTCTCTCTTTTGAGTTGGTACCCATTTTGGGTGTAGTTTAAAGGGAAGATGAAAGGAAAGCCTTCGAGACCGCCCCATATGGTGTGAGGCCTGGCCCCAGTATGAATCCTGTGAGGGAGGGACAGAGCTCTTCTTCCTTGCACAGTGAGCCAGGTGCCAATCAGGTCATATAAGCTGGCGCTCAGCGGGGAATGAGAAATGGAATGACCCCTACAAACCTGTTCCTCGTGGTTTCCTTTTAAGAAGAGACCCCGGGTTCATTCCAAGTCTGGGCTCGGTCGTTCCTTGCCTATCGCACCAGAAAGTATAAAGGTATACATCGCCACGTCCAACGAAACGCGGTAGGAACGCAGCACCTATCAGCACACTGTCCGGGTATTTCATGGAGACGACTCGTCTCATCAGGCAAGCTCCAAATTGGTTTCCTTTTGGTGACAAAAAAACAATACCCTCACAAAAAGACAGGCCCTGGTTTCCCTTTCAAACCATTCCACGGAGGTACCAACTCAGAAAAGCACACGCCTTGCTGGTGCGATAGGTGAACGACAACGAGTCCGGGTGGGAAGATGAACTGTAAGGGGATTCCCTGGAAGGAAACTAAAACATATCTTCTCCATGGGGAGTAATGGAAGTAAGGGGGATTTCCATCCCATGGGAAATTTTCTCTCCCTAGGAAATGGGGTTTCGTCCAGGGGATTTCTTGTCTGGATGGCCAGTTGCTGCTTTTTGTCCATCTACTTTGCCCCAAAAACCAGCAACAGTGACTGAAAAAACAGCAACTTGGCTATCTAGGGGATTTCTAGGGGGTCCTTCCTTTTTTCTCATCCCCTGCTGAGACCCCTTGAACAAAGGGCCTGCACCACCTCGTCGTCCGCCGCCTCGCGCAGGGCAACCTGAGCGGCTGAGGTGCGTGCGCTTTGGTTGCGGCCGCAAAAAAATGGAATCGAGGTGATGGGCACTTGAAACCAACCAAGAAAAAGAACTGAGCAGTCGTTCGGCCTATGGTGAAAACTCAGAGAGCCCCCCCACTTGGGGGGGCCTTTCCCTGTGTGAGCGGTGAGCTATGCCAAAATGTGGGAAGCCCAAAACGGTGACTTCCATTTCTCACCTCCTGCCTGTCGCGCCAGGCGAAAAGCCTTCGGCCTTCGGTCAAGTCGACTCCTCGGCTCCAGACCTCCGCGCCGAGTTGCCGCCGGAGCTCCGCCATCTGATCCAGCACCACTGCCTCGTCCGCGTTGGGGGCCGGTTTCAAAGGGCCGGGGGTGGTTTAAAGGGGTGGGAGCCGGGGAGGCTGGGGGGGGGCTGGGTGAGGGAAGTGGGGGTGCCTGACCACTTTTCAGGGGATGGAAGCCAGACAGAAAACCCCGATTTCTTGCTCAGGCGGAATGAACCAATGGATCCCTGACGAAGCAACCCCTAATTTGACACATGCACTTGTGTCCCCGCAGAAAACACGGATGTCGAGGCGCCAAGGGAAGTCATGGGTTTGGGGGTCCCTGTGGTGTCCACATCATCCAACGGAGGGGCACAGCTGGGTGCATTTTTGGGAAACACCCAGGCGAAAACTGAGCGCCTATCAAACTGTGGCTACTTTATCTACGCATAAAGCACCCAAGGGATACACTGCATAGTTACACGGTGATATTCCCAAATGGGTGGGTTCGCTGATGTTCTCACCCCGCAAAAAATGCCAGCAAGCGCTGGCGTGTTAAAGCTAGGGTGAAGTCCCTTCTTGGCTGGTTTGAGGCTTAAGGTGCCCTTTTTGGTCGATTTTGAGCCAAAAGGACCAAAGCCTTGCCCCTCGATCGTTCTCCCACGCCGACCCGCTGTTGGGCAATCTCCGCGTCTTCCTGCGCGAAGGCGAACCTCAGGAAGCGAGATGAGGCGAGCGCCTGGGAAATCCAAAACTCGGTGGCGACTGCGAAGCCCTGCTGAAAGTGAGTCTAACTTTTGGTGGTTTAATCCGGAAAACCCAGTTGGCTAAAAAGTTAAAGTCGAATCATCCCTTGAAATGCAGCACAGAAAAGGTGAGGTACTGAGCTAAGCTCGGATTTGGGCGTCTCTCGAGTTGCTGCCCCTCCAAATGGAAAAACTAAGCACCCTCTCTCTCTTTTTGTTTGCTAAAAGCCGGCCGGATTTAAGCAACTGAGCCAGCCACCGATGGCCAGAGAACTACAAAAGCCGAACAGCTCAGGCAACAACGGCAATGCAGGCCATGTACCCAAGAGCCATGCAAAAGGGGTAGGGGAAAAAACAACTGAGACGAATGCCTTCGGGAGATGGGTGTGACACTTTCCAGGGAACATGTTGGTAGGAGAAGAAAATGTCCACTTTGGAGGTGGTTCCAACTGTTTAATCTCGTGCTTGGGTAAAACCTCCGTAGCCCTTGACGCCCAATCCTCCCACACCCCAAGCCCAAATTATCCTTAACGCACCTGGGCATGTATTTTGTTGGGAACTCTTTGGTGGACATCATTTGAAGGGGCATTCGTGTCCACCATTTTGGAAAAAAGCCCTGTAGTCCTGAAAAACGACCTCCACACATACCCCAAATGTCAAACTTGCGCAAAACTGCCCAAAACTGCCCCAAACTGCCACAAGCCAACCTTAGTTGGATCCCCAAGACTTGGTTGCTGTTGACACCCTGCAAACAGTTTTTAACTTTTTGGGGGTTTAGTGGAACACCCCTTGATTTACCAAAAAGTTGAAGTCTAAAGATCCAACCCAATAGCAGTCAAGAAGAGGGCTTTTTGCGGGTTTTCGCCGGTTCCGAAAAGCAGCGAGCTCCAAACCCGAGAGATTTGGTTTCGAGGCTCCCGCTGATCGATCAGCTCCTGAAGCGCCTGTGGACGGATTGCAAATGGGGTTCTGAGACTGGACTGAACCATCCATCTTCAGCTTCCCCTATCGGAGGTTTGGTGGTTTGGTGGTTTGGTGGTTTGGTGGTTTGGTGGTTTGGTGGTTTGGTGGTTTGGTGGTTTGGTGGTTTTGTGGTTTGGTGGTTTGGTGGTTTGGTGTTTTTTGGGTGTTTTTTTTTGTGTTTTTTTGAGGGGTGTCCCATCTACCCTCTAGCAAATGGAGCCCGGTGGTTTGGTGGTTTGGTGGTTTCGTGGTTTTTTAGGAAGGGTTTCCCATGTACCAGAAGGGGTTCAAATCCCCAAACCACCAACTAAGGCTACCTGACAGCTGATTTTTTTGGAAAAAGAACGGCTATTGTTTCTACCAAAACGGGTTTTTGATTCTGGGCATCTCTTGGGTGAGAAAAACATATGTGGCTCCCACCAGCCAAGAATCTCAGCTGTTGGTTCTCCGGGCTTCCAGCCTAACATTTCGGTGGGGGATCATTCATGTCCAAAAACAAACTTGGGAGGTGGTTCCAAATGGAGGAAATTGACGTGAGGCCCTCCAATCATGCAGTGCTCCTTGCTCGGGAAATCGGTCTACGAGCTTCTGGGGAGAGGATTCCAGATATAAAGCCTGAAGTACTTGGCGTCGGGAGCCTTCGTTGAAGCTGGGAAATCAATTCGAGCCTTGGGAGACTACGCTTTGCACTGCGATTTGTCGTGGCCCTTTCGTTCAGATTGGACCGTGTCGCTCCGATTTGGAGACGCCGCCACGAACTGCGTGTCCCATGGCGAGAAATAAGCTTGGCTGAAGCCTGTTGGGGGAAGCCCCCATACATTTAGGGTGCGGATCTGTTTTTTTTTGTTAATGCAAAATTGACGTATTTTACACTAGCCCGTCAACATCCCCAGCATTGTTTTAAACATCCCCCGCATGTCCAACCAACATCCCCAGCATCACCAACAAATCGTGGGTAACAAAATCCAAAAAGTAGCTGGCGTTTTGACGGGGTCACAAAAATGATGATTCAACTAGGATGGCATTTCACTCGCTGCAAAGCAAATCCAAAAAGTAGCAGGGGGCTGCAGCCCTCCATGATGTTCGCAGAAGTGATGATTCGAATAGGGGTGCAAATAAATGTCTGCAAAAAGTCTAAAAAGCAGCGGGGGGTTGGGGGGGGGGGGGGCGGCAGCACCCCCCATGACATTCGAGGAAGCGATGATTCAACTAGGGGTGCACTGTAGAAAATCTGAAAAGTAGCGGGGGGGTTGGGGGGGGCGGCAGCCCCCCCCATGATGTTCGAAGAAGTGATGATTCAAATAGGGTGCAATGATTCAACAAAGGGTGCGATAGAATATAAAAAGCAGCGGGGGTGGCTTCCCCTATGATTTCAAAGAAGTGCATACATACAAACATACATAGATTACATAGATTGCATAAAATGTCGTATTTTACAGCATTTTCTCGCGAAGTTTGATGCTCGAAAAAGTGATGAACCAAATAGGGGTGCAATTAAATCTCAGCAAGAAATCCAAAAAGGCAGCGGGGGTTGGGGGGGAGGCGGCAGCCCCCGCCCATTTTGTTTGAAGAAGTGATGAACCAAATGGGGGTGCAATTAAATCTCAGCAAGAAATCCAAAAAGGCAGCGGGGGTTGGGGGGGAGGCGGCAGCCCCCGCCCATTTTGTTTGAAGAAGCGATGATTCAAATGGGGGTGCAATCAAATCTTTGCAAACAATCCAAAAAGTTGCGGGGGGTTTGGGGGGGTGCAGCAGCCGCCCCCCATGATGTTCGAAGAAGTGATGATTCAAATAGGGAGGGACTGATGCTGCTGAGGATGCGAGAAGCCAAAGCCAAAAACCAAGGAACCGGAGAGGAAATAGGATGCAAAAGGCCAAAGCCACCAAAAGACGCATAAACCAGCGAAAAGCTGCAAACACCACCTGGTTTGAACTGGGAATGCAGAGGATGCGAAAAGCCAAAGCCAACAAGCCACAAAAAACAGCGTAAACCAACAAGAAGCCAAAAAGCCAAGAAGCCAAGAAGCCGAAAAGCCAAGAAGCCGAAAAGCCAAGAAGCCAAGAAGCCAAAAGCGAAAACAAAAACAAAACAAAAAACGGAAAAAATAATACCCCTCCATACATTAATGGGAACCCCGGATTCAACCAGGGTTGATTCATACGGCGTGTTCCCTTTTGGTGGGGATTGATCACTGCCACTGTTGCGCGGGAACGCCCCCTAGTAGTAGACTGGTTTATGCATCCGGGGTCGACATTACAAAGCGGGTGGGAATGGCCGCGATCTACGCACTTGAAGTCGACGAAGTTCAAATTTCACACTCACTTACCCCGGACATCAGTGGAGCGTTTGGTTCCGGGACCGACTGAAAACCTGAGAACACCAGGTTTGAGTGCAGGGATGCTGCCTGACAAGGTCTGCTTGTTCAGGTGCCCTCCCATTGTGCCAAGTTTGCTCAGTGGCATGGCCCACTTGAGCACACTTTCCTCAAGCCGTCCCAGTCTTCACATCCTTGTGACCCACAAGTCCTCTTGCGAGAGGGTAGCAACACACCTGCAAACTAACATCGATCCAAAGAAAACAAACATGTGTAGAGGACATAAATGTTCGGGTCCCTTCAAGGGAGTGCGCCGGTCTTCTCCGGTGACTCCCAGTGTGTCAGAATCGGGGGAACCCCCAAATGGCTTCGGGGGGAAGGGGATAGTCCCTAATTCCCTGCCTATTTCTCCTTCATGTTGCATCTCATAATATATGAGTATGAAAATATATGAAAATAGATGTCAGCCTAACCCCTCCCCCTCCCAAACAAAAAGAAGAGGCATAGGGGAAAGAGGCATCGCCTCAAAACCACGTTCTCCGCATTTTGTCATCCCCCCAAAAAAGAAAAAAGAAAAAGGGCCCGAGGCGCCTCCCCTCGCCGCTCCAAGCGTACCAGCTCCTTCTGCATCTCCGCATCCACGGCGTATCTGCCCTAAGCGGCTCAGCGGCTAATCCGGAGGGATTTATGGGCGTGGCCTTGTCTTGAGTTGGCACCCATGTGTGGCCCACGTGTCATGCATCAAAGGTCGCAACCGGACCAACAATTGCGCATTTTGGGTGGGAGGGGGGGGGTTGTACCCTTGTTCCAAACCACCACTTTTTGGGAGACGGGGTCCCTAAAAGGGACGGGAAATGGCATTCCGGGCGGTGGCCCGACAGGCATGCCTTTGAGGGCTTCAACTGCGAAGTGCACAGAAAAAATCATCTAGCCATAGGGAGCAGTGGCTTGGGGAAGCTGGAAACCCTCAGACTCATCGGTTCTCCCGAAAGATTCTGCCAATATTTGGCGGTTGCTTAACATGAGCGAGCGCTTGCCTCAACTCACTTGCCCAAAGGACCCAGAAATAAAAGGTTAACCTTTTGGCAGCTCCGGGAAAACCAAAAGGTCAAAAGGTTGGTTTGGGCAACTGAGTCAATGGATTTTTCTGAAAACAGACTCCTGCGCCCACTCCAATCCCAGGACCCCCGGCCACATCCATGGTTCTAACCATTTGGGGGTGGCTGAAACAGGAGGGGCAAACCGCAGGTTTTTTTCTCCATGTTTTTCCCACTAACCAGGGCAACCGATTTTGGAATTCCAATTTTTCGAACCACGTCCATTGGGCGTCGCTTTGTGTCACGTCCCAAGCGAAGCCCCAAGCCTCTTCCATGCGTAGAAGAAAGCCAGCGTCCTGGATTGATCAAAGGGAGGTTCGCGAATTAGGCCTTTGCTTGGGCGCTGTAGATCCCCCAGCAAACAGTTTAACTGCAAAAAGGAAATACTGTGGCGGGTGGTGGGTGGTGGGTGGTGGGTGGTGGGTGGTGGGTGGTGGGTGGGTGGTGGGTGGTGGGTGGGTGGGTGGGGTGGCGGGGGCGGTTGTGAGTGGGTGGGCGTGTGTGGGTGGGCGGGCGGGTGGGTGGGTGTGGGTGGGCGGGCACGCGGGCGGGCGGGGTTGTTGATTGGGAGGCGGGTGGCTGGTTGGTTGGTTGGCTGGCTTTAACTCTTGTCAGGGCTTGCAGTCAGAAGCTGGTTAGTGGTTTCCGATTTCACATACGACTTGGGGGACTCATGGGGCCAAAGAGAAACCAAAGGCAAAACTGATGTCGGGGAAAGGTCATGAAGGTGAATCGCTGGACAAAACCTAGTGAGTCATAATCAAAACCTGGTGAACACACCCATTTGTGGCGGGATTGTCCCTTACTACCCTCCAATTAGCCGGGTTTTGAGTGTGACTCAAGTCATGTTTGGGAGCATACCTACCTGGATGAGATCCATTTTGAGACAAACACGCATATTCAGTATGGCTTGTCGGTGAGGTATGTCAGGTCGAGCGGAACCTCAGGGATCCCTCTCTTGCCCGATAGGGAAACAACCCCTGGAAGACCAACTATTGGCTCCATAGATGGCTTTTCTTGCAGCGAGATTGTACTTTGCTGAAAAACCGTGGGCTCAACCACAACTGCTCATCCCCCCCCCCCCCCGTCCCTTACTACCTGCATCCGGCTCAAGTGGAAAACAGGATCCCTTCAGCTGGCCTCTTTCTTCTACCATGACGAAAGTCCCTCCCGTACGTGGTGGGTTAAAAAACTAGAGGAAAGCATTTTTCCACAGGTGCTCATCCAGCCGCGGAGACACCTTTTTACATCGCTGCGGCGAGCGTGTCTGCGCGCGGCACGCTCAGTGTGTATGGTCACATGAGAGCTCCATCGCATCATCCTACTTTCCTCTCGAACTGCGCCGCGCGATTTCTCACGAAAGTGGTCTGCGCAAGCTGCATTGTTCCAGGCTGCTGCGCGCAAGTTGCTCTCTGCAAGCTGCTGCACGCAAGTGCTCTGTGCAAGTTGCTCTGCGCAAGCAAGTTGCTCTGCGCAAGTGCTCTGCGCCAGTTGCTCCGCGCAAGCGCTTTGCGCATGTGCTCTGCGCAAGTTGGTCTGTGCAAGTTGCTCTGCGCCTGCTCTGTGCAAGTTGCTCTGCGCAAGTGCTCTGAGCAAGTTGCTCTGCTCTGCGCCAGCAAGCGCTTTGCGCATGTGCTCTGTGCAAGTTGCTCTGCGCAAGTTGCTCTGCGCCAGTTGCTCCGCGCAAGCGCTTTGCGCATGTGCTCTGCGCAAGTTGGTCTGTGCAAGTTGCTCTGCGCCAGTTGCTCCGTGCAAGCGCTTTGCGCATGTGCTCTGTGCAAGTTGCTCTGCGCAAGTGCTCTGAGCAAGTTGCTCTGCGCAAGTGCTCTGCGCCAGTTGCTCCGTGCAAGCGCTTTGCGCAATTGCTCTGTGCAAGTTGCTCTGCGCAAGTTGCTCTGCGCAAGTGACTCTGCGCAAGTTGCTCTGCGCAAGTGCTGCCGGAGCTGTGGGAATGTGCTTCGCGTACTATGTTTGTACTTAAAAGTTGCGATTTTCCAGCCTGAGCTGCGGGGGTGTGCTTCGCGTACTACGTTTGTACTTAAAAGTTGCGATTTTCCAGCCGGAGCTGCGGGGGTGTGCTCCGCGTACTATGTTTGTACTTAAAAGCTGCGATTTTCAAGCCGGAGCTGCGGGGGTGTGCTCCGCGTACTACGTTTGTACTTAAAAGCTGCGATTTTCAAGCCGGAGCTGCCGGACCAGAAAAATCGAACCCGCAACCGCGGGATTGCGAAAGCAGGCGCGCAAACCAATCCAAAGGCCGTTTCGCGAGCGAAAATAGCACGGCGCCACAGCGAGAGCGCTTCGACGCGCACGATCTCCGCAGAGGGTTCACCGAGACTAAGACAAATTCGCACGGCGCCACAGCGAGAGCGCTTCGACGCGCACGATCTCCGCAGAGGGTTCACCGAGACTAAGACAAATTCGCACGGCACCACAGCGAGAGCGCTTCGACGCGCACGATCTCCGCAAAGGGTCGCGCGCGGACCGCAGAAATCGTAAAAAGTCCTCAGTTTTTGAATCTCCGCAGAGGGTCGCGCGCGCGCCGCAGAAATCGTAAAAAGTCCTCAGTTTTTGAACCTCGACCACGCGAATCTCCGCAGAGGGTCGCGCGCGCACCGCAGAAATCGTAAAAAGTCCTCAGTTTTTGAACCTCGACCACGCGAATCTCCGCAGAGGGTCGCGCGCGCACCGCAGAAATCGTAAAAAGTCCTCAGTTTTTGAACCTCGACCACGCGAATCTCCGCAGAGGGTCGCAATCCCGAGCGATGATCTCTGGCCACTTGGCTCTATGTAACTTGGCTCTTGCTTAGCTCTATGTAACTTGGCTCTATGTAACTTGCTCTATGTAACTTGGCTCTATGTAACTGGCTCTATGTAACTTGGCTCTATGTAACTTGGCTCTATGTAACTTGGCTCTATGTAACTTGGCTCTATGTAACTTGGCTCTATGTAACTTGGCTCTATGTAAACTTGGCTCTATGTAACTTGGCTCTATGTAACTTGGCTCTATGTAACTTGGCTCTATGTAACTTGGCTCTATGTAACTTGGCTCTATGTAACTTGGCTCTATGTAACTTGGCTCTATGTAACTTGGCTCTATGTAACTTGGCTCTAACTTGGCTCTATGTAACTTGGCTCTATGTAACTTGGCTCTATGTAACTTGGCTCTATGTAACTTGGCTCTATGTAACTTGGCTCTATGTAACTTGGCTCTATGTAGCTTGGCTCTGTGCAACTTGGCTCTGTGCAACTTGGCTCCGTGTAACTTGTCCAAGGGCTCCGCACGGAAGAACCCTTCGCGATGCTTTCGGGAAAAACGCCCCCCATTTTATGATGTTGAGAACCACCAGAAACCCTCAAAAGAATGACCCCCAGCTCAAGGATTCCCCTTCACCAGCTGACTTGGACCTCGGCTCCCCCTGATTCGCCTGCTCGGAGCTCCGCTGCTGCTCCCTCGCGGCGTCAGCCAGGAGCTGCTGCATCCTCATCAGCGAGTGTTGATGGGACAGCTCGGTGGAAATTGGTTTGGGACCCAGGGATCCTCACATTATACTATACACCTGATCTTTTAAGGAGCCCTGGCCCATTTGCGCTTTTTGAGGTGCACCGGAACGAGAAATGTATCGACTTAAGACTTGTCCAATCTTCTTTCTGCCAGCGCTAGACGTGCATACAATCATCTGATGCGAGCCAGACTCCAGCATCGTTTTGGAAGACACCTCTTAAGGGCCCGAAAAGTCCGCTTCCATAATGGGAAAGAGGCGTTTCTGCCTCATGAATTATAGATTCCGCGGCAAAAACGCGACTCCCCCGACTTTCGTACCCGTTTTTTGTTCGTGTGTAGGGGACCCAAAAATCTGGCCTGGTTGAGAAGGATACTCGCAGAGAACAACGGGAACAGAGCAACAAGGGAAATATTGCTAGTAGACAAGATGTGTTTCCCACGTTTTTTCCAGAGCTGGTGCCTGGATCTCTACACTGGCAACTGTCCAGGAATTATCCTCCTCCCAGTAACATGGGAGGAGCTTGATCTGGCTGCTATATTGGTCTGATCGAGGCCATGTGTTGAGGAGAGGCCACTCGACCAAACTCAGCCGCAAAAATGTCAAAAACGCGGCTGATGCTGAGGCCCCCCGCGCTTCCTTCAAGTATGTGAGCTCCACCTGCGAAGCGGAACTGGAACTTCAACAACAGACTTGCTGGGATAGGACCCCGAGCAGGTCCTGTTCCAGAGACCCCTCTTATTTATTATTTTCTTGTTTGTTTTCCTTTTTTATTTTCTAAAAACAAAACCTGGGAAAAACAAACGCGGCTGTGAGCGGGATGGATTGAACGATGCACCACGGTTCAGTCGATCCAGCAGGAAGCACGCACCCGCAGAGCTGGATTGCTAAATTCATACGGACAGACCAGGGAAGGAGAATCCGATAGAAAAAACACCAACAACTTTTGTTAAACAACTTTTGTTAAACAATTGTTGTTAAACAATTGTTGTTAAACAACTTTTGTCAAACAACTTGTGTTAAACAACTTGTGTTAAACAACTTGTGTTAAACAACTTTTGTTAAACAACTTTTGTTGAACAACGTGTGTTAAACAACTTTTGTTAAACATTGTTTGTTAAACAACTTTTGTTAAACAACTTTTGTTAAGCAACTTGTGTTAAACAACTTTTGTTAAACAACGTTTGTGAAACAACTTGTGTTAAACAACTTTTGGTAAACAACTTTTGTCAAACAACTGTTGTTAAACAACTTGTGTTAAACAACTTGTGTTAAACAACGCTTGTTAAACAACTGTTGTTGAACAACGTGTGTTAAACAACTTTTGTTAAGCATTTTTTGTTAAACAACTTGTGTTAAACAACTTGTGTTAAGCAACTTGTGTTAAAAAACTTTTGTTAAAAACGTTTGTGAAACAACTTGTGTTAAACAACTTTTGGTAAACAACTTTTGTTAAACAACTGTTGTTAAAAAACGTTTGTGAAACAACTTGTGTTAAACAACTTTTGGTAAACAACTTTTGTTAAACAACTGTTGCTAAACAACTTGTGTTAAACAACTTTTGTTAAACAACTTGTGTCAAACAACTTGTGTCACACAACTTTTGTTAAACAACTTGTGTTAAACATCTTTTGTTAAACAACTTTTGTTAAACAACTTTTGTTGAACAACTTGTGTTAAACAACGTGTGTTAAACAACTTGTATTAAACAACTTTTTTAAACAACTTTTGTTCAACAACTTGTGTTAAACAACTTGTGTTAAACAACTTGTGTTAAACAACTTGTGTTAAGCAACTTTTGTTAAGCAATTGTTGTTAAGCAAAATTTGTTAAACAACTTGTGTTACACAGCTTTTGTGAAACAACTTTTGTTAAACAACTTTTGTTAAACAACTTGTGTTAAACAGCTTGTGATAAACAACTGTTGTTAAACAACTTGTTAAACAACTGTTGTTGAACAACTTTTTGTTAAACAACTTTTGTTAAACAACTTGTGATAAACAACTTTTGTTAAACAACTCTTGTCAAACAGCTGTTGTTAAACAACTTTTGCCAAACAACTTTTGTTAAACAACTTGTGTTAAGCAACTTTTGTTAAACAACTTGTGTTAAACAACTGTTGTTAGACAACTTTTTGTTAAACAACTGTTGTTAAACAACTTTTGTTAAACAACTTGTGTTAAACACCTTTTTGTTACACAACTTTTGTTAACCAACTTGTGTTAAACAACTTTCGTTAAACAGCTTTCGTTAAAACAGCTTTTGTTAAACAGCGTTTGTTAAGCAACTCTTGTTAAACAACTGTTGTTAAACAACTCTTATGTTAAACAACTTTTGTTAAACAACTTGTGTTAAACAACTTTTGTTAAACAGCGTTTGTTAAGCAACTCTTGTTAAACAACTGTTGTTAAACAACTCTTATGTTAAACAGCTTTTGTTAAACAGCTTTTGTTAAACAGCTTTTGTTAAACAGCTTTTGTTAAACAGCTTTTGTTAAACAGCTTTTGTTAAACAGCTTTTGTTAAACATTTTTTGTTAAACAACTTTTGTTAAACAACTTTTGTTAAACAACTTGTGTTAAACAACTTTTGGTAAACAACGTTTGTTAAACAAATTTTGTTAAACAACTTTTGTTAAACAACGTTTGTTAACCAACTTGTGCTAAACAACTTGTGTTAAACTACTTTTGTTAAACAGCTTTTGTTGAACAACTTTTGTTAAACAACTTTTGTTAAACAACTTGTGTTACACAACTTTTGTTAACCAACTTGTGTTAAACAACTTTTGTCAAACAACTTTTGTTAAACAACTTTTGTTAAACAACTTTTGGTAAACAACTTTTGTTAAACAACTTTTGTCAAACAACTTTTGTTAAACAACTTTTGTTAAACAACTGTTGTTTGTTAACCAACTGGTGTTAACAACTTTTGTTAAACAACTTTTGATAAACAACTTGTGTTAAACAACGTTTGTTAACCAACTGGTGTTAACAACTTTTGTTAAACAACTTTTGTTAAACAACTTGTGTTAAACAACTTTTGTTAAACAACTTGTGTTAAACAGCGTTTGTTAAACAGCTATTGTTCAACAGCTTTTGTTAAACAGCTTTTGTGAAACAACGTGTGTTAAACAACTTTTGTTAAACAACTTTTGTTAAACAACTTTTGTTAAACAACTTTTGTTAAGCAACTTTTGTTAAACAACTTGTGTTAAACAACTTGAGTTAAGCATCTTTTGTTAAACAACTTCTGTTAAACAACTTTTGTTAAACAACTTTTGTTAAACAACTTGTGTTAAACAACTTGTGTTACACAACTTTTGTTAAACAACTTTTGTTAAACAACTTTTGTTAAACAGCGTTTGTTAAACAGCTATTGTTAAACAGCTTTTGTTAAACAGCTTTTGTTAAACAGCTTTTGTTAAACAGCTTTGGTTAAACAACTTGTGTTAAACAACTTTTGTTAAACAACTGGTGTTAAACAACTTCTGTTTAACAACTTTTGTTAAGCAACTGTTGTTAAGCAACTTTTGTTAAGCAACTTTTGTTAAACAACGTTTGTTAAACAACGTTAGTTAAACAACTTTTGTTAAACAAGTTTTGTTAAACAACTTGTGTTAAGCAACTTGTGTTAAGCAACTTGTGTTAAACAACTTTTGCTAAACAACTTTTGTTAAACAACTCTTGTTAAAAAAAAACTGTTGTTAAACAAATTGTATTAAACAACTTTTGTTAAACAACTTTTGTTCAACAACTTGTGTTAAACAACTTTTGTTAAGCAACTTATGTTAAGCTAAACTTATTAAACAACTTTTGTTAAACAGCTTTTGTTAAACAACTTTTGTTAAACAACTTTTGTTAAACAACTTTTGTTAACCAACTGGTGTTCAACAACTTTTGTTAAACAACTTTTGTTAAACAACTTTTGCTAAACAACTTTTGGTAAACAACTCTTGTCAAACAGCTTTTGTTAAACAAGTGCTGTTAAACAACTTGTGTTAAACAACTTTTGTTAAACAACCTGTGTTAAACAACTTGTGTTAAACAACTTGTGTTAAACAACTTTTGTTAAACAACTTTTGTTAAACAACTTTTGTTAAACAACTTTTGTTAAGCAACTTTTGTTAACCAACTGTTGTTAACCAACTTGTGTTAAACAACTTTTGTTAAACAGCGTTTGTTAAACAACTTGTGTTAAACAACTTGTGTTAAACAACTTGTGTTAAACAACTTTTGTCAAACAACTTTTGTTGAACAACTTTTGGTAAACAACTGTTGTTAAACAACTTTTGTTCACCAACTGGTGTTAACAACTTTTGTTAAACAACTTTGTTAAACAACTTGTGTTAAACAACGTTTGTTAACCAACTGGTGTTAACAACTTTTGTTAAACAACTTTTGTTAAACAACTTGTGTTAAACAACTTTTGTTAAACAACTTGTGTTAAACAGCGTTTGTTAAACAGCTTTTGTTAAACAGCTTTTGTTAAACAGCTTTTGTTAAACAACGTGTGTTAAACAACTTTTGTTAAACAACTTTTGTTAAACAACTTTTGTTAAACAGCTTTTGTTAAACAACTTGTGTTAAACAACTTGAGGTGAGCATCTTTTGTTAAACAACTTCTGTTAAACAACTTTTGTTAAACAACTTGCGTTAAACAACTTGTGTTAAACAACTTGTGTTACACAACTTTTGTTAAACAACCTTTGCTAAACATCTTTTGTTAAACAACTTTTGTTAAACAACTTGTGTTAAACAGCTTGTGATAAACAACTTTTGTTAAACAACCTTTGTTAAACAACTTTTGTTAAACAACTTTTGTTAAACAACTTGTGTTAAACAACTTGTGTTAAACAAATTGTGTTAAACAGCTTTTGTTAAACAACTTTTGTTAAACAACTTTTGTGAAACAACTTTTGTTAACCAACTGTTGTTAACCAACTTTCGTTAAACAACTTTTGTTAAACAACTTGTGTTAAACAGCGTTTGTTAAACAGCTATTGTTAAACAGCTTTTGTTAAACAGCTTTTGTGAAACAACGTGTGTTAAACATCTTTTGTTAAACAACTTGTGTTAAACAACTTGAGTTAAGCAACTTTTGTTAAACAACTTTTGTTAAGCAACTTTTGTTAAGCAACTGTTGTTAAGCAACTTTTGTTAAGCAACTTTTGATAAACAACGTTTGTTAAACAACGTTAGTTAAACAGCTTTTGTTAAACAAGTTTTATTAAACAACTTGTGTTAAGCAACTTGTGTTAAGCAACTTGTGTTAAACAACTTTTGCTAAACAACTTTTGTTAAACAACTCTTGTTAAAAAAACTGTTGTTAAACAAATTGTATTAAACAACTTTTGTTAAACAACTCTTGTTCAACAACTTGTGTTAAACAACTTTTGTTAAGCAACTTATGTTAAGCTAAATTCATTAAACAACTTTTGTTAAACAGCTTTTGTTAAACAACTTTTGTTAAACAACTTTTGTTAAACAACTTTTGTTAACCAACTTGTGTTAAACAACTTTTGTTAAACAACTTTTGTTAAACAACGTTTGTTAAACAACTTTTGGTAAACAACTCTTGTCAAACAGCTTTTGTTAAACAACTGCTGTTAAACAACTTGTGTTAAACAACTTTTGTTAAACAACTTTTGTTAAACAACTTGTGTTAAACAACTTGTGTTAAACAACTTTTGTTAAACAACTTTTGTTAAACAACTTTTGTTAAACAACTTTTGTTAAACAACTGTTGTTAACCAACTGTTGTTAACCAACTTGTGTTAAACAACTTTTGTTAAACAACGTTTGTTAAACAACTTGTGTTAAACAACTTGTGTTAAACAACTTGTGTTAAACAACTTGTGTTAAACAAATTGTGTTAAACAGCTTTTGTTAAACAACTGTTGTTAAACAACTTGTGTTAAACATCTTTTGTTAAACAACTTTGTTAAACAACTTTTGTTAAACAACTGTTGTTAAACAACTCGTGTTAAACAACTTTTGTTAAACAGCTTTTGTTAAACAGCTTTTGTTAAACAGCTTTTGTTAAACAGCTTTTGTTAAACAGCTTTTGTTAAACAGCTTTTGTTAAACAGCTTTGGTTAAACAACTTTCTTACACAACTTTTGTTAAACAACTTGTGTTAAACAACTTTTGTTAAACAACTTTTGTCAAACAGCTTTTGTTAAACAACTTTTGTTAAACAACTTGTGTTACACAACTTTTGTTAAACAACTTTTGTTAAACATCTTTTGATAAACAACTTGTGTTAAACAGCTTTTGTTAAACAACTTTTGCTCAACAACGGTTGCTCAACAACTTTTGTTAAACAGCTTTTGTTATAAACAAAAACGTGCGTTAAACAGATTTTGTTAAACAGCTTTTGTTAAACAGCTTTTGTTAAACAGCTTTTGTAAAACAGCTTTTGTTAAACAGCTTTTGTTAAACAGCTTTTGTTAAACAGCTTTGGTTAAACAACTTTTGTTAAACAACTTTTGTTAAACAACTGGTGTTAAACAACTTCTGTTTAACAACTTTTGTTAAACAGCTTCCGTAAACAACTTGTGTTAAACAACTGTTGTTAAACAACTTTTGATAAACAACTTTTGTTAGACAACTTTTGATAAACAACTTTTGTTAAACAACTTTTGTTAAGCCGCTTTTGTTAAACAGCTTTTGTTAAACAATGGTTGTTAAAAAACTCTTGTTAAACAACTTTTGTTACACAACTGTTGTTAAACAACTTTTGCTAACTAACTTGTGTTAAACAACTGTTGTTAAACAACTGTTGTTAAACAACTTTTGTTCAACAACTTTTGTTAAACAGCTTTTGTTAAACAACTTTTGTTAAACAGCTTTTGTTAAACAGCTTTTGTTAAACAGCTTTTGTTAAACAGCTTTTGTTAAACAGCTTTTGTTAAACAGCTTTTGTTAAACAGCTTTAGTTAAACAGCTTTAGTTAAACAGCTTTGGGTAAACAACTTTTGTTAAACAACTTGTGTTAAACAACTTGTGTTAAACAACTTATGTTAAACAACTTATGTTAAACATCTTTTGTTAAACAACTTGTGTTAAACAACTTTTGTTAAACAACTGTTGCTAAACAACTTTTGTTAAACAACTTTTATTAAACAACTTGTGTTAAACAACTTGTGTTAAACAGCTTTTGTTCAACTTTAACAGCTTTTGTTAAACAACTTTTGTTGAAGTCCGTGGCTTGAACTCAGATACCTGTGACTAAGTCACCCAGCCAAGACCCCCAACAGACCCCAACACAGACCTCAAAAGTCCAGCCAAAGCCTGAAGCGACGCTCGACGCGAAAGCTTTAAGTGTGGACTCGGAAGCAACCCCAAACTTAACATAGACCTCAGGAGGAGGACTTGAAAGCAATGCCAACAGAACCCCAACTCAATCACCCTCGCACCAGCCCTCGCCAGCCAGCATCCCAACCCCACCCCCCCTATTTTAACCCAGCTTCCATCTAAAGGCCACTGTTCCTCATTCCACACTAATCCCAAAACCTGTAAGTGCAAAAATGTGGGATTTTTAGACTTGGATGGGGCCAAACGAAAGAATGCCAAACCTCGTTCCACCCCCGACCGCGCGTCTGTCCCGTCCGGCGCCTGGAGCTGGGAAGGCACCTCCCCCTTGAACTGCTGAATCCCAAGCTCCAAGTTTCCGCACCTGGAACTCTTTGGCTCATACGGTTTAGGCTCAGGGTTTGTGTTTTGGGTTTGGGATCTAAGGTTTGTTTAGGGTTTAGGGTTTAGGGTTTGTTTGGGGTTTAGGGTTTAGGGTTTAAACCCACCCACCCACTCCAAATCGGAAACATTTGGCTCTCGTCGCCCCCTCTTCGACTTTGGAACCAACCCTCAAACCCCCACATTTCTTTGCCTCGCCAGTTGCCCCCGGCGACCCAAAGAGGAAGCAAGCGCTGGAACTTTGAAACTTTGGTTTGGAGAACCCTCTGGAGCGAAGACGCGAAGCTGTATCAAATGTGCTGGCCCCTTCATATCAAGGTGTCAGACCATCTGAGCCTTCACACAGAAGGCAGTAAGCTGCTGATTCGTTTGGGGTGCTGAAAACTCGATTACTTAGGCTCTGGTGCACTGCGGAGCGCACCTTTTCCTTGAGCCAAAATACAAGTAGCGTATTGGGTCTTTATACCTATACATCTCATCACTCCTCCTTGCTGGAAGAGCGGCTCTGTACACGCTCGCACAGCAATCCGGTAGCGGAGTCTGGCCAGGGACCTTAGCTCCCCAAGAGCTTGAGTTGTCCCTTACTGCGCTGATCCAGGAAAACATAACCACACCTCTTCATGGTTTCTGTCATCTGTACACCTGGTATGCTCTTCGTTAGAGCATCGGCTCTGTTGGCCTTTCCAGGGACATGCTCTACCCTAAGGTGGTCCATGCTCACCCGCTCCTGCAACCACAAAAATCTGGTCTGGATGTGGCGGGCCTTTCCTAGGCCCGCTCGATGCACTGTACCCTTTGCTGCAGTTGCATCTGATTGGATAAGCACCTGGGTCTCCACCGCAAAGTCCTCCAAGAGCGACTGAAGGCCAAGACCCACTGAACCTCCTTTGACCAAGGCGTAGTACTCCGACTCGCCGGTCGAAAGAGCAATAGTTGACTGCACATTGCTGCTGTGCTTCAGCACATGCAACCCATACAGCGCAACCATCCCCGTAGTGGATCTCCTCGTCATAGCATCTCCTGCATGATCAGAGCCCACTTGAATCCGGAGTTTGTTCGGCCTTGCCTGCCTGGCAAACATTTGATACACGTCCGGTTTCCGGATGAGGTAGCGACACAGTCGCTTCAGATCCTGCAAAGATGCCTCTGTCGGCGAGACCATCTTCCTTGCAAGATTCTTCACCGCATGACTAATGTCCAACCTGTCCTGAGACAAGTATGTGGCCCTCATCACGCAAGATCGATACAGCGAAGCCTGGTCTTTCGGTAAAGCTGGGCTTCTGGCTTCCTGCATCTGCAACTCTACGGACTTCTTCACGTCCGGTGTCTCTGCTCCTTTGGCATTCTGCATGCCAAGCTGCTGCACAAGTAGATCAACATGTCGTCGATCTGGCTCAATCAAGATCGCGCTTGCACCTTGATGTTGTTCACAACGAATGAGTCTGTTGAGAAAGTGAACCTCCTTGCTATCACCTTCCTCGTCTCCAATCGTTCCGAGCCATTTCAGCTCGTAAGCGCTGCGAAGCAATGCGTCTACCTCCTTCAACGCGTCTGCATCTCCCAACGCCATGAAATCGTCTCCATGCACAAGCACTCTCACTTCCAGTGTTGGGTGGTAGAATACTGAACCATTCGACTTTCCCCTGATGTATCCCGCCTTGACTAACAGCTGCGTGTAATGCTGCTGCCATATGTTCGGGGCATCCTGGGTTCCATACATTGACTTGGTTAGTCGACCTACCATTCCTGGAGTTGCGTCCTCCTCTGGCAACTCTATGTATATGCGCCTCTTTGGCACACCATAAAAGTGGGCTCTTGAGATATCCCATAGTCCGATCTTAAGAGACCGTCCTCGCTGCGATACCCGCTCTGTGGCCCAAAGGCTGCACAAGAGCCTCATCGCCTCCAAAGGCGGCGTTGACGAGAACAGCATGTTCTGAGGGATTCTCTCCTCCGGTCTCTTCCGGGCCTTAATTTCCCGGACCACCAATCTCGACCGAAAGTTCGGGTTGGTGAAATCTCCTTTGTTCGTGTCTATCCAACGGGTAGTGATTGGACCTCTCCCGTTGGTATCTCGAAGACACTCCTCGAGTGGCACCTTCTCATAGACCTCTTGCTTCCGAAGGTATGCCAACTCCAGTTGGCGTGCTTCTCTGACACGATCTGGGGGCAGGAATCCACCATTCACATCGTCCCAGTACTGCTCCACGTCCTCCGGCGTCACGAAGCATTTTTGAGGAACTGGACCTGCAACAGCTGCGTCCAGTGCACTCAATTGTCCGTTCTCCACCAGGTAGTCCCTCAAGGCTCTCAGCACCGCCCGCACCAGTGCCGGCGAATATCTCGCTGCTGGCCTCGCGAGTCCTCCGATTAGGTGGACATGCCTATGCCAAGGCTTCCTTTCGGTCTTGTTACTGCATTCTCCTCGCAACAGTTCTGCCAGTCCTGGATGATTGGTCATCCAGCCTGTTTCTTTGCGCACATATGCCTTGCAAACCCCGTCGGTCCGTAGCGACCATAGCCCATCTACACATTGGGCCTCGGACTGTATACACGCCCGGTCGTTCAGAGAGGTCTCGGACCTCCGGGTCCTTCCATGATGTGGCACTCCACGGTGCCTCATGCAGAAAGAATCTGCCAGCCTCAACCTGCTTCCTGTAGAAGCTACAGGCAGTATGCAAGTGTGCTACAGCTTTGTCCATCTTCTCTCTTCTCTTGTCCGCACTTACCCTATACTTGTTGATATTCTGCAGTTGAGAAAACTGATCACAGGGCGGACTCCCTGTGAGCAATGCTGGCTCGACCTCGTCTACGTACTTGTCGAGCTCTCGGACGTCTTCTTCCCTACTGAGGTCTCTGCTTGGGCTGTAAACCTCTTTGGGCTGTAGATCTCCATGATGTCTACTGCTCCCATCTCCACGCAAAGCTTGGTGATCTGCTCCAAGTCCACTGCATTGATCTCCACCTCCTGGGCTGCGAAAGCTCTCTCAACCTTTCTTCCAACCATTGACCGCAACATGCCTTTCAATCGACTCAGTTCAAGTCCTCCCACGTCTGGGGGCTTGTCCGGAGCGTTTGAAACATCGGCAGCAACTGCCGCTTCGGCCTCGGTCCTAAGCTCTTCTAACTGTACTTCCGGCTCCCGCTTCTCGCCCTGCTTCGGCGGCATCTTCAGCTTGGGTCCCGGCGCGATGTGGAGCGCGCCTGGCCTCTTGACCTGTGTGGTCGGCTTAGCCTTGCTCTTCGGGCTGCTGGATGCTGAAGGTTCTGCTGCAGCTCTCTTTAGCTCTGCTCTTCTCACTGGGTCTTCTTCATACTCCATCACCTGTCCAGGAACATGACCTGCTCCTGTCCCGGCCCCAACGGCCGGCTCTCCCATAGCCTCCTGGGCTGGGAGATCTTTTTCCACTTCTGTCTCCTTCGTGGATTCTTCACGTTTCCTCTTGTGTTCTTCTACTCGACGTCGTCCTTGCTCGTCGTCCATCATGAGCCCAACGATTCGGGCTCTGCACGCCTCCGTGTGTGGAAGCTGCGTGGATTCTCCCAGCAACACACGAGTCCATCCTGGGCATCCATCTGTGGGTTTGTACTTGTCCACGTCGACCTTCCGGATGTAGATCCATCGCTGCTGTGGCGGCGCCATGACTGGCACGATCTGAGGTGGTACCTCAACCCGGTCCTCACTGACCAGCAGATCTTCTACTCCTTGGGCTGGAGTCCCAGGCGCCCTCTCTCTGGCTTGGTGTTCCTGGGGCTCTCACTCAGGCTCTCCCATCCCTGAGGGTTCCACTGCTCATCCTCCGGAAGACGACGAACTCCGGTACCTCGCTTCACTCCTTCTGGTGTCACAACCAGCAAAGCGCCGGTCCTTCCATGGTGACCTATATACCGGCCTTCCTTCAACGGCCTAGCGCCCTCACCTACCTCACGATAGTAGAGGCGCTCTCCAATGGCTATAGCGGGCTTTCTCCATTGCTTGCCGCTACGCCTCTGCCCTGGCGTCTTCCCATCGACACCTCTCTTGTACCTGCAAATCAGGTCTGCTGAGTGTCTTGGGAACCAAGACAGCACCGGGTCATCTTCCTTGAGAATTCGACCCAACTTCTCCTCAAGTGAGGATCGCAGGACTTGTACCTGCCTCTTGATTTCTCGGCACAAATTCTCGATTGCGCCATTCGCCCGGTGGTCAGCCACCGGCGACTCCTGTGGAACATTCTCCACGCCTGCTTCCTTGGCCGCCTGCTCCTTCAGGGCAACGATCGAATGCTCACCATCACTCTTGAAGACTGCACGACGGTAACCAAGATGCTTTATAAAGTTCGCCATGAATTTGACCGCATATGGCGTCGGTCCTTTTGCGTCCACGAATGTAGCCGCAACGGCCAGTGTCCGTCTTCCCATCCTCCTTTCCATCTCGCGTCATCCATGTATAATCGCACGAGATCGTCGCGAGCTCATCGCTCGCCTTGTCTTCTTCGGGTCGTGAGCGATGCTGCTGACCCAATCCTCTGCCGGCAAGACAATGCCGACACCAGTTGCGATACTGCACGTGACCTGTTGCCTCATGCTCCGCAACCTCGGCCCTCGAAGGGCCCTCTGGCGCTCTCACAAGCGCTGGCGGCGCAATCTCACCGCTCTCATCCATCTCATCTCCCTCGGGCACATCTGCGGGTCGGCCCGCTGGTGCCTCCGGGTCCTCACCTTGTCCGGCACCTGCGGCATCATCTGCCGCTGCAATTGTCTTGGCCGGACTTACGTCTCCTTGGACTGCCGTCCAAAACCCGAATTCGACTCCAAATAGAAGTTGTACACTCCTTTCTCTTGATACACGGGCAACCACGTCTTCTCTTGGGCTTTACTGGGCTTACTGAGCAAATTTTGAACCTTCTTGCCTACCGCTGAGTCTGCTGGAATCAACTTTCCACCATGTTGGTCAAGAACAGCAATCCTTCCATGCTTAAGGCATTTGTACGCCGATACCAACGGTTTGTGAACCGGTGCCAACGGGCCTGTTACAGTGCATTTGGAACCTGCTTCACCGCGACCTGCAAAGGTCCCAGTTCCGGTCCCAGGGACCAGTTCTCCTGACGCTGTTTTGAACATCATTTGGGTTCCCTCTTTGGTGGGGATGTGTCCCTTCCATTCTACTGGAATTGCGGTCTGGGCTGCCCCCGTATCCAGGTTGAACCTAACCCACTTGGACTCCTTTGGGGGTTCTTCCTGGGTGAAAGCACCCAGCTCAAACATGCCCATTTCGGCCTCCGGCTGATCTTCTTGGTCTTCATCGGCTTCGTGGATGGCGTCCTCAAATCCGGCTACATGCTTGTGCTTGGAACCTGACTTGCCTCCACCCTTGGAACCTTTTCCTCCATCTTTCTTCTTGCTCCAACACTCGGCCGCCTTGTGGCCGGTCTTTCCACAGTTGAAGCAAGCACCGGTAATTCCTGACTTACCGGATCCACTGCCTTTTCCTTTGCCTTTGCTGTCTTTACCTTTCCCCTTGCCTTTGTTACCACCTTTATCTTTTCCCTTGCCTTTACCGCCTTTCGAGCCTCCTTTGACCAGAGAGTTGAGGACCTTCGAGAGGGCGTCGACGTCCATAGGAGCTGGGCCCTGTCCGGAACTCGATGCCGGGCCGGACCCGGGTCTGTGGATTTTGCCCTTGGCTCCAACAACCGTTTCGATGAGCACCTCTATTTCTTGCCTCATATCTTGGTAAGTGGTCAGTCTGCTTTTGTTCAGGATCAGGTGCCGCTCTATGTCTGTTGGAACGAGCAACTCCAAGGAAGTGCACTTGATGTCCTCCGAGAGGGTCTCCCGGTTCCCTTGCTCGTTTCTTCTGGTTTCATACCTACGCATGAGGTCGTCCAACTGCTCTATGGCTGGTCTCACCGAATCCCATGTCTTAACACGCTCGGGGTTTAGTATGGCCCGCAAGATGTTCCTCTTACGACCTGCTGTAAGGGGACCCCATCTCCTGTTCAATCTTCGCCATGCTTCAAACCCGTTCTTAGTGTTGATGACCAAGTCCTCGGATTCGTGAGTGGTGAGGGACGACAGCAAGCGGAACAACGGTCTCCCTTGTCATCTAGTCCCGGCACGCCTAGCTCACCTCCATGCTCTGCCTCTACCTTTTCTACCGTCACTTCCTCATCCTGATCCACAACCCATTCAAGGATCTGTTGAAAACTGGACCCAAAGATTGCGGTTGTCAAGTTGACCACTGACCGCGCCCATCTCCTGAAACTGGCATCTTCATTTGGGAAAACCTCAGGTCTGCCAATGCCTTTGGTATCTATCAGGAGCTTACGGTCTCCTCTTTGCAAGTTATTGGCCAGTCTTCCTACATTTTCAGCCAGTGCAACCATGCTAGCCTGGCCCTGTCTAAGAACCTGGCTCTCTTGTGCCAACCTCTCCACTGCTGCAACTCTCTAATTTGTTCCTCCATTCCCAACGTCCAGTGCCACGCACCGGGAAGTTAGTCCGACTTGGACTCCTCTTCCTCTGTATAATACGTTTCGGATCCCGAGTCAGGCTCAGCCCGATTGTGAAAATGTATGCTGGCCTCACTCAGAGATGGAGATGGCGGCGGTGGTGGTGCCTTCTTCGGGGGGTACTTCGGCTTCGGGACCAACACCACCTTCGGCACCGCCGGGGCCTCCTTCAGGATCACTCGGGTCTCCTCCTTGGGCTCGCTCTCCACTTTCTTCTTCTGCCGCTCCTCCTTCTCCTTCTTTGGCGGCTCCTTCTTCTCCTTCTTTGGCAGCTCCTCCTTAGGCTTGCTTGCCTTTGGCTTGGAGGGCTCCTCCGGCTGTACCGCCGGTGCTTTGGCCTTCGGCGGCGGGCTCTTCCAAATCTCCGGGAGCTTTGGCGAGGGTCCCAACACCGAGTCCGGCCCCCAGCTACTCGCCGGTTGAGCCTCCTCTTCTGGGCTCCAATCGGCTTCCGAGACCGCAGCGGGGATCTCGGGCTCCTCCTCCGGCAGGGAAGGCTCTGGTTCTTCTGGTTCGTTTTGCTCCTCTGGCTCCTCTGGCTTATCTGGCTCCTCTGGCTCCTCTGGCTCAGGGGCCGCGGGCTCAGCGCCCGCTCTAGCGGCTTTTCCTTTGCCGCTCCTGGACCTCCTCCACGGAATTCCTCCACGGAGGCTCCGGTGGGCCTTTCCTGCCCTTCTTGCCCTGCTTGCCCTTGTCCTTGCCCTTGTTCTTGCCCGTGCCCTTGTCCCCGATCCTGCTCGCTCAGGTAGATCAGGCTCACTCGCTACCATGAAAACTCGATTACTTAGGCTCGGGTGCACTGCGGAGCGCACCTTTTCCTTGAGCCAAAATACAAGTAGCGTATTGGGTCTTTATACCTATACATCTCATCAGGTGCCTATGTCCTTTCTCGTCCCATAGAAAGTGCTCCCAAAACCCGTCGAAAGTTGGTCGGTCCCTGGCAAAGGGAAACAGGGACCAAAACGATGCTTCGACCCAACCAAATAAATCACTGCAACTCGGCTATGCACCATGGAATCAAGAAAGAGCTATCTTTTCATCCTGGTGTCTGACCTGAAAAGTGTTCTGGTCAAATGCCGCGAAAACCCCCTCTGGTGGTGTTTCAATTTCATTTAGTTGCTGTCAACCCAAACTTATCTAAACATCAACAAGGAATGAACTCAACAAATGCGTGTCTCTTTTCTTGATGGTTTTGGGAGTTGGATTGAAGGAAAACCGAAAGGACAACTCGCCATTTTGCGGAGGTCCCCTAAATGGACATGGAGGTTGATCAGAAGGTCCCCTACATGGGATGACCGTTGGTTGGAAAACCACTCAAAAAGATTTGATATTGTACCACCTGGGAAAGTTACCCATGGTCAAAACTGGGGGCCCCAAATAGAACAACTGATCAACCCCGAGAACCCCAAATGATGTCAAATGGGTGTGGCTCAAAATTTGCCAGTGGTCTTTGGTTCCACTTCGCAGCCAGAGGTCCGAGGCGCCCCCAAACCGTGGGGGAAGCGCCTGTCAGCCAGCGCTTCCACTTCGCCGATGAGGCCACTGAAGCGTGCCGACACCCTGGCGCGCGCGGAATGCGGAACGCTTCCGACGCTTCCGAATCCGGAAGCTCCGAATCGGCGGAAGAAGAAAAAAAACGCGTGCGCGACAACACCGGTGAGGAAACTGGGGCACATTTAATACATGCGGCCCCTTTCCTAAGATGTTTCTTGGGGGCACACGCCCCAATTCTCTTTGGGGTTTAAGTTGGGGCCCCCCGTTTCTTGCTCTGGATTTGTTGCTGTTCAAAGTGTCCAACCCCCGGAAAAATGCGGCCGGGGAAGCGGCTGGACTTTGGGTAGCTCATTCTGCAGCAAATTGGTAACTCGGACATGGCAAATGTCGAAAAAATGCCCCTCCCAAAACTCAACGAGCGCGCATGACGATCGGTCACCAATCGAACGCCCAAAACAAAAGGAAACGTCATCGGGCCCGTGCGGGGTCTGCAGAATTTGCCCAGAGCGATGGACAAAAACGCATTGTTTCCGCCCAAAAACAGGTTTCAACTGAATCACCTACCTGGTACTGCCGCCCCGGCCTCTTCTGCACATCCTCGATCATCTGGTTCAGGCGCCTCTCCACCGCCTAGCGCAGCGGAAGCACATGCTGGCCAACAAAACTCAGATCAAAGCGAAGCGTCCGGCTATAACAAACCACCTCACAAAAATAGACAGGCAGGCAGGCAGGCAGGCAGGCAGGCAGGCAGGCAGGCAGGCTAGCAGGCAGGCAGGCAGGCACGGACAGACGGACAGGCAGGCAGCACCAAGGCAGGGCCAAGCCAAAGCCGCGTCCCAATCTCTCGGTCGGCCTGACGTAGCTCGACGAGCTCCGTCTCCCGGTTCTGGGCCTCGTCCGTGAGCCTCAAACGCGCAAGTTTCGCTTTACGTCGCAGTCGCGAAAGGCAGGCGAGAGCCCTTTGGGCGGTTCGCTGGCTTTCCCAAGAATACATAAAACACTTAACTCCCAAAAAGAAACTCGAGTTGAGCCCTGATTAATACCGGTATTGATGGGGTCACGTGGTCCAACATGTCTTGCCTGACGGGGAAGGTCCTTTAAAGCACTCACAGACCCATGTCTCGAGTCACATGGGTGTGTCAAAATAGGGGTACTCGAGTACGGTGGGGTTTTCCCTTCGTTTCCCTTAAAACTCCAAAAAGATGGGTACCCTCAAAAACAAACACACCCCCACACACTCCACCCGCCTCTTTTGGGCTTCTCGCCCCACAAACACCGGACGGGTGCGTCAACACAAGCAACCGGTTTGGTGTGGAGACGTCGATGGGACTGACATCGGCGGGCTCCACCAGGCGAGACATGCGTCCCTCGTCTTTTTTCAGACCAGGTGTTCAAACAAAGCCGAAAGAAAAAGAGCGCCTTGGGGGGGCCACTCAAAAGACACACCCAGACGGGGGACTTACGTTTGCGCTGTTTGTTCTGCTTGTGCCCCACACAGTACACCTGGGTACCTTCAGCCAAGCCGACATGTGGAGGAGAGTTTGCAGACAGGCTCAACTCCGGGGTTCTGCGATGACTCGGCCTGCGCCCAGGGACCTTTTTTCCCACAACAAAATGGGAAACCGCGGATCTCTGGAAGCATCTACATCAGCGCCTTCCGGTGAGCTCCGAAGTGACTAAGCTACGGCTTAGCTGCCAAAAAAATCAGACATCTTTCTCGAAAGAAGAACCCGCGCGGAAGACGCAGCTAATCGGACAGATGTTTTATTTGTTTTTCGCGAAGAGGCGTTCAATAGAAACTGGCGCGGGTGGCTTCAAAGAACCCAAATAGTAAAATACGCACCAAGATAGGGCACCCCTAACATGGTGGGCGTGCCGTGTTTGCTTTCTCTTCAAACCAACCTCTTAAAAAAAAAAAAAAAAAAAAAAAAAAAAAAAAAAAAAAAAAAAAAAAAATGTTGCGGAGAGGTTTGCGTCGAACTCATGAACTCGTTTGCTTTCGTTCTGAGTGCGCCGGCTCATGCTCCAGCTTGCCCAAGAAGACCAGGAGCTGAGGAAGAACAAGCCGCGAGCGACCGGTTTGGTTTGGTCGGGGGTAGCTTCCCCAGTGGAAAGCCGATCGGTAGTAACATGACCTACCCAAATCCATGGAAAGAACTACAAAGGCGTAAATATTCGCACCTAATTCTGGTTGGGACTGTCCCTTAGAATCCTTCACTTGCCCGGGTTTTGATTCTGGTTCACTTGGTTTCAAAAGGAACTGGAACCCTACCTCAGAGCCGCCCGCACCTCCTGCAGAATTTGGCTGACTTCCTGCAGAATGCTTGGTTTCTTCGACTCTTGGTTCTGCTGAAAAATCACATAAGCTTCCAAAACTTTAGATTTCGACTTTCCTACAACCCTCTAAACCCACACCAAAGCGGGCACGCACAGAAAATATCAGGCTCCCCAAAGGGCAACGGCTCTCTTTCCCTAGCCCGAAACCCAGGGTCCCAAAGTCTCAAAAGAGGGAAACCACCCCCCCACCCCCCCCCCCCCACCCCAAAAAAGAAATGGTGTCCTCCAAAAAAACAACCTGAAAAACCGAGAATTTGCTTCAAATGAGTATGGGTCAAGATAAAATCCCCAAAACACCCCAGGCTTTAGTGGTTGGTTCCATTTACCAGGGCAACCCATTTTGGGAGTTCCTGTTTTTTGACCCGCAGCCAAATGGCAACAGCTCTCGCATGACACCAATTCACGACCGTCCGCCTCCTGGCAGCGCTTCGCCTCCAGCTCCTTGCGCCTCACAGCGCCATCGATCGGCGCCCGGAGCCATTGCCAGGTGAGTCATGGGTCAAAACCCGGTATTAAAATGGTCGTAATCCCAGAATGCAGTGAGTCATCGAAACCCCCTAGTTCGCCAAGTTGCTGTGTCTACTCTACCCCCAGCTACAGTCATAGCCAGCCAGGTGAGTCATAGCCAAGTTGCTGTTGTCATTTTGTTCAGTCACGGTTGCTGGTTGTTGGGGTAAAGTAGATGGAAAAAAGCGATCGCAACTGGCCCAGGCCGGTATTAAAATGGTCGTAATCCCGGAACCATGCTTCAAAGAACTAAGAAGGCGGATATTCGGATATTCGCAATTCTTGCTGGGACCTTCCCTTGAAAATGGCTCGTGTAAGGAATGAAAAAGGCGGATATCCACCACCATGTGTGGGGATCGTCCCTTCCCCTCCAATTACCCGGGCTTGATTGCGACTCAGGTTCGGTTTAAAAAACCATCGAGACCCCTGCAAAAGGCCCATGTTTCGGGGCGTCGATTTTGGAGAACTGACGAAGTCCAGGCACCCTTCCCAGGATGTCCATGTGGCTGTAGGTCAAAACCAATGGTACCATTGTGGGGTAAGTGCAATTATGGTCTATTTTAGTGGGGATTGGGATGTTCACTGGGGGTACAGGATTTTGACCCATGGCCATGTGCTTCTCTCAGGGATGTTTGCCAAACTTCAAAAGCTTATGGTCCTTCTCCTAGGCTTCCAAGAGCCTCAAGTGGCAGGCGTAACTTTTGGGGCAAAGGGACACCTACACACCTGTCCACGTTGCCGTAGAACCTGACTGAAGGGTGCATGCACCCTCTGGCGGGTTTCATGTTCGTGGACGGGAGGGTAACAATTCCATATGACAGTGGGTCAAAACCAGTGGGATCCCATTTTGGGGTAGGTGAATTCACCACCCATTTTAGAACCTATTTTAGTGGTTGGATTGGGATGTTCACTGGGGGTAAAGGATGTTCACTGGGGCCATATCCAAGACCCAGTGGGCGTTAAAAGGACCGCAAAACTCCAACTCCCAACGCAAGCACTGGCCGGCCGTGGGTCAACAGCCAATCCCCACTAAAATACACGAAAATGGGTGGTGCACCTACCCCAAAATGGTACCATTGGTTTTGACCCACAGCCACATGAGTACTCTGTGCAAACTTGGACTAGAGTTGCCTCCTATCCTCAAGCCATCGGCTACGAGTCGTGTCAGTTGCAAAGCCACGCAAGTTGTGTTTGGCAGCATGAGTCGTGTGAAGAGGCCGTTGAACGAGATTCCCCTTCCTGCAAGTTCGCACGTATCTGCGACTCCTTCCCATCCGGTCCTCCGTGCGTCCGCGTCCACTTGCTTCCCGAGAGAGGCGAAACTGAAGGCGGGCGAAGGGATCGTCGGAAATCGGGGAAAGGGATCGTCGGAGATCGGTTGGCCCAGGAAGGTGCCAACAGCAACAGGGAAAGAACGGCATGTTTTGGGGGTGTTTGGGGGGGGGGTTTGGGGTGGGGAGGTGTTTGGGGGGGGGGGTGTTTGGGGGGCGGGGGGGCGGCTCACTCATTGGCAAGACCCGAACATCATTTTTTGCCGGCAGCAATCGTGCGCAAGCACAGCACAAGTTGCATTGCCGGGCAATGCCGGGCTTCCTGATGCTCAGCAAAGCTCCAAATGGAGGCTGCATTCGTCTCCAATTTGGGTGTCGAAAGAACACCCGCAATGCAAACCTCTCACTTCCTGAGTTGCTTGGCCGGAAAAAAGTCCGCACTTCTGTTTTACCACCAACAGGCAAAAATGCGAAACTGAACAAATGCTTGCTAGCCGAAAGAACTTGAACTTTCCCACCCAGCCCAAACAGCTTTTCAAAGTCCCACGAACTCGGGGAGGGAGACGACCCTGATGCCAAGCCGAGCCTGGAGCCGATGGCCAGCCTCAAATCGACGGAACCGGAGGCTGAAGCTCGAGCCTTGCGACTTCCACCCCTCCGCACCAAAAAACGCGGAAAAAACGCGCAAAATCTGCGGGGGAAAAAAACGGAGAACAAAAGTTGGACAGCTCGCAAAAATGAGGCGCCTCTTCCAGGGGGAAAACCAGTTTGACCCAAGCTCCTCATTTACTGGGCGACTCCAGCCAGAACCAAGCCCCGTTTTCCGGCGCATCTGTGCACCGGTTTTGGGAAACGCGAAAAGTAGAGTCCTCGTTGGGGCCATCATCGAAAGCAAACACACTCAATGTCTTTTCAAAGCGTGAGCAAGCCCTCTCCACCCAGCCATCTGCAGTGCTAACCCGAAACCTGCAATAGTAAGAGTTGAACCCCAGGACATGGCCATCACATGTCCTTCTTGGGACTTACAGAAAGCTGACCCATCCAAGGCCACCGGCAGCTTCTGCCGGAGCTGCTCGGGCACCGGGGCCTGGGAAGCGCGTCGAGCGCACCCGAAACCCCCAGCTGTTCGATGGGGGCGCCCCGGCTTAGCGGGGAGTCATCCCTATTGGAGGGGAACACCCCACCTGTTCATCCGCCATTTGCTTCAGTCCCCCTGGAAAAAAAGGAGAAAATATGCGCAGTAGTGATAGATTATCTCTAAAACTAACAGGGGGAAATCGCAAATATTCTTAAGCAAATGGAAGATAGAGAAAGGCGGTTTCGACCATTTTGGGCGGCCAAAGGATATGGATGGAAGATTGGATTTGCGATTTGCGGTGGCTCCTTTGAGATCACAGCATCAAGGGTCCAAACGTGTTTCCTTGGATTTATACATAAACGCGTTGGACCTCCCAAAGTGGCAGCGAATCGTTACAAAATCCATCGGGAAAGCGCTCCACTGTTGCCCTTCTCTGCAGCTCCGAGTTGAATCGCCGTGGCGAAAAACGGGCAGTTGTCATGCTCTAAAGTGAAAGCCTGTCCACAAAAGCGATCCAGGAATGTGGGCCGCCCAATTTCTGAATGATGGTATTCTGCACCGATGAGTAGCAGAGTCAAGGATAGTTGGCAACTGGCAGGAATCATTGCCTACTTTAAAGGGAGTTCGTACGTCCCCTTTATAGTGGTTTCCCTCGCATTAAGGATCAGGACTGGCCAACAATTTTCAAACAGCCCAGTCACGAGCGCTGACATTGTCTCCAATGGGGGATGATGTTGGCATACAGCATGCCGCGGTATGGAGGGTTCGAGTTCCAAGCGGATGTGTATTAGGGGGGATCTGGGCTTCTGGGTTTGTCTGAAACTCCAGACCCAAAATGAGTGGTGTCCTTCGGATCCCCCAAAAAAACAAAAAATAAAAAGCCTGACCGAAGCTGCTCTCCTTTTTTTGGCGGGTGGTTTCCCCAATCTTGACGCTTTGTTTCGGTTCTTCCCCGAAAATCCCTCAATGGGTACGCGGCTTCAGCTCGCTTCGGTTCCGGCTCCGCGAGCGCTTCCAAAAGCAGGATTTACTTCCTGGGCTTGAGGGGGGGGGAGGGGCTCTTCGAAAATTTGGCCATGGGTCAAACTCCAAATCCTAGCCGGTCGTAGCCCCAGTGAACATCCGATTCAATCCAACCACCAAAAAAATATGGACTATGGGTGGTGAATTCACCAATCCCAAAATGAGATCCCGTTCGGTTTGGACGGCTGTCAGCCCAACCGGACTCAACTCCCCGACTGCCTCAGCGTTCTCCTCGTAGCTGTAGCTGGCCACGTCCCTTTGCAGTGCGGGAGTTCGACCGGGGTTTTACTCCTTTGGTTCGACCTCTTGTTGGTTCTGAGTGGGAATGAGTCGGAATGAGCAAAACAATATATCACCATCCCGCCGATTTTCTAGGGGCACCTTCCCCACTCTTTCCAGGGATCCTTCTTTCAGGAAAACCTCAGGCAAAACGGCAAATTCTTGAACAGAACGATGGTTGACAAGCATGACAAATCAGCCCAAAAAAAAATACTTGGGGTCAATTGTTTGGCCTTTTCTTCTTCTTCTTCTTCCTCTTCCTCTTCTTCTTCTTTTTCTTCTTCTTCTTCTTCTTCTTCTTCTTCTTCTTCTTCTTCTTCTTCTTCTTCTCTTGGGGAATGGAAAAAGTGAAATCTCCTTGGGGAATGAGTCGCTTCGGGCCTCGGCTGCCGCAGGTGCCCCGTCATGGACAGGCCCCCCGAGCGAAAGCGCATGCCTCGGCCGCGCAGCAAGGGGCAGCAAGGGGCAGGTGGAGTGATTACTTTCAGGGAAACCAAAAAGGAAAAAACCACCAAAAAATAAGTGCCCCTATTTTTGACACCATGCTATGACCCTCAAGCCTGGAATAAAAGTAAACACGAGATTAAGAAGAATTTGCATATTAGACATTCAAACAGCCGGCAAGATTGCATTGTGATGTTTGCCGGGCACTCCCATGATTGCAATGAATCAGGGTTTCACTTGGAGAAAAGCAAGAATATCAACCCCGAGGTCACAGCAGGAGTGAGCCAACCTGTTTAAACATTCCGCAAATATGGTTTGAACATCCTCATTTTTTCGTCCCTTTGAAACGAGGCGACATCCTGTTGGCTCAAGCAAGTCTCGCAACCGAGATGAGCCCCCCGCGTCGTATGGATGGCGAAGCTGTGTCCCGTTCCTGGCTGGCAGACGGCCCGTGAAGCTAGCAGCTAGGGCCGAAGAAAGCTGTCAGCTGACACCCCATAGTCGCAACTCCATTTTCTTGGACAGGAATCCCCCCTGGATCCCCAGTTGCTGCTTATTTTTCCCATGCACTGTACCCAAAAAAACCGATCGCAACCGTGACTGAAAGAAGCGATCTTTCAGCTTGGCGATCCAGGCCATTCGTCCTGATTTTCCTAAGGCTTTGAGGCCTGATGGCCATCCCAAGCCTCAAAAACGAAAAAACACCTTACCCATCGTCAACCCCTCAAAGAAAACGGTACCAAAATGGACCCAGAACCATGCTTCAAGAATTAAGAAGGCTGCACCCCTTTCAGGTTTGCCTACCCTCCTAAATACCCAAATGTTTATTGCTCGTTTTGGATGAACCTTAGGTAAATGAGGTACAAACCGCTTTATGGCAACCCTCCTTGCTTTTTTGGCAACCCCAGTGCCACAAGTGTCATCATCAAAACCCGGCATTAAAAATGTCTACCCAATATAAAGAGTGAAGAAGGCGGCCGCAACTAATTCTTGCTGGAACTTTCCCTTACTAACCTTCATCTACCCGGGTTTTGATTCTGGCTCACAAGTGCATCTCGAGCCTCGCTGAGCTTCAGGTCGTATCTGCTATCTGGCATGTTCCGAAAGGCAGGCCGCTGCTTCGATCGGCAGGGAACGAGAAATGGCACGACCCCAAGGAAAACCATCCCCGAGTTGGTTTCCCTTGAGGGGAGCCCTATGTTCATTCCCAAAACCCGGAAGGTCGCTCCTACCACCTTGAACAGAACTAAGCTTTCCCTCAGCCAGGAAAAAAGTGTGCAACATCAAAAAGTACAGACCCATCAACCCCTTGATTTCACTTTGCTCAATTCATGCCGGCGCAATCGGATCACGTTCGTTGCGACAACGCCCAGTTTACTCGGCCAAGCGAGTGGGAAGCTGTGTCTGGGCTGCGCTGCCGGGAACCTCGCTTGAATCAATTGAAGTCGGCCCAGAGTCTCGTGCTTCACCAAGCCCCTTTGAGTTCCCTTGAAAAGACAGGCGTAAAACCTGGCGCCCGCCAAGAAGATATGCATGTAGTTTTCCAGGGTATCCTTTTGGGGTGGGTTTGCCAGGAAAACTCACGGAGATGCGCCCACTGTAGCAATATTAACACGGCCCGGGGAAATGTCAGGAGCCCCGCTTGACTTGGGAGCGCTGCTTTGGTTGTTTTTTGTTTTTTTTTTTTTGTGTGTTTTATAAATATATATAGATATATATATATATATGTTTATATATAGATATATATATATATATATATTCGTTTGGGGGGTACCCTTTTAAGAGGTTGATTCGAAAGTTGGAAGTCAGAGGGGAAGGCCGACAAAAAAAAAAGGCGGTGTGGACCCTTGCCACAGGCCCAGCTCTTCTCCAAGCACGCAGGCCAGGCCAGGGGTGACCGGCTCGACGCCTCCCTGCAGGCCATACCTCGGGCTGATGGACCAAATCCGTTCGCCCCATGACTCCATGGCTGAAGCCATCCATTGTCGGCATTTTACAGGGGGAATAAAACCGTGAGAATCCAGTGATTGCTGGCATTTGCAGGGGGAATCAGAAACCAGGGTTTCTGGATGGTGGTGTCCATCTGCAGGTGTGCCACGTGTCTTAACAATGAGGCACCCCCCACAAAGGTTCAACGATGAGAGGCTCCACAGAGACACATGATAAGAGTAGGGTGTCACCTGGTTCTTGTGGGAAACTTGGTGAGTCCCATGTCCCTCTCAAACGGACCATGGACTACTGGAAATGTTGAGACAAAACCTCACGTAGGTTTATCTCCACTGCCGTTGAATGTCCAAAAGCTTTTGGGGTGGCGATTCCCAGCAAAAAAGACACGACACGACGGACTCGCCGCTTGCAACCCCTTGAGAAATTTGGAACACAACAGCCCTCTCACTACTGCTGACATGGGGTCCCTTCAAGCGGATCCGATCCAAGTACGCCCATATATGTTAGTGGGCGCAACGGTACCCAACCACACCGAAAGGGTGCACAAGCCCTTTTCAGATATGCCTACTTCGCCGTGGAAAGAGGGGCCTGTGCACTTCCATCTTTGCCGGGAGGGCAAATTAGGGCAAATCAGTTCATTGATTCTGGCAGGTGTGACACTCCACCTCAACTCTAGATCTCTACCCCCTCTGGTCCTTCGTCAACTACACTTCTCACAGCCAAATACCATCTACAAGCGTGCCTACAGCAACAGGGGGGCCAGGTCGACGGGTTGAAATTGTCAGACTTTCCGCATGAGCCATGGACAAGGTCTTGCCTTTGTGGGTTCATTGGGCCGCGCGCAGACTGCCAGTACTTTCGTCTTTGGCACCAGTTGGACCCGAACTTCCAAGCAATAGGCCGACTCCACAATTTTGGAAACCACAGTGGATGTTGGTTGCAGCCGACATCTGGTTTGGGTGTGTCTCGTTTAGGGGACGCCCCAAACTGGATTTCGCTTTTCCTTTTGGCTTCCCTTTAAACCAACCCCAAAATGCACACACACGTCTGCACGCCCCTCGCGGGCCCTTTGCGCACGCCCGGCCTTCCGTTGGCCTCACAGCACGCGCCCAACAGTCATCCTTGATGCGCATGAGTCACCAACCCAGATTGGTTTTGACACAAATCCAACTCAATTGGGTGCTCTCAAAAAACCTGGGAAGTTGAGCACCCAAAACTCATTCACTTCGCTTTCGCGGATTTCCGCCTGCTTCACCAGAGAGAACTCGCAGGATCGTTGCACTTGCGCCTCAGCCGAAAGATTGGGACAAGTTGCTTTCACACAAATTGTGATTGTCGACATTCAAAGGACCATTCAGAAATGGAGGTGGCGAAACGGAGGCTTCGTTTCTCAGACACACCGCTCAATGCAATTTGCCAATCTCAATCTTTGTCAAAACTCCTTGAACCAGTACAGTGCTTGTCCAAAATCGCCAGATGGATGAGCATCCCTACCTGCCCCAAGTAAGAGGGTCTGTTGACATTGGCATGCGTCTCGTCATTGGTGTCCCAATGTTGAAAAGAGCAACTTCGGTCAAAGGGAAGGGCTGGCGTCGCTTGCCATTGCAGAACATTGAAAATAGCTTTGTGTCGAAGCTGGAAGACTCGCTTGCTGGCAGTGCTCCTTTTGGTTTCCCTTGAAACCAACCTGAAAAAGGGTACTCTCAGAAACACATAAACCCAGATCACCAACGATCTGGTGATTTGAGCTCAAACTGCCGCTCCAGACATCGCTTCTCCAGACCGCATTCATTGCGATACCTCCGAGGTGTCCCTTGAAATCAAGCTGTGCATTTGCTGTTTCTACACCGGTGTACCTCAAAAAAAACGGGAAACCCAAGAGATGGGAAGTTGGTGTTCCTCTGTTTCCATAAGCAACACCAAAACGGGCATAAAACCCCAAAACCATGCGGTGATGAACACGTGTTGAGGTCAAGGAGAAAAACTGGGGAAGCTGCAAATCTGGCACAACACATATGTTGAAGTGAAAGATCTGGAGTCTCTGGCGGTTGCTTGCTTTGGTTGCATTTGAGATCTTCATAGCCATCTTCAAAAAGCCGCACCAGCCGGAATGGATAGAATCAGATGAACACTGGGACAAACCACAGACCAACTGGCGCGAAGTGGATTCTGTCCATCCGACAGTAGTGTTGCAGTCTCTCGCGAACCCATGCAAGTGACAGCATCAAACGCTGAGTAGTCGGCCATGCAGCTCAGCTTGAACTGCACCGGTTAGCAAATGTATCCCTTCGTTTGAAGGGGGATATATATATATATATATATATATATATATATATACATGTTTTTGTTTGGGTCGTTTGTTGCAGGGAGGCCGCGTACAAGCTGCAAGCCCTTCCCTCAACTTCCATTTTTGAAACATCTTGAGACCCAAGCGTCAGAGAGGGCAAAAAAGAGGGGTCACCGGATTTCCCCTCCCTAACGATCGCCGCTTTTGGAGAATCCCGAAAAAGGGAAATGGATTCCCGAACCCTGAAAGATCAACTGCCAAAAAAGGAGCTCCATTTTTTTCACCCCGCTCCAGGCATTCAATAAATGAGAGACTGGTTTTTCACAGGGAAATGTCAGAACGCATGGTCTCCTTCTTTGCGCGCCCCTCAAAGAAGACACGCCGGGCGCGCCTTTCGAGCTAAAACGGTGCCGCGGTGCGCGGGTCTGCCCATAAACCCGTCATGTTGGCTCCTTGAAAAGAACCGAAAAAGGGGTGTCTCTCTCCAAAAGTCGTCTGGAGGCCTGAAGAAGTTCCAAAACTCAATTCGCACATGCCAGAAACCCCATTCCGAGGTGAATCCCACGGAACCTCCTCCTACGCATACCAAAAAAGTTGGGTTGGCTCGTTAAAAAAACACACCCAAAGGACAACTGAGCCAAGCCAAAGGAGCTCAACTGGAGCCCGTCCGCTGACTTAGCCATGTGCTCGGCTCCGCGTCCCTTCCATTTCCCGCTTCTTGCGGGAGTATCTTCAAACACCAGGGGTTCCGTAGCAAATCCCTCTTTTTTTACTCGGAGGTTTGACATCATATCCTAAAAAAACGGGAAAATTGGAAGTCGGGGGTAGGCAGTCAAGCCACGTTTGCTTCCAGCGAGAACAAGACGCGATCGATCCCAAAACTGACATCTCTTCCCAATTCCAGCAGTTGGTCATGCTGACTCAGGATACGACCGTGGTGTGTAGCCAAGGGACCACGTGAGCCAATTGAATTCGAGCCGTGGTTGCAACTTGGTGTAACTGGGTTGCCTCCCGTTATAGGCCTGCGTGAGTTGGAGGAAAAAAACCATGCGCGACCATGTCGCTGAGCTCCTGGTGGGGTTTTTGCCAGACAGACGAGCATCGGCTCTCGCATTTGCGAGAAGTAAACGCGCGCGTGCTGCTTGGCAGCCTCGCTCTCGCTGGCGGCGCTACTTGAAGGAAATGGGGCGCGGTGTTGTGTCATGCGCTTATCAAAAAAAAAAGAGACATAGACCATGGAAGCATCAAATCCATGGCCCAAGTTTCAGCCATGTTCAAGAGGCCCATAGGTGATCACCACCAACTGCCACAAGCACTTTCCCAAGACATATTCCAAGACCCTCCTAATCCTCCACGATTTGCATCTGAACAAGTGCACCCTTTGCTTCCGCTCCTTGCGTCTCTTTCGAGAAACTACGCCTTCACCATGCCGCTGCTCAGATGCGACGGCACCGGAGCCCCTCTGGCTGGAGCCGAACCGGTGGTTTAGTGGCGAGGGGTGAAGAAACCCAATTCGCCTTGACAAAACCCGGGCTTCACAAATCGACATCCGCCTGCTTCGCTGGAATTTACAGAGACCCATTGAAGCCTACACTGGAAATTTCGACAGAACCTATGGTCTGGAACCCGAACTGAGCAGTCACCAGACTAATATGCCCCAAAAACCATGTACATATCAAGAGGACTGCGCCTTCTGGCTAAAACTGCCCCCTTTTCGTCTCCAATTTTGATGCCTCTGGCCGAAACTGAGATCACAACCTTGTTGCCTTGAAACGTGGCATGGTCGACAGCACGAACCAAATGTCAGATCCAAAGGCCGACCCAAGTGGGACGGGCCCCGAAGCCTCGACCCCCCAAAGTGGCTTTGACCCCGTTGCAACACCGGCCCCCTCACGGCAATGCCCAATCCGATACCCAGCTTTCGAGCCGTTTGAACACCCCACGGCTCTCGAGCCCGCAAAAACCCCGACGGGAAAAACAAAAAAAACGACTTTCCTTGGCAACACCCGGCCACGGCTCTCGAGCCGTAAGGTAAAACCCAGCTGCTGGCCTGCTCTGCGCAGGAACTTGCTCTCCTCCATGCCCACCTGCATCTCGCTGCTCGCTGGAAGGTGGATCCCGCTGCGGACGCAAAGTGGGTCACTTGCTCAAAATTTAATAGACGGGTTTCCCTGGTACATGGAATAAAGCCCGTCTAAACCAGCGCCATCTATTTCTAACTGAACTATCCTCAAAAGGACATGATCACATGAGCCACAATCAAAACCAGGTATTAAAATGGTCGATCCCCCAGAACCATGTAAGGAAATACCAAGGCGGATATCCGCAAATTTATGGGATTGTCCCTTAACCTTCATCTACCCGGGTTTTGAGCAAGTGGCTCAAGTGCTCAACATTTGGTGAAGTCAACACGGAAAATCCCATAGACTTCAACCAAAAAGGTAGATCCAACCAAATAGCCATAAAGGGAAACCTAGCAAACTGCCGTAAATTGCAGAGGGGTCAATGGAAACCAACTGAATTCAACCCAAAAGTCAAAGGCTATGGATCCAACCCAAACGCGATCAAGTGGAGAACTCTGGCTTCCGGTCGACCAATAACTTGGGATACATCGAGCGCCCGGAACAAAAACTGGGAGGTTGAGATCACAAACATCGCAGCGGAGGAACGCCTCTGGCGTTCTGGGAGAGAAAGCAAAAGGGTGAGTTCGTCTCAAAGTGGTTCCTAACCGGCTGTACGAGGAACTCTTCAACTACGTCTCTGACAACCAGCCCCCCCCTTTCAGCGCAGAACTTGTCATGTCAGATTTCCCAGTACAGAAGTGGACCACTACAAAAAAAGTGGAAGGCAATTCCAACAATTTCTGGAAACGCGGTTCTATTTTTAGGGGGGAGTGCCAAAGAAAATGGCTCAATCTTGCCCACCCGGTTTGGGCTTCGCTCTTCTCCTTCTGACCATCTGGGTTGAATGCTTGGACCTGACGTGAGCAGTTCCCCCTGGTTGCTCGAGCCCAGCGGGGTGGGATTCGGATGGAGCAAAGGACCCAAATCTGCCTGTGAAGAAAGAGCTTTGTTGTCATAGATCATACTGTGGATGGCTTCGCAAAATCCGCTTCTCGCACCACTTTGAAACCATGGTTGAAGCCGTTGTTTGTTGGTTTTGACAGGGGAATCATTCATTCCAGGGTTTCTTAGGTGGTGCAGGATTTTGTCCATCCACAGTATGAAATAGTTTGTGCGCGTGTTGAACCAGAATTGGTACACATGAACTTGGTTGTAAAATATTCCTGTATCCCTGTATCCCCTCCCCAACACCCTTTGAAATGTTTTGTCAATCCCGATCATCAAAACGAAGAATAATAAACATTTCACAAGGTTTGACAGACAAATCCATGCATTATTATCACTTTAATTTGTAGATCATAGCCAACTGGATACATCACTAATGCATACCTTTACTTTGGTTATCTTTTTTGTGGCTCAGAACCTGCCTCTTCCAACAGGGCGAATTAGAGGACTTGGAAGGCCCCCTGGTCCAACGTTCCGATACATCGATCTTGAGCAGAGCCCATTGTTGAGAGTCAACAGTACATCCCCTTGCGAGTGCTTGCAGAAGATGGGTTTCCGTCTTCGGCGTCCAAACAAGGGCTCTACCCTCCGGACGTATCTGGTTCAGGTTTTGTGGCAGACTCAGCGATACGTGGGATAGATAGGATAGATAGGATAGATAGGATAGATAGGATAGCTAGGATAGCTAGGATAGCTAGGATAGATAGGATAGATAGGATAGATAGGATAGATAGGATAAATAGGATGGTTCGAATAGTTAGGATGGATAGGATAAATAGGATTGATAGGATAGATAGCATAGATAGGAATGATAAGATAGATAGCATAGATAGAATTGACAAGATAGTTAGTTCGGATAGATATTGTGATTGTGAGCTTCATTGAAAAAGGTGCTTGGCATATGTAAGATGCGATTAGGCTTTATAATCGAAATTAATTGATATTCATAATGAACAATCATATTTTCGAAACATAAACAATTCTGGGAAATTGGGCTTGAATATACGTGCTAAGCAAATATTGGCATCCGCCAACAAACGGCGCTTTGGACATAAAACATCCGACGGCATCGCCAGCATTGCCAGCATTATCTGGATGGCATTCTGCAAATCTTAGAGGCTTAAAAACTGAAAACCAGTCCGGCAAACAACGGAAAGCGCCTGCCACGGCATGCGATGGCTTTCCCTTGTTTTCCCTTGCTTTCCCTTGCCTTCCTTCGCTTGACCTTGCTTTCCCTTGCTTTCCCTTTCCGTTGCTTTCCCATTTCCTTGCTTTCCCTTGCTGTCCCTTGCTTTCCTTTGCTTTGCCTTGCTTTGCCCGTGCTTTAGCTTGCTTTGCCTTGCTGTCCCTTGCTTTCCCTTGTTTTCGCTTGCTTTCCCTTGCTGTCCCTTGCTTTGCCCGTGCTTTTGCTTGCTTTGCCTTGCTGCCCCTTGCTTTACCTTGTTTTCCCTTGCTTCCCTTGCCTTGCTGTCCCTTGCTTTCCCTTGTTTTCCCTTGTTTTCCCTTGTGTTCCCTTGCTGTCCCTTGCTTTCCTTTGCTTTGCCTTTCTGTGCCCGTGCTTTTGCTTGCTTTGCCTTGCTGTCTTGCTGTCTCTTGCTTTCCCTTGCTTTGCCTTGCTTTGCCCGTGCTTTTGCTTGCTTTGCCTTGCTGTCCCTTCCTTTCCCTTGTGTTTCTTTGCTTCGCGTTGCTTTGCCCATGCTTTTGCTTTCTTTGCCCTGCTATCCCTTGCTTTCACTTGTTTTCCCTTTCACTTGCTTTCCCTTGCTTTCCCTTGCCTTCCTTTGCTTTGCCTTGCTTTGCCCGTGCTTTTGCTTGCTTTGCCTTGCTCTCCCTTGTTTTCCCTTGCTTTCCCTTGCCTTCCCTGGCTGTCCCTTGCTTTCGTTTGCTTGTCCCTGCTTTCCCTTTCCCTTTCTTTCCCTTGCTTTGCCCGTGCTTTTGCTTGCTTTGCCTTGCTCTCCCTTGTTTTCCCTTGCTTTCCCTTGCTGTCCCTTGCTTTCCTTTGCTTGTCTTTGCTTTCCCTTGTTTTCCCTTTCCCTTGCTGTCCCTTGTGTTCCTTTGCTTTGCCTTGCTTTGCCCGTGCTTTTGCTTGCTTTGCCTTGCTCTCCCTTGTTTTCCATTGCTTTTGCTTGCCTTCCCATGCTTCCCTTTGATTGTCCTTGCTTTCCCTTTCCCTTGCTTTCCCTTGCTGCCCCTTTCTTTCCCTTGGTTTCCCTTGGTTCCCCTTGCTTTCCCTTGCTTCCCCTTGCTGTCCCTTGCGGTCCTTTGCTTTCCTTTGCTTGTCCTTGCTTTCCTTTGCGTTGCCTTGCTTTCCATTGCTTTCCCTTTCCCTTGCTTTCCCCTGATTTCCCTTGCAGTCCCTTGCTTGCTGTCCCTTGCTTTCCTTTGCTTTGCCTTGCTTTGCCTGTGCTTTCGCTCGCTTTGCCTTGCTGTCCCCTTGCTTTCCCTTGTGTTTCCCTTGCTTTCCCTTGCGTTTTTTTGTTGCTGTCCCTTGCTGTCCCTTGCTTTCCTTTGCTTTGACTTGTCTTGCCCGTGCTGTTGCTTGCTTTCCCTTGCTGTCCATTGCTGTCCCTTGCTTTGCCTTGCTTTCCCTTGCCTGGCTTGCTTTCCCCTACCTTCGCTTCCTTTGCCCTTGCTTTCCCTTGGTTTGCCTTGCTTTGCCTTGCTGTCCCTTGCTGTCCCTTGCCAGCTTGACCCAAGTCAGAGCAACCAACAACTGCACAACCCTCCTGCACTGAATCACATACAAGCAACACCCCAAACCAGCGCCCGTACTTACACACCCCGTGTCGTCTCCCTGGGACCTGCAAACCAGCCTTGCGGTGGCAGAAAGTGCTCCAAAAAGTACTCCAAAAAATGGGAGTATTTTTCCTGCAACATCCCCAGCATTGCCGACCACCACAAAAACTTCCAAAACAAGCGACATGCCCTGCATCCCCTGCATCCCCGGCACCCCTTGTGCGCCCAAGTCCGGCGAGGCCGGAAGCAAAGTAAAATGATGTAAAACTGGCACGCTTTTTGGCCCGCGAGAGCCACAGACGAAAAGGTCAAACATGATAGGCAGCGTCGACGAAAAAGCGCGAAAAACACAGGAAAAAACACCAAAAACCAGCCTTGCGGTGGCAGAAAGTGCTCCAAAAAATACTCCCATTTTTTGGGAGTATTTTTTGGCTGACCAGACCTGCAAATCTCCCGGAACGAGGTTACCCCCCCCACACCCCCCACCCCCCCCCCACAACTTCGTACACTCACTCCCAGCGCTTCAAGAAGCGCTTTCCGTCATCTCCCGGAAACCATGTTACCCCCCCCCCCCCACACCCCCCCCACAACTTCGCACACTAACTCCCAGCGCTTCAAGAAGCGCTTTCCGTCACTGCTGAACAAAATCTCTCTCTCTCTCTCTCTCTCTGTCGCTCTCTCTCTCTCTCTCTCTCTCTCTCTCTCTCTCTGTCCCTCGCATTTCTGCTCCCCCCAGCTGGAGATAAGAAACACACATCTCCAAGTGTTGAGAAGTAGCTGGACCGGGCATTCACAAATTCGACTGTGCAACTTGTTGAGACTGCTCGAGCAGCTATCAATATATCATCGCAGGCAGCAGTAGATTCGCAAAATGCAAGTGACATGCAACATGACGTGCTTTCTTTTGCTGTCCCTTGCTTTCCTTTGTTGTCCTTTGTTTTCCCTTGCTTTCCCTTGCTTTGTTATTTCCCTTGCTGTCCCTTGGCAAGCCACCGAAAGCCGACCCGCACAAAAACTTCCGAAACAAGCGACATCCCCTGCATCCCCTGCATCCCCGTCACCCCTTGTGCGCCCAAGTCCGGCGAGGCCGGAAGCAAAGTAAAATGATGTAAAACTGGCACGCTTTTTGGCCCGCGAGAGCCACAGACGAAAAGGTCAGACATGATAGGCAGCGTCGACGAAAAAGCGCGAAAAACACAGGGAAAACACAAAAAACTAGCCTTGCGGTGGCAGAAAGTGCTCCAAAAATGATGGCTTGAGCTATTAACATCCTTTAAGATGCTAATGGCTCAAATACAAAAACCGAAGAAATGGCTGAACGTCTTGACATCTTGACATCTTAGTGGCTTAATGTGTTAAGCTCTTCATGGTTGAGAATCTTAAATTTGGTTGATTGCTGAAAACCTGAAAACCTAAATGGAAAAAACGGAATGGCTAAACCGGAATGGCTTACAAACTTAACATCTTTGTGGCGTGTGTTAGCATCCTAATGGAATAACATATTCACATAGCAATGTCTTAACATCTTCAAATCTTAATGGCGTCAAACCTTACAATCTTAATGTGTTAATATCTTACTGGCTTAACATCTTACTGGCTTCAACTGCAAAAAAATGGAATAACTGAACATCTTCAAACTTTAGTGGCTTACCGTGCCAAAATAGGCTGAACATATTCAAAAAGGAATGGCTGAAAACCTGAAAATCTAAATGAATTGAACTCTGTAAAATCTGAATGGCTCACAATCTTCAAATCTTTGAGACTGAACGTGTTGAAATATTCATGGCTTAAGACATTAATACGTGTTTAAAATCAAACAAACGTAATGGCTGAAAATATTTAAATCTTTGTGGCTTAACGTATTGAAATATTGATCGCAAAAAATCTCAAAATATTAACCGTTGTAAACATAATGGAAAAATGCAGAAAAATGCACTTGTTAGCAATCGCTGATCTTGCGCGAAAGCCTTTCCAAAGGAAAAATGTTCAAAGGGACAACTCCAACGGGAAAACTCCAATGTGAGCCTTGCAATGTCAAAAATCCAATGGGAAATTGCCAAAGGCACAATTCCAAAGGGAACCATCCAATGGGAAATTGCCAAAGGAACAATTCCAAAGGGAAAGATCCAGTTGGGAAAATGTACATGGCGGAATTCCAAAGGGAAAGGTTTAATAAAAATGCCAGAGGGAGAAGTCTAATGGGAAATGAAAGGGAAATTCTAAAGGGTCAATTCCAATGGGACAACTCCAAAGGAAAACTTCCAATGGAATCAGTCCAAAGGCCAAAATCGACACGTATAAGACAGCAGGCCTGTAATGTCGGCGGTCTCAGCCGGAGGCGTTAAAGTTTACGACATTGATTTTGTAATTCAGTGGTTCTCGAAATAACAGTATTAAGAATATGAACATTGTAAATGGGAAATGGAAGAAAAATACTGTTGGAATGGTGTAGTGTTAACAAATCGACAGTTTTTGTTGGGGAGAAACAGGAAAAATATCTTGTGATTGTAAAGAAGTGTAGACTTTGCAAAGGTCAAAACTGGTTTGTTGTACTGTACGGTCAAGTGCGGATTGCGTGACAGAAAGAGAAAAGACAACATGATAATATCAGCAAAACAAGAGAAAGAGTAGCAGAAACTAAAGAGATTGAAAATCATGACGAAAGAAAAAGCGACGTTGTATTTACAAAGGGGATCAAGCGATCAGCTTATTAATCCGATATATATATATATATATATTATACATATGTACATGTGCACATCAAAGATAAAAGTATAGAAATATTTCCCAAATATTATCAGCATTAAAAATCCCCCGTATCAAAAAAATGGTGATGTTGGGAAAGGTTCAATACTCAAAAAACAACTGAGGATATTGGGGTTGGATGACTTGGATGATTAAAGTCTAGAAGGAACTTCCGCGGTACGGCAAATAGTTGAAAGCTATTTCAATTCATAAACCCATGGCAAGGAGCGTTGGCTCGCCGCGTCTTTGCAAAGCTTCAAAACCATCCTGGTAGTGCTTGACCAAGCTGGAGCGCCACTTTCTCGTGCTTCAAAACCATCCTATGCTCAGCTTCCCTAAAGCACCAATCCAAGCCACCAACTAAGGGTTATTTAGATATGCCAGGACCTGTCCAAGACGGCCCTTCCCGCGGTGGCCCAGACCCCGTCAAAATGGTCACACCCATGGACGGGACACGATCGAAATGCACCTCGCAGCGGAGCCGCGGCAAGGATACCCCTCGGGCCAGGTGTCGCTCGGCCGAACGCCGCAACACCTCGCAGGCAGGAAAGGGGCGGTGCAACGTTGGGCAGCTCACTGTCCTTGCTTCAGCGCTTTTTTGCTGTTCACAACCTTCGTGTTCACCATTTCAAGGGGACAAGCTGGGCTGTTACCAATTTTGCCCGCTCTCGCAGAGGCAAGCGATGGCATCTACTTTCAGCTTGGTCGGAATGCCAAAATGGTAGCAAGCGGCTCTCCGAAGCCGTTGGTTCGAAAGGCCAGCCCAGCCCCACCAACCGAATCCAGCTTCTGCGTTTGCAGCTCACCTCAAGCTTCACGACCCGCTTCAGAAGCCACCCTGGGGAACCCAACCCTTGCTGTATGAAAACCCTTCCTCGGTTCAGTGTGGCAAAGCCAATCAAAGGGCGTGAAAACAAAACAAGGACTATAACGGCGGACGTCGTCACAGACATCAACAAAACCACATGCTCCCTTTCTGGGCTTCCCCACCAAAATTGGAGGGTTCCACAAAGGAACCGGGCTCAAAAAATAAAAGTACCCACCCCGATTGGTTCGATGCATCAGCCAGCCCAGAAGACATTCGATTCATCTATCCCAGAAACTTTTAGTTCAACTTCTGGTTCATCTACCCCCGAAACTTTTGGTTCATCTATCCCAGAAACTTTTAGTTCAACTTCTGGTTCATCTACCCAGAAACTTCTGGTTCATCTACCCCAGAAACTTTCGGTTCATCTACCCCAGAAACTTCTGGTTCATCTACCCCAGAAACTTTCGGTTCATCTACCCAGAAACTTCTGGTTCATCTACCCCAGAAACCTTTGGTTCATCTACCCCAGAAACTTTCGGTTCATCTACCCCAGAAACTTTCGGTTCATCTACCCCAGAAACTTCTGGTTCATCTACCCAGAAACTTTCGGGTCATCTACCCAGAAACTTTCGGTTCATCTACCCCAGAAACTTTTGGTCATCTAGCCCAGAAACCTCTGGTTCATCTACCCCAGAAACTTTTGGTTCATCTACCCAGAAACTTTTGGTCATCTAGCCCAGAAACTTCTGGTTCATCTACCCCAGAAACTTCTGGTTCATCTAACCCAAAAACTTTGGGTTCATCTAACCCAGAAACTCTTGGTTCATCTACCCCAGAAACTTCTGGTTCATCTACCCCAGAAACTTCTGGTTCATCTACCCAGAAACTTCTGGTTCATCTACCCAGAAACTTCTGGTTCATCTATCCCAGAAACTTTTAGTTCAACTTCTGGTTCATCTACCCCCGAAACTTTTGGTTCATCTATCCCAGAAACTTTTAGTTCAACTTCTGGTAAATCTACCCAGAAACTTCTGGTTCGTCTACCCCAGAAACTTTCGGTTCATCTACCCCAGAAACTTTCGGTTCATCTTCTGAAAACGTTTTTAGGGGAAGCCTCGCAACCCCGGTCCTCCGTGTGTCTGAGCTCCGCAAGGCGAGCCATCTCCACCTGTCGCAACCAGGTTTGCCCCGCGTCAAGTCACGGGACAACACAAACCCACTGTGCATGGACAATCCATGGGTAACCTTTCCCATTTAGCAGGGCATATCATTTGTTTCGTGGTTTGACACATACTGTGGATGGACGAAATCCATTTCGCACCACCTAAGCAACCCTGGTTCTGATTTGATTCCCCTTTTTCAATACCCACAAATACTGGTTTCATGGGGGCTGGGCGGGGAGGGAGAAGGGTGGGGGGGAGCCCAAATACGCCCTTATTAAGCCCTTAAGGCCTTATTTAGAGCTTATTTGGGCTCCCTCCCCGCCCCCCCAGGCCCCCATGATGGTTTCACCCCCAAAATAAGATTCGCCATGCAGCCAAGCCCGCGGTGTGTGCCGGGTCCCAGGTGCGGAGATCCGGCGCACATCCCACGCCACGCCCAGAGCCTTCGGTGCCGCGGTTTCGGTGCCGTGCCGCGTCTCGGGGTGGAAGGGCGAGCACGACTGAATGAGGCCATGGAATTGAAAACCAACTGGGCCAGGCAATCGGAATGGCGCGGGATTTGTCGGGGTGCATTTCAGCAAAACGCCCGGGCATGTGCAAGAGAATCTGACAAAGGCAAGCTTCTGCAGGCGGCTTCGGGGTCGCGCAAAAAGTCACAATAGGGCTAAGGGCGTGGATGGGCGCAGTCATCCCTCCCAGAACCTTCCAGATCTGGGTCGGGCCCCAAATTCTGGGAACCTCTGCAACATGGCTTTCAAGAAACCAAACACTAAGGGGGTCTCCAATCCATCTCGGCACTAAAGGCCTCTCGACTCTCCCGCGGATCCTTCTGCCCAAAAAAACACTCAACCTGATAGGATTAGCTGGTCAAACCAAAAGTTGCCCACACCAGCTTTGGTGTCGAGACAGGGCACACCGGTTCTCGAACGAGATATGTTCCAACAGCGACATGAAATCGGTTAGGAGTCTGGTCTTTCAGGTGAACCAGAAAGCTTCACCTGCCAGGGAACATCCAAGCATTTACATGGACAAAGTATATCTGTTTGATCCACTTCTCTCTCGTGCTGAAAATATGTCTCTCTCTCTCTCTCTCTCTCTTTCCCTTTCTCTCAGCTCTCACCATATGGCTATGCCCCAAAAAAATGACGTTTCAGTGTTCCTTTTGCCTTGGCCTCAATAGGGCCGATGTCTCTTGAGGATCTCGCGCGCCAGCACGGAGCCCCGGATGAAGCCGGCATCCAGCGGCACCAGGGCGAGATCCTGCGGAATGCGGGGAACCCCCCGAAATGCGAGCCGAAGCTGTTTGGGTGTTCCGGAGGTGGGTTCTCAACTATTTACCCGCAACCAGGGGTTCAAATCCGAATCCAAAGCGCCAATCCAAACCGCCACTTGAGGGGGAACCTGAAACGTTTCTCTCCTTACCCTCTCGAAGCCCCTCTTACCCCCTCCGCCCCCTCCCAATACCCTTTCTTGCTCGGATGGTTTGCCAAAACCCACGATCAGGGGTTGCCATCGTCCCCAAACAACGTGAGTATTTCGAGCAGCAGGGTAGGCCCTATTGGGGAAAAGGAGTCGTTGAAAGGGGAGCCAATAGCATTTACCAAAATGCATCCTAAGATAACAATCGTTTAAAGTACAAGCCATGCAAACTACAAACCATTCAAAGTACAACCCATCTCAGCCACAAACATTCAAACTACAAGCGATTCATTCACAGCACACCATTTCAAGGCGTCCGGTGTGTGTGTGTGTTAGCTAGCAAGAGTCATTTCCGAGTTCGTGCCGCGCCCAACCCATAGACCCCATACACGCTTTTACCCCATTTCTAAATCAGCATCGAAAAACCCACCTTGCACCACAGACCCGCAAATCATAACTAATAACCATATCCTTCACCTTATCCATAAATAGCCCATATCCTAATCTGAACTGGGAAATGCCCCCTGAGCAGGGGACAAATCCCCAAATTATTGGGGATGTCGGACCCTCGTTCGCGCCGCTCCGGAAGGTTCAAAGCACACGAGCCATTGCTGAATCTGGTCAGCCATCAGCTGCTTCACAGTCTGCGGTTTTCCATCCACTATCAAACTGAAACTGCAGAACGACAAAGAAGTTGGCCTTGCTCTCATGCTTCTTGCAAACATCGTCAGGTCGCTGGTCTTAACACTGTCATGGAAGGTGATGTCATGCGCATCGGCAATCGTCAGCTGAGCAACGCCCTCTGCGGTCCATGAGTCAAAGGCAGGAAAGGTCTTGCTCTGCGGCTGGTAGTGCTGGCCATCCTTGATGTCTGGTGCGGGATTGCCTGAAATCAGCAATCCTTCAAGACCACCTTGGAATTCCTGTGTTGTTTCAGACCGCTTCCCGTCAGCTGTCAAGCATCGGGTTCGGAGCTTGAACTTGCCGATGAGTTTGTCCTGCATGAACTTAATTTGCTTCATCACCTATGAACAGAACCACAAGGACACACCATGTTTCGCGCTTGGTGTGCGAAGACTTTGTCCTTGTTCTGTTGGTAATGTTCTTTGTGTTTTGTCTTTTCTGTATTGTATTAATTCTGCTTTGCTCAATTATTGTGAAGGTTTGCATTTTTGCCGACGATTTCCATAGTTTCTTCTCTGTATTCTACCCCTGTTCGTCCAGCAACAGGTTTATTCACGGACTCAGTTGCCTTTTTGTATTGTGTTCTCCTTCCTTTCTTGCCAATTCGGCTTTGTGCTCACAGGGGTAATCTTGTATCAGTTCTATTTTACAGTGCTCCACATTAATCTCCTCAAACAACCTAAACGAACTGATACATGTGCAGTTGGTTTGGCAATGTTCACGGTAATGTTTCCTATGTTTCGTCCTTCCCTGGCTTAACTCCTCAAGTGGAAGCTGTCTAGCATTTGTCATATCCTATATCAACGATCCTATTAACCTGATATTTGTTCATATCAGTGTAGATCCTAAACCATTTTTCTTCAAACCCTTCTAACGCGCGCTACCAGTACAACAAACACAGAGTGAAGTTGAAATATCCATATGGCGCACAAGCGAATTATCAAGGCGAAGACAAAAAGTGCTACATAACTTGAATTCAAGCGCTTCTGACATATTATGTATGTACTATATTCTATTTTAATTATGTTGTTTAAATAAATAGAAACAATGTGGATAAAACTAAGAATCTCTGCCCTTACAAAAGCGTAAGAATGAAGATTCCATCCACCCCGTTTGCATCTATAACTTGGTTAAGATGGCTGGTTAACGTAAGATTAAGGCTTCTCAAGAATTTGTTAGGGATATTGATTATCGCTTGCTAACCCCAGGTAAGCGTACATTTACCTTCGTACTTGAAGTACCTGCTACTGCTTATTGGTTGAAGTTCCTAATTTCGTTACCAGAGGTGTGTAAACGGTGTCAAAATCTGCAGGTTGCTTACATAAGGCAAAAATTGCAAAAGCATCAGTAGCAGGAGTTGTACTACCTATTTAAGCGCTTCCTTGGATTTAGGTTCTGAGTATCAACAGGGTCGCTAAGCGCATTAGCGCTGCTCATTTATCACTTAGAAAGACAAATATGACTGCTGCGTGATTAGAACTGAGAGTAAATTTACGAGTGGATGAATTAGAATGGATTGTAGAAGTGTTTGATCTATCAAGAATATCTACTAGAAGATTAACCGCAATTTCTAGTGTTTGTTGTAAATCTGTTGGAGTATAGTTGGCTTCTGGACTTGTTCTTATTCTGTAAGTAGTGCCAGTTGGAAACGCACGGGGTATAACCTGATGCTTCCAATAAGTATTCTTGTTAGTGCTATTGCTTGACGAATTAATTTGGCATATCATATCTTCTTCTAACTGTACTGTTTCAGGCAGGCCAATAGTAAAATCGGACGAGCTACCATTAACTTTGTAATAGCTATCAACATAATCCTTTCGAACTTACGAACTATTTGTTTGTTTAATTAGACACATATTGTAAGATAAACTACATTTAGTGTAAACATAAAGAAGAATCACCTAATACATATATATACATGTAAAAAAAAAAAAAAACATAACAGAGCTAGAGACGAAGTGTATGAAAATGAAGCTTTTTTAACTGACACACAAAGACTTAATAAGTTAGCCTGTGAAAGCACAGGTGATATTCATCGCACCGGCACAACCACAGACCCAATTGACTTTTACGACGATGAAAAGTTACCACTCTATCAGAACGACAAACAAAAAGGTATAAAGATGTAAATAAGTTCATTCAAGACGATGCCGTTGAAGTACACGGGAAGAAGCACTATGGCCTTTTGGACAATATTTCGCGTTCCTTTGACAGTGCGGTCCCACAACAAACAATAACTATGGCAACATTGTCACAAGTTGTAGTAAGAAACCAGAAGACACAGGCACTAATCTTTGCGTGAGGATGTAGCAAGTATGTTCGACGGTGGCACTATCCCGAAAGGTTCTTTACATCCGCTTACAATCATTCCTATGAAGATGTAGCAAATTTTCAGAGCAAAGCAGGAATGAACCCATGACACGAACGGAATTCAGAGATCAAACTGAAAAACAGTTAAGACATAACCGTATAAATCAGTGTATAACCAAAGATGGGATACGATAAAGCAAAGATTTATCAACTTGCACATGATATTACTGATGGTACTTATGTAGGCTCTACCTGCCAGCCACTATTCTAAAAAATGGCAGAAAATAGAACGAGTCTGAGAAGCGATAGAGACAACTGTATCAGAAAATGACTGAATTAGAAGTTGGGAACTTTAGGATCGTCTTCGTGGACTGTATGACACGCTGGAAACATTGGCAAACGCTTTCCTCTTTTGAGGCGACGCGTGGCTCTTTAGCTTGAGGCCCTGGGGAATCTTGATTGAAAATCCACTGGGCTGATTCTCAAAGTCTTCGTAGGTTTGTCAGTGCCCTTCTGCCCATAGTGTTTGTCTGAATCTTCCTCCTTCTTGTTGAAGTACTGGACGCTTGCTGCCTTAAGTCGGGTGATGATAAGAATTGGGACATCAGTGGCCTCTGTTTGCTGACCTTCTATCCGCACTCCGATAACTTGGTGGTCTTCATGGAGGTTGTTGAGTGCTTTTGATCAGGTCGTTGATGTAGCTGCTGAGCTCATCTTCAATCTCCATTTCGTGGTTCTGCAAGCATCTGTTCACCCTAAAAGTTATCGTTAAGGAAGTCTGGTTTTTGTGTTCTTCCAATGGTTTCTCTGGTTTCTTGCCCTTCTCTTCATTCTTCTTCCACTGCTCATCAGGACAGTACCGCTTTCCGGAGGCCTCAGTCATTCCAACGCTTTCAAGATGAATTCCAGCAAAAGAACATGAACCTTTGTCTTTTGCTGAATCGGCATCTTTGCGAGATGCGCCAAGGAGGGAGGCTTTTCCGGCTGGTCATCCTTGGATGACGATATATTGGATCTGAGCCAGGCCTTGCGTGGAGGTTCATCTGGTTTCCTTCCAGCTGCGTGTTCTCGTTGATATAGCGCTTACACCAAGCATGACGTTGATTCTATGGGCGATGTTTGAGATTGGGCACTGGTGTACAATCTGCGTGGACTTTGCTCGGATTTGTGGTGGACTGGGGTCTCGTCGCTGCCATGTGCGTCCATTGGATTTCCTCGGAGTTTGATCTCTCCAAACTTCTGACGATCTGACCTTCTTCCAGGATCGTTTTGGAGAAGTCTCTGCTCTTGATTCTGCTCTTGATCCATCTGACTTTGGAAGGGCTTGGTTCTCCATTGTAGGTGAACGCAATTGCCATTCAGATCTGTATCGAACGGAGCGGCCACGAGCATAAGTCCTCAGCGCCAACGCGTGACCAAATATTGCTGTAGGCCAGAAAGACATTGGACACAATAGCATACTTCCGCCGTCCTATCTCTTGATTGGTTCATGACGAGAATTCTGTCAAGGATCATGTCGCAATGCTGCAGTGGATTTTCTGGAAATCTTTTCCTGGAGGAATAGGCTCCATTGAGCGGATGTCCATACTCCTTTGTCGGAAACATTGTGGATCTTTGCAAGTTCTTACACATTGTGATGTGCTTGTGGAAGATCAACATCTCCAAGGAAATTGAAGGATGTCGGGACAATCTGCACGCGCCATGTAGTTGGAGAAGCTCGCAAACAGCAAAATGTATCATGGAGTGTTCTCTTGTAGGTCTCGAAGCAGTCTGGCGGTCCTGTTCTGTCTCCGGTGTGGTTTCATATCTTGAACTCGATGCCATGGACCGATTCATCCGTTGAGCCAGGGCCGAAGATCCATGTATGTGAACGCAATGCGCTGATGAGCTTTGGCTTCAGCAGTGGCTGCCTGAAAAACATTAAACGCCTGCACGCCGCATTGTGTGGCTTGCGCTATGCGAGCCATGTCAATTGCCCGGACATGCCGGATGATGCGGAGTGTCAGGGCTGCCACAGGCAGGGGCAACCGATTTGACCCCACTGGCTCTCGGATCTGGCAGATGGGGACAAAACACAGACTTGAGCTTCGGACTGGCCGTTCCACCGACCATCAAGATGTGCGCACCGACAAATGCAAGGCGCCAGTTGGAATCAAACAATTGGCCTCTTCGAAAGGGGTTCTGTGCACTTCCATCTTGGGGAGCTTCGGCAACCAACCAACTAAGCAGTCCTTGTAGCACGGCATGTCGGGCCAACTTGCACTCGGAATCAGGTAAAGGCCAACAATTCAATCGCACTTCAAGCGCCCCTTGTGACATCCGTTGCTTTGCTTCGTAAGGAACATCGACCATCTTCCGCGTTCAGGGCCAAACATTGCGGAAAGCTGCACATGCAAGCGCATTTCAGCATCCGAGCGGCTCCACTCTCTGAGATACAGTGATCAGCACCTGTAAATGTGGTGCAAAACAACTCTTGGTATGGTAGCGAAAAACTGTCTGTTTTTTATCAGCCCCCCCAGTCAAAGAGAACGGATGCCCAAAAACAACAAAAAACAATGGGCTGGCCAAGAACAGTGAAGGTGGCGCAAAACCATGTAATCCCATTTCTGCCGAAGATTCGCGCTGAAGATTCGGAGCCGTGCGCATAGGCCTCTCGGCTGTGAAAAGTGTCCATGGCCACCCCTTGTTTGGGGCACGGGGTCCAGCCGCTGCCACGGCCAATGTGCATCCCAGGATTTGTTCGTTGCCATGTGGCCATGGGGCAAAATCCAAATCGTACCCCCTGAGAACATCGCAATCCAACCACTAAAATAGACCAAACGGATGTGGATGGTGCACCTACAGGTTCTAAAATGGGTGGTGAATTCACCTTCCCCAAAATGGTACCATTGGTTTGGACCCACAGAGCCATATTTTAAAGGGGCAATTAGGTGAGTGCTGAGAAACATCATGACTCTACCATTTGGCTGTGTGTCAAAACCAATTGGGGTTGGTGCACCACCCATTTTAGTCGATTTTAGTGGGGATTGGGATGTTCACTAGGGGTACGGGCTTTCGACCCATGGTCATTTGGGTTCATGGAACTGCAAAGGGTCCCTTGGTAACGCCGTATCTAGCGGGTTCATGACTCATCGACCGGCAGCGAATGCCCGAAGGCAAATTCGGAAACTCGAGCTGGAAAACCGCCTTAAGAAAGATGTCCTGCGCCGAAGCTTATAAAGCTGAGCGCCCGGAACTTGAATATGTCCCCGGAGGTACCACTTTCAATCAGAAATTCTCTTCCAGGAATAGAACCAACAGAGTTCACTTTGGGAAAAGGGAAAACAGAACTGCAGCACCGATGGAACAAAAAGCCACTGGCGCTTCAAAATGACTGGGTGTAGGAATTTCGCCGAAGCTCACCAGGAGCTGACTGCGCTTGGATTCACAAGATCAGCCAGTCCAGTCCCATCCGCATTGTCCCGAGCTGGCCGATGGCTGAATCGCCCGTGGCAGCGATTGCCGGCCCCTTCCAAGGGCGGTTGCCCTTGCCGGAGCTCAGCCAGGACGAAAACTGAGGGCGCGCCATGTCTCACTGTCTCGCCAGTCTGTACGAGCTCCGTCCAGTGGCCGAGCAATCTCGTGCACCGGAATCGAAGCTTCCAACAGTCAGCCTTTATCGACCCCATCTGGAAAAACTGCCAGTGGCTTACTTCGGTTTCGAGAAAACAGTGTCTCTCAGCCATAACCAACAACCGGGGACAAGGGCTTCCTGCTTAGCTGGCGCTTTGCCAGCTACCCGAGCCCGTGAACACGTGGGTGGTTTTTTCCCCTCATGAAAATCGAAGTTGGACCCTCCGTACCTCGGGGCGATCCCGAAATCGGAGGGCCGAGGTGTTCACAAGCCTGGCCCGCGAGAGATCGAGCGAGTGCTTGGGAGTGACGACGGGTAGACAGAGCTTTTGGATGGCAGAAATGAACGAAAAATATGCCGGCTGGAACCCATTTGGTTGAAATGGAGGAAGTCTGCCCCATGGCAAGCACGGAGACGGAGCGGTGCAGGAACGACAAAGTGAGAGAAAGCAAATGCAGGAGGGGGTGCTTGCTTCCTTCTTGCACATGAAAAAAGAGGGACTGAAAGAGAAAAAGAAAGAGAAAGAAAGAAAGAAAGAAAGAAAGAAAGAAAGAAAGAAAGAAAGAAAGAAAGAAAGAAAGAAAGAAAGAAAGAAAGAAAGAAAGAAAGGAATAGACTGGACATATGACAAAAAAACTGAAAAGAAAACTGAAAGAAGGAAAGATAGAAGAGAGAAGAGAGAAGACAGAAGAGACAAGAGAGAAGAGACAAGAGAGAAGAGACAAGAGAGAAGAGAGAATAGATCAGAGAGAAGAAGAAGAGACAGAGAGAAGAGAGAAGAGACAAGAGAGAAGAGAGAAGAGACAAGAGAGAAGACACAAGAGAGAACAGAGCAGAGACAAGAGAAAAGGGAAAAGAGAGAAGAGAGACAAAAAGGAAAAAGGAAAAAACGGGCATCTTTCGAACCTGGGGCTTCCAAATCCATCTGTTCCTTGGCACGCCAAAGGGACCAAACCCTTCCCCTCCTCGCGCGGGGCATCCCTTTTTTTTCTCGGGACCCGTGAAGGCCGTGGCCCAACCCCTTCATAGTAATACATAAATAAATAAATAAATAAGTAAATAAATAAATAATATAAAAAAAAAAATGAATGAATAAATAAATAAAGAAATTATTGATAACCAAAAAAAAAGGCGCCCTTTCCCTCCAATTGCCGGGGTTTCTGCGGGTTTCCCATTTGCCCTCCACAAGAAACCAGGGTTCACAAATCTGAATTCAAGCTCCGCACCACGTCCCGCACCTCATTTACCCCTCACATCCGAATCCAAACCAAACCAAAGCACAATTCCAAACCAAACCAAACCAATCCAGACCGAATCCAAACCGAATCCAAAGGCACCACCTGAGGCTTACCTGACACAAAAACAGCTCTTCTGCCAGCCTGGAGGTGCCGGGATCTGGCCGACCTTGACCCAAACCCCCCTCAAAAAAAAAGAAGGAAGAACAACAAGGACTGACTCCGCAGTTGACTTTTTCGTTTGCAAGGTGAGCATCCATTGCGGGGGTTCCACGATTTTGACACAAACCCATTGAGGAGCGGCTGCGCCTTTTCTGGGGTCGTAATGAGGGGGAGCGAAAAAAGTCACTGGATGCCTGGGATGATCTTTTCGCCACTTTCGTGCCCATCGCACAGTCCAGCATGAGGCCCATTGGTTTAGAAAAGGTTCCGAGAAAAGTTGCAAGCCTTGAGGACCTGAGTCCTAATGTGGGCGTGTCCTTTTTTGTGAGGGTGCAGGTTCTATTGTTTGATCATTATTTGTGTTGTTTCTTTCATGATTTTGATACGAAACCATTAAAAAAACACCAAAACTAGGGGGTCCCTACACCCCCCCCCCCCAAATGTCTCCACAACAAAAACCATGCAACACCAAGCAGAGGATTGCTCTGTCTGTGCCGTGCAACACATCTCGGGGGATGCCCGCCTGAGTGTGTCTTAACATACCAAGAACGACGTGATGTCCCTCGTAAAATTCGCTGGGGTTCCTTTGAAATAAGCAGACACCCCACAACAACCCAAAAAAAAAAACATGTGGTGTCCCTAGAAAGGGTTGCCCAAAAAGGATATCCTCAAAAGAACGACACCCCCACTATCACCTCCAAATGCCCCTGGCTGGGGTTGCTTCTCAGGTTCAAAAGGAGCTGCGATCAGAAAGCCTCCAATGCTGCGTCGCCGTGTTCTTTCATTTTTCCCGCATGGGGGTGTCTGGCTTCTATCAGACGTGTGTGAGAAAAAAAGAAGAAGAAAAAAGAAAAAAAATAACAACAAAAAAAAGAAGCAAAAAGAAGGAACAAAAAAAGGAGAAAACAAAAGGATAAAAACAATAGGAGAAAAAACAAGAAGAATAAAAGAAGGAAACAAAAAAAAGAAGCAAAAGGAAGAAAAACAAAGAGAAGAAGAAAAAGAAAAAAAAGGAGAGAAAAAAAGAAGAAGGAAAAAAAAGAAGAAAATAGAAAAGGAGAAAAACAAAAGAAGGAGAACAAAAAGAAAAGGGGACAAAAAAGAAGAAGAAGAAGAAGAAGAAAAAACGGGTCCGCCGAGGCCTGCGCCAAGGGAAGACCTGGGAACCTGCCGGATTTTGGGTTGGTCTTTTTTCGGGGGTTCCCGCACGCGCATTGGCGTCAAGCCCACGCAAGGAACTCCCCCGAAGAGTTGCCTTGTGGGCTTAACGTTGGCAAGTGGCAGTACATCAGATCAGTACAAGCCAAACCAAGGTTTCGGCCAAACATCGGTGGGTAGGCTACACATGTGATTTGGCTGGAGCCGTTGGTGAGTATTTCAAGCAAACACGTCACGGGACGTACGCTCACCGTTGCTTGGCCAAATCAGCGCCAAAGAAATGACTTGCCCTCCCTGTTGAAACACAAAAGGTGCTTCTCATGCATCCAGGGAGGCGAAAAACATCGCCGTCGCCTCGAAGGCCTCCCTCATCTTTCAGGACTCGGCATATCCTTTTTTTCGGGGGGAAAGGACCTCTGACTCAACATGACTGACCAGATCGGGCCACACTGTGACACTTCGACAGACTGAACCTGCGGCCAAGGTTTTCGAGTTTCGGAGCTTGTTTTGGGAAGTCCCGGGCCCTTCTTGTTGGCAAGCCAAAGGGGAACCTCCACTTGGATCCACGGCAAATCGCAGACCCATTGCCCAGCGTGCCTCTGAGCGCAAGCAGCGTTGCCTGCACTCCCACCCATGGCGTTTCGGCTTTTGCGGAAAGTGGCCGTTCAAAAAGCTTGCCAAATGGCTGAACCCGATTTTTGGCACAAAATGCCATTCATGGTTGGGAGAGCGGCGATTTTCGTCGGCATGTGTTTTGTGAATTGCTGCCTTTCTTCGGGTAAGCTGAGAAAAACGAAAGCTTTCTCTCGGGGGTGTTTTGTACCCTATTTGAGACAAACATATTTTCGGGGAACAGGAGGAGCAGACCACCCAAATTGGGGGTGCATCCACTTTGAGATAAAGGTCATAGTTGCGAAAAAACCTGAAGAACATGTCTACACGCAGTGAGCCTTCACCCCATGGTGCCCTTGCCCGCCAAAGCAAGCGTCCCCTGATTCTTTAATCCGAGCCTCTCAATGGCAAAACCCTCAACAGAGGGAATTCTCCAAGTGAGTCATAATCAAAACCCGGTATCAAAATGGTCTACCCAGAACCATGCTTCAAGAATTAAGAAAGCGGCCGCAGCTATTTATGGTTGGGATTGTCCCTTACTAACCTTGATCTACCCGGGTTTTGTGAGTGTGGCGCAAGTAAGAAGTTTACTCCATCCATCAGCTTCTTGAGAGGAGATACCTTCCATGACAAAACGCAACTGGCGACCGCACCCCCAGCAGCCGGAAATCGAGCTTTTTCGCTGCAGCATGGCCCCACGTCCATTTTCAGAGCTGAAAACTTTGAGTGGTGAAATGGACATCCAAACCACTAAACACTATTCCAGGGGTTGATTCCCCATTCTTTTCAACCATCGTTCTTTTCAAAACTTGTTGTTTCTGGGGTTCTGATGGTTTCCTGAAAAGAAGGATCCCCGGAAAGAATGGAAATGGAAGGTACCCCTACTATGCTCAACACCTTTTTGGAACCGGATGGCAAGAGCCACCAACGATCCAACGCACCAAAAAAGCACGATCAAAGCCCAGCCTTGCGCATGAAAAGGTTGAAACCTGAAGCATCCGAGGGCGGGGACGTGTTTTTTAGGCAAAAACCTTCCAACCCCAAGTACTTCGGTTTGGGGGGTGCAAAATTGCATTTTCCTTTTGTCCATTTTGCGGTCTGAACACAAGTACCTCCGCTCGGAAGGTTGAGCAATTTTCGTGAAGCCGCTACGAAGGTGTTTCATCGACAAAAGTGTTCCTGGGAGCGATGGGATGGACAGGGCCACAAAGCGGGTTTTTTTGGGAAACCACCGCCAATGAAATTGTCTCAAACATGTCGAACATTTTACTCCAAGCTGGGTTCCTCTTGGTTTCTGTGTTGCAGGTCCAAGGCTTCCAGAACCATTGGACACACTGAAAATATGCAGAGTGGACATACCATAATGAGCGTTTCGTCCCATGCACGTCAAGGCACCTGAAACCAAAGCCGAGCCCCGGACGACGTCGAACCTGAGCTGAAAGCAATATGGTCCTGAAGCGCTCAAATGCCTACCCAGATCTTGTTCTCAGGGTCGGACCAAGTGAAACTTTAGGAGCTGCAGGTGATCTTGCTTTGTTTGCTCGCAATCTTGGACCCCCCTGTCAGGTTCCATGTTGTTGAAAGGTGGAATCTACCTAGAAATCAGCACGGGCAGCAGTTACTTTTTCTTGAGCCAAATATTACGTCGGTATGCCACTACCAAACAACACCCCCCGCTTTGCAGACGAGCGTTGGTGAAAACAGTACTTTGTACATGTTTCCCCCCCAGGCCTGAAGCAAAGTCCTCTGAGGTTGCGACTTCGAAGACGTTGAGCCTCAGCGAGATGAGTGGCAAGTCATGGTTTGGGGCCGGTTGCATCAATGGCTGCTTCAACTGCAATGCGCCTGGAGCGGCAATACGAACTATCTTTTGCAGGAGCAAGCCAGGCGAGTCGGCCGACCACGACTTCCGTCGGGCTACACACACAATCTAGCGTGTGAATCTTTGAAACTGAATTCATCTGTCATTGTCAACGGTGGTGATCTCACGACCACAGCTTCCGCTGGGCAGGCAATGGAAATGAAAGCCGGTGAGGGCGGCCATGAATAGACATACGGCCGCAGCTTCCGCCGGGCGTGCAAAACAGCACAGCTAATGTTGCGGCATCAATGGATGAAAGATAATAGGTAACAATCATGACATCACCAATGCAATTGATAAGGTTCCCGCAACAAAAGCTAAACATTCCTTGTTGACGGGTGCTCACCATCCCCAGGGGCCCTGCCGCCACTGCTCCCATCCATAGGACCACCCGTAATTCCAGGAGTGCCAGTCCTGACGTCCCTTGTCCTTGTTCTTGCCCTTGCCTTTGCCTTTGGTCTGGTAGGGCTCGGGACGAATGGACCTGGTAATGGCTCTCCATTGGGTGTTCTTTGCCTCGATGGGGTAGCTCTTCGTGCGACCTGACGAAAACTGAGGAATTTCCAACTCGCCCGTGCTGATACCCTGCGGGTCATACTTCTTCCACGATGCACGGATGAAGCTGACCATGACGCCAAGGATGGTCTCGACGTTCCCTTCCGGGACGTATTGCCCACTGTGTCCGATAATGATCGGGACCTGGTTGTTCGGGACAAATCGGTACGCGCACATGACAGCGAATTGCATGACAGTGTAAAACCGTGTATGGTGAGCAATATAGGCCTCTGTCGAGACATTCAGCTCGTGAGGGTTGAGCTTGTTGGGAGTGGGGATGAACACCAACTTGGTTCCCGTGTTCTGAGAACCCCCCCTCTCACGCTCCTCCCTCGTCCGGCCAGGGTCCGCCACGATAGCGCGGGCAATCCGACCCAGGAAGTCCAAACTTTCCGGAGTCAGCCCTTGCGTGGCGCAGTTGTAGGCGTAGAAAGGGTCAACCGACAGGCGGTCCGACACCTTTGTGCAGCCCAACCCTTGCGCCTTGGTGAGGTGCGTTTTCGCCGTCTTCCTGAGCGATGCCTCGACGGAGAGTCCTCCCCGCTTCTCTCCTTCCTTTGCATGGTGTTTGGATCGGATCCATTTGCCACTGCTCTTCGAGGTAGAACACCATGTTCTGGAGGGCCGCAGTGCGCTCGAGCCGCACAACTTCTGTGGCTATCCTGGCGTTCAACCATATCCGAGCGGCACTCCTGACACAGAAGGTAGCCGTCGATTTGCGAGTTGCCGCACCTTCTGTTCCAGCATTTCACGATTTGGGTTCTTCATCATTGCCGTGAAGAAGAGGTCCTCCCAATCTCGCTCACTCTAATAGCGACTGCGAAGGTTGCTCCAGCCACGACCATGCCTTTCTCTCCCGCCGAAGGGTTGCAGGCGCGATCTGATACGTCGGCCCTGCAGGTCTTTCATTCGACTTCCCCTTCCGAGCAATTTGCCGTCCCTTGCGCCGTCGACCACTTTCCGCCAGTGCCTCCATGCCTTCTCCGCCGTCAGAGTGTTCTCGCTCTTGCAGAAGCTCGGATTCACATCTTGGGGTCCGGGTGTGAGCTCCGATGTCAGCGCCGCGCGGTATCTCTTGCGCAACTCCGGGTAGGCCCGATTGAAAAAGGTAACCCCCCGGAACCAGCCCGTATTTGAAGATAGGTAGAGTACAGCAGGGAAGCCTCGGCGCCACAGGTCGGTTCGCTCAGGATTCCGCACAGCTCGGGGATACTGGCCGCTTCGCGGCATCAAACTCCTCATCCAAGGAGTACAGGTTGGTCAGGATGGCCTGCTCCGTGTACTTCCTCGTGAGCTCATTGTGATGCCCCTGAACGTGGGCCCACCATGACTCGGAACCTCCTCGTGTTGTTGTTCCGGATGCAAACCATAACCTCCCACGGCCTCACGTTTGCAATCCGGTCGTTGAGATGCCTCACAAGCCCATCAAACTCAACGGAGAGGTCGATCCCGCGCAAGGGCGGATGTGGCTTTCCATCCTTAAACGCCCCACCCCTGAGGAAGTAGGACATCTTCTTGGAGATCGCCACCAACCTGTAGCCCCGGTCCATGTTCACTTTGGGGACGTGCCCCATGTCCTTGACTTCGAGCCATTCGCATTGCTCCTCAGCCGGGACCTTGGTGTTGATCTTCCGGGTTTTGACCCAGTCTGCCCAAAAGATCTTTTCCTGCGTTGGGTCCTTCTGCTTTTTCGACCGGGGTTCCCCCTCGGCGTTGCCTGGCGGCGCTTTGGCCTTTGCAATCCTTGGCATCGCCTGGGGCCTGTCGGTCAGACTCGTCTCCCGTCTCGATGAAACCAGTCGACTGGGGTTCCCCCACAGCGCTCTTCGCAGCAGTTCCGCGCCTTGGCGGTGGCGGAGTCGGTGGCTGTTTGGACGCGCTGGTGCCCTCCGTCACAGACTCAAAGGTTACCGATTCCGCGGTGATCATGGAACTCATCCCTGCCGCCTCGGATTCATCGACCTCTGACAGCAGCTCCAAAGACACAACGGTCTCCTGGTCAAACAAGTGTGTTCTGCGATGACAATTGAGTGGCCTTGCGGAGCAGCGCGGTGTACTCTTAGATGGGTCCCAACCGAAGTCCTGGGTGTCGTCACCCAGCAGAAGCCATTTGTCCTTCTCCTCGTCATCGGGTACGACGGACAATCCGTGCTGCTCCGCGGTATGGCCGATGTACTGCGACATCGCGATTTCAACGCGGTCCAATTCTTCATCTGAGTTTTCATCTCCCTTGTCGACCGCTTCGAGGATAATCTCCGCCTCGCCCACTGTGTCGCCCCTCATCTCGATGGTCATGGCGTTGTAGGATTCGTCCTCCGCCACCTTCATCCGTCGGGCCTTTCCTCCATAGCAGCATATTCATGGAGGGCTTTTGCCAGCTTCAGGCAAGTGGGCCAGCCAAACAACACAGGATCAACTGGCTCTCCTTTCACATGGGGCTCGACGCTCCCGATCTGCCGGGAGAGCGGAGCGGATCCGCTGGGCCAACAACTGAGTGTTGATTGCCGCGTGCAGAAACTTCGACACAACCTTCCGGTTGGCATTGCTGTACGTCATGCGCACGTCGTCGTACCTGTGAGCCAGCAGTGTCATGACCGATGGGTCGATTGAGTCGATCGCTTTGATGCGGGTCCCATCGTCGATGCCCCCGTCTGCGAGGTGTCGGAGACAGCCGTTCATCGCCTCGTTGTAGTCGGAGGTGAGGCCGTAATCCTCCGCATCCGGGTTGCAAATGAAAGCGATGTCCCAAATGCGTCCGAGCCCAACAGCCTCCTTGAAGAAGTCAAGCTGTTCAAACACGCGGGCCCTTTGAACCTTTGGCCATTCCGACGCGGCCTTCCGGCCCGCCTCCGTACGATTGAACCGTTTCTCGTGGATCCATCTGCAGCCCACGTACCCATAGTTGCCGAAGACATCGTTTCCTCCCCATAATACGTAAACCGAAATAGCTGCTTGATGCCTTTCTGACGCCCTTCAGCTGTTCGGCCTGAAGCAGTTCCGCCACATGGTGCTTGGTCGGGAATTTGTTATTGGGCTCTTCGACCATGGCACAGGAAGAGTCTCCGATGACCAAAATGTCGACCACCTCTTCCGAGGGGCATGGCACAGCGCGAAATTCCGCTGGGGCATTGCGCCCTAGGACTTGGATTAAGTCCCAATAAGCCAGAGTTGCTCCCGGCTAGGGTTCCCCCCAGCATCACTCCCGGCGCCTGTTCTTGCGATGCGAGAGTCCTCGTCACCGTGTCCGGTTCCGGGATGGTCGCGATCGCTGCCTGCGTCTGGAACTGCTTCATCAGCTTGTCCCACTCCACCAGATTGTAGATGGTGCGCTGAATGTCGAGCTCCTTCTCCAACACATCGTTGAGCAAGATACCAACGGAGGGCGCGAGGGACGACATCCTGACCGCAGGAGTTGAAGGTATCACTCGGGAGGCGACTGAGAATGAAAAGGCTGCGTGGATCGTATCAGTAAGTTTGAAGGTATAGTTTTCGGTATTCTTTAGTGATTGGCCTCTACCCTGCGCATGTGGTGAAGTACACCGGCACTTAAACTTAGACAACGTTTTTCCCAGCATTTTGACATTGGTAGCAACAGACCAAGGCTTCTTAAGAGGGATGCCATCGGCATTCACAATACCCACAGCACATCCGTCAAAATCAGACTTGTCCAGTCCGTGCTTGTCGAGAATGCTCTTCACCTTTGGAAGCTTCCAATACGTGCACCCCTTGGGCCATTCAATGGCGATTGATGGGTTGAGATGTCCCATTTCATCCAAGAACGCCTCAAAAGATTTCCACAACGAGTTGAACAACTTCCTGCGATTAGCAACTTTCTTCCTAGCTGAAGGAATCTTATTGTTGATAAAGTTCCATGGTGTACCCCCCGTGCATGGCAGGCTGGCCCTGCAACGAGGTAATCACCTCTCCATAGAAAGCCGGGGTGGATCACATACCCAACAAATATTCCCGGATTGGATGTGGGGTCAAATTTCAAGTCCTTCTTTGGTTTCTGTCTTGGCCAATCCAGTAGTCAATGCGACATCCGAATGGCAAGAACTGACCTTTGAACTCCTCATCGAACCTAAGATTCCAAGGCGTTCTTGAACCAGAAGGTGGTTCGCAAACATTTTGAGATAAGCACCAATGCCTTGCGGCGTGTGGCCAGTATGAATGATTCAATCCGGCTTGTGCAAGTGCGACTCGAGTTCCCTCGAGCACGGTCCTGATGCTTCGTTCAGCCACCGCTTTCGATTTGTGAATGTACTCCTGACTGAGAACATGTCTCCAGCCCATCTCTTCGGCTGCAGCAATTAGCTCTGGGGCGTTGTCACTGTAAAATGCGCCAACCTCATCTGATGAGGATGTGAAGTGCTGAAACGCTTTCACAGTGGCTTCTGTGTTTCTTTTAGCAAAGGGATATGCATATTTGAAACCAGTGGCAACGTCACTTATGACAAGGGCAGAGTATTCATCATCTATGCCTAGTTCCTGTTCGTCTGCAGTGATTATGAAATCGGCTGTGATGCGCTCAGCAAATTTTCGAGCATCAACTTGTCTGGATCCCCCCCGCGAGCGAGAGGGAGACTTGGTCATTTTGGCGCATTTGCACACTTCGCAGAATGGGTTCTTTGGCTGGTGCGTCATTAGGTGCTTCCGTGATGCTGCTTCCTGCCTTAGGGCACTCTCTGCAAGTGATCTAGGGGTTTTCTGATCAGGGTTGCCAACAACATCTTCCCCTGCCAAATCTTTACTCTCTATTGGTTCTGCATGTTCGTTTGGTTTAACTTCACCAGGGTCGTCCGCCAGAAGTTCAGCGACAACTCTAGCATGCACCTCAGGATCCTCTAGAGGGGCAATGCTAGGCGTGTATTCCTCTTCCGCTGCATCTTCAGCTTGCACGGAAGAGTATGATGATTCGCTGGTTGCACTGCTCTCGCCGACCTGACCTTCCGGTCGGCTCTGCGGCTTGGTCTTGGCAGGACATGCCGTGGCTGATTCGCCATCCCATACGTCATAGTACGGGACATAATCTCGAACTGTGAGATTTATGCGCGTCCCGTCAGGCTTGACAAAGAATGGTTTCTTATTTGCATACCACACGAAGTCATAACCCTGATTCATGCATTTCAAACCAACAGAAAGAACAGATGGGGTTTGCGGCAACAAATATGGATTCGTGTCCCCAAGATCGCCTGCGGCCATTTTGGCCTGTTTCGATGAATCGCTTGGTCCATTGGTAGTCATCAACATCACGGGGTCATTTGAATTATACATTGCATATTCGGGGCAGTTCGCACGGTAAATAGGTCTGTTCCACTCCCGGTATCGATAATCCATGAACAGTTTGGAGAAAATCTCTTGCTCGCAAGCGCAGGCTTGGCACCCATGTCTTTTGGGGCGCAGCGCTTGCAACCAATCTCGCTGTGACACTCGTATCTGCATTTGGCCGGATGGCCTTCCACTTCGCGTCTTACAGTGTAAGCGAGCATGACTGCCTCAAGCCTAGCATCATCAATGTTGATCTGATCATGGAAAAATGGGTGGTCAATTGGGTAGACCTTTGGGTACACGCGCGGTCTGTCATCGATTCTCCACGGCTCACCACGTGCTGGTATCTGATTCACTTCAACCCTCGAGCAAAAACGCACGCTTGGAAGGGCAGGCACATTCTTCCAGTCCGACATGAGGTTCCCCTCAGCGATAGGGGCATTCATCATGGAGGACAGCAAGCACCCCAACACACAAACGGCAGCAGGGGATGGCTTTCCGGAAGACTTCCCCTTGTGACCCTTCTTCTTTTCACGGGAGGTGGATCGAGAGGTCGATTTGGAACGATCCTTGCTCGACTTTCTGGACTTCCGATCCTTTTTCTCTTCTTCTGCCTGTCTGCGGATGGTTCCCTAGACCCGGGAACGGCAGGCTTCGGATCGATGTGAGCGAAAGGGCAGTTCTCGCCTCGTTAGGGTAGAAACGGCACTCTTTCTTCCCCTTTGGGCTGTTTGTCCGGCCTTTACCCTTACCCTTCTTAGGCTTAGCGTCCCTTGACGGGGTCCTACCCCTGGCATTGCTCGATGGCTGTTCATGCTTGTACGTGCAATTGTCCCGCTGACACGACCCGTGCTTGACAAACGCAATGCAAAACCCTTTCGGCACACGTTGGCTCTCAGCGGCGGGTGCGGCTGGCCTACCTCCGTTCTGCCTAGCAACCCGTTCTCGGTTGCGCTCGAGCCTGGCTCGAGACAGGTACTGCCTCACAGATTCTATCAAGTAGGTGTATGTGTGATCGGCGGACTCTTCCGAGGCGCCCAAATAGACATTCAAATGGTGTTGCATTTGCCTGCTCTTCTTCAGCTGATTGTAGAACAGAGCTTCAAGCATGGAGTCATCCGGCGTCTTGGCGTTCATTCCTGCAAGGACGCCTTCCCAGCTACGCATGAAAGACGTGAGGTTATCGTTCACGAGCTTCACGTTGAGGAGATCCTCCATGGCGCCTGGCTCCGTGCTTGATGTTCGTACTCAAGTGTTCATGCACCAGAAGGAGTACTTGTCTTCCACGAACAGGATTTCCCTTCTGCGCCTCGATCTCCTTGAACGTGTCAAGCTGTCTCGCCAGGTCACCTTGAATGCTGTTGGTGAGGGCGGACAAGAACTTGGCGTCCAAGGTGCGGAAAGCACCTGGTTCTTTGAGCTCTTCGATCATGACGGCAGGCTCCCACACTCTGCTGATCCACTTGAAAGCGTCATCGGGGCGATCGGACGCCGCACACACGGCTTCCCGAACCTTGATGCGCCAATTCCTGTAACTCTCAGGAAGTGGGAAAGAGGGAATGACAATCCTCTCTGCTTCCTTGACCTTGGGCTTATCGTGGTCTGCGTCCGTAACGGTCGCCTGTTTACCCAAGATCTTGTTGAGCTTCTTGCGGATCGCTCGGCCTTTCTCCGATGATGATGATGAGGAGGATGATGTTGAGGAGCTGGACGATGAAGAGCTCGGCGAGTCGGAAGGAGATCCACTCTTTCGTTTCTTGTGGCTCTTCTTCCTCTTCTTGTCCTTCTTGCTCTTCTTCTTTTTGTCCTTCTTCTTCTCCTTCTTGCTCTTCTTCCCTTCATCATTTCCTTCGTCATCGTCGTCGTCGTAATCATCGTCATCACCGGGATTGCCGGCAGGTGGTTCCCCACCGCCTCCGCTCTGGCCTTTATCTGCGCCTGATGGATTCCTATTACCATCATTCGGGTCCTGAGCTGGGGATGTCGGTTCATTCTCACGTCATCGCCATCAAGATCATCGGCGGCGGCCCATCACGGCGGAGTTCGGTGGAAGATGACCTGACACGTACCTTAGAACTGAGGTCCAGGCCGGGAGGAGGAAACGTCTGTGCAGGAGAGGCCTTTGGCCTAAGTCCGAAAATCGGAACATTAGAAGAACTACTTTGCTCACTGCGAGACTTCAGTTCATGACGTAGTGCTTCAATGTCCCTTGCTTCATGATGATCTCTCTCATCTCCGCGGCACTCCTGTCCGCGTCCTCCTTCTGCTTGCTGCTCGTGACCTCCCAAATCAATCTGAGCTGTTCAGAGCAACCCACTGCTGTTTTGCCTCGTTAAACTCTCTTTCTTTCGCCATTGCCTCTTGTTGGCATACATTGATGTGGTTCACCGCGTCCTGGTAGAGTCGGCCCTTTTCCTCAACATGGCCTGCTTGAAGCTGATTGATGATGGCGTCATGGCGCGCCGAAGCATAGGCAGCCACTTCTTCCGTACTCGGACCTGTGCTGACCACATTCACCGTCTGGCTGTGTTGGTATATGTTCGGGGCGCACACATGATGTTGATGAAGGTGAGTCTCATTCTTAGTCATGTGTGCATGCATCTCTTGCCCTGGTTGATGTCCGGCGAGAGGTTCCCCTCCGCTTCCCATTGAATCCTCCGGAAGGACGACCAAAGTGATGGGCACAAGCGCATCGCCTTGGTCGGACTCAGGAAAACTGCTTCGGGAGCGCTGCGACGGATTGCATACTGCTTCGTTCATCCTTGCTATAGCAGGGTGGCATCCGTCGCCGCTTGACGCCCCTGCGGCGCGGGTGAGAGCTGACTGTACAAGGTACCAGCGATACGGCTGATAACCTGTTGAAAGGTGGAATCTACCTAGAAATCAGCACGGGCAGCAGTTACTTTTTCTTGAGCCAAATATTACGTCGGTATGCCACTACCAAACAACACATGTTAGTTGGTGGGAGGACACGGGTTTGGGTTCTGGGTGCTGCACGAGTTGTGTCCACAGCCCGGTGTCCACCGTCTAACGTTGGTCCAGCTCACCCTGAAACTGGCACCCAGAACCCAAACCCGTGTACCCTCCCACCAACGAACATGGAACCTGACAGGGGGGTTCTGGAGGACCCTTTTCCTTGGTGGGAGGGTAGTTTGAGGGGAAGTTCCCCCCAAAGGTTCCCAGGACAAATCCCATAGTGAGAAGTTCCGACTGGGCTCGAATTGGTTTGATACTCGGGACGCCCTCATTTGGAACTTGGTTCGTGATCCCCTTTGGAATGGGAGTTCTAGCCCAAAACCCGGGTTTTCCCTTGACAAACCCAGAAGAACAAGGTGAACGTCCCAGTTTTAGCTGAACCCTGGCTGCTCTCTCTGGGGCGCCGGCAACAGTCAAGCATCTTGGCCTGTCGCCGCGATTCCACGCCTCGGGACCTCCTGTTGGATATGCCAACGTACGTTGTCCGTGATACGCCTAGGGGTGCTTTCCGCTGAAAGAATTTTGGCGGGAGCAGACTTTGTTTAAACATCCGGACACGTTTGGCCTGCGGATCACCAATAGAAAGAATCAGGGTCCCCAAGGTCTGCCACCTACTTGCAATGGGCTTGGGTGACAAAGTCCATGACTGGCACCGGTTGAGATGGCTGAAACCCGACTTGAACACCGGGATGAGCCACCAGGTGTGAAGACAGGATTTGGTGCATCAGTAAAAGCTTTCATTGGGAATTTTTTGGGGGACATCAGACATGGATGGGTTTACCCCGTCCACTGACCTGGAACTTGAGGTTCCTCCGCTGCGTTCCACGTCCAAATCTCTGTGAATTTGCCCCTCCAATCGTTTAATTTTGAGCCAGCCTACCTGAAGAGGGTTCCCTCATTCCCTCGAGCTCTCGAGTTCGGAGCGCTGCTTTGGTGGCCGAAGGCTTCAACTCCCCATACTAAACGGGGCACCTTCTCTTAGTGCCACACACCAAAAACAACTATTCCAGCATTGTCAAGCAGTATCTTCTCAGTCTTTTTTTGTATGTTTATTATTAGTATCATCATTATCATTATTATCATCATTATCATTATTATGATCATTATCATTATTATTTGTTTTCCTTTCTTTCGGATCATTTCACGCCAAAACAACAAACATAA